AACAAAATTAGAAGAAAGACTTATTTCACCCCGTATTCCATTTATGCAGATAAAAGAATTGCCTCGTGGTGGTCAGCTTGCTGTTTGTGGTAATGTAGTTAATGTTCCAGCAGATGTCAATAAAACTGTCAAACTTCTACCAAGAAATATGGATTCTTGTGAAACAATTCCTTTGAAATTAAAAAGAAGCATAAATTTTAAAAGCCATATAGTATTTGAGCAAGTAAGACCTGAAAAAATTTTGTCAGCAGCTAAATGGCTAGTGAATAAAAGCAGGCTATTTCAAAATGAAGGGATATCTTTAAATTCTGATTGGAATGAAATAAACAGAGAAAATATGGTAAGGGAAGATGAAATAATTAATGATATTTTGGAAAATGAGCATGTATGCAGTGATCATGATAGTGAAAGGTGGTCTGAAGATGATGGGTCAGTTTTAAAACCATCTGGAAATTTTGACACAGTAATGCAACCAGCAGATTATAGAGAATTTAACAGAATTATAAATGTAGCTCCAGCAGAGGGTAACACTCCATTAAGCATGTTTCAAGATGTGAATGCAGAATTTCTTTCATTTCCAGCTATTTATTGTGGTCAGACAAGAAAAAATAACAATACAAGGTTAACACCTGTACACTATAGCACTATCTGCAAGTGGGAACTAAGAAATATAGACAGAAGAGTTGCAAAAAATGTGTCAAACATTTTTTTTAAATTGAAAAAGTTACAAATAAAACAAATATCAGACAAGGTTTCACTAGCAGTTAGAAAATGTAAATTAAAGGATAAAAAATTAACAGCTAACGAAGTACTGTCTGAAAGTTCAGTTGAGAAAATTATTAAACATGATGAAGGTTACAGAGTATTGCGTACTTTACGTGGATCGCCTCCATACTGGGAAAGAACCAAAAAAGATATATTTGCCATGATAAGGCAACTTGGAATCCCAACATGGTTTTGCTCATTTTCTGCTGCAGAAACTAAATGGAAACCCTTGTTACGTGTATTGGGAAAACTTGAGAATAAGAATTTATCAGACTCCGATATTGCTGATATGACTTGGTCTCAAAAGAATGATCTTATTAAGGCTGATCCAGTAACATGTGCTAGGTATTTTGATTATCGTTTTCAAATGTTTTTAAACAATGTGTTAATGCATGAAAGCTCACCAATTGGAAAAATAAAAGACTTTTTCATTCGTGTTGAATTCCAGCAAAGAGGTTCTCCTCATGTCCATATTTTATTTTGGATTGATGCTGCCCCATCTGTGGTTTCTAGTACTGATGAAGAAATTGTATCTTTTATAGATAAGTATGTCTCCTGTAAGAAAAACCCACATATAACAGAGTTAGTAAATTATCAGACCCATCGACATGCACGTACATGCAGGAAAAAAGGTAAATCCATTTGTCGTTTTGGATTCCCCCTTCCTCCTTTGGATAAAACTGTAATATTGAAAGGTTTCGACGAAGAAGTTGATGATGTAAGTAAGGCAAGAAAAAATTTTGAAAAGATAGCAACAGAGTTGGATAAAATAAAATCGGGGGACTGTATTGAATTAACATTTGAGCAGTTTTTGAGTTCCATGAATTTGTCATACAATGATTACATTTTAGCTTTAAGATCAAATGTAAAGAAAGGTCAAAGAAAGGTATTCTTAAAACGTGAAATTTCTGAAGTAAGAATAAACAACTACAGTGATGTGTTAATAAAATGTTGGAAAGCTAATATGGATATACAGTATATACTTGACCCCTATGCATGCGCAGCCTATATCGTTTCATACATATCAAAGGGACAGAAAGGCATGTCTAGTTTGTTAAGCAATGCTTGTAAGGAGGCCAGAAACACTGATTCTGATGTTAGACAACAAGTGCGCAAAATAGGGAATACATTTTTGTCTCATGTGGAAGTAGGGGCACAGGAGGCTTGTTATTTAGTGCTTCAGATGCCTTTAAGGAGATCATCCAGACAGGTAGTTTTTGTTGACACAAATAATGAAAATGAAAGAGTTGTTCTAATGAAGCCTATGTCTGTCCTTAAAGAATTGCCTAAAACCTCAACTTCAATAGAGTCAGATAGCAGTATTAAGCGTTATCAAAGAAGACCTTATTCAATGAATAGATATTGTTTGGCAGATTTTATTGCTTTATTTAATATCCAATTTTCCAAACAAGGAAATGAAAAATCAAGTCCACCATTGGCAAATACTATAACTGAGAGTGAAGAATTGCCAGAGACCAGCTATGAATTAGATACTGAGGATGATCTTGAAACATCAGAAGAAAATGATTTTGCTGAAGAACATATTTTCAAAGATGGTTCAGTCATGGTTAGAAGAAGTGTAGCAAAAGTAATTTATTCTGTGGGATTTAATAAAGATAATGATAAGGAGAATTTCTATCGAGAGCAACTTATGCTGTATTTGCCATGGCGTAAATATACAGATATTTTGGATGGTTACACAACATACGAAGCAAGGTATACTGATTATCAAACTAGTATTGAAGACAAAAGGAAAAGTTATGTCTGTGACCAAGCTGCTAATATGTCAATTATTGAAGCTGAAATTTTAGCATCAGAAGAAGAGTTCTGCATAACAGAATCACAACATCAGAATGTTCAGGATACTAATGAAGGATCAAATTTGTCCAAAGATTATGGCTGCTTTAATCCTGGCTCTTCAACTAATAATGACTATGACCTTGCATTAGATTTAAATATTGGTAGAAAGCAAATACAAACAGAAGAAGAAATCACTGCGGAAATGACTGATGATGAATACAGAAATTTGGTACAAAAATTAAATGTAAAGCAAAAAGAGTTTTTTTACCATGTACTTAATTGGATGAAAACCAAAAATGATCCTATTTATCACTTTCTGAGTGGGGGTGCAGGCGTTGGCAAGAGTGTCTTATTAAAAGCCCTTCATCAAGCACTCTTAAAATATTTTTCTCACAAACCTGGAGAAAATCCAGATGAAGTTAAAGTTTTGATATGTGCCCCAACTGGTAAAGCTGCCTTTAATGTTAGAGGATGCACTATTCATTCAGCTTTCAATATTCCTGCAGATCAAGGATTCCATTATAAACCTTTGGACATGCAACAGCTTAGTACTTATCGAACTAGATTTAAATCTCTAAAAATTGTATTTATAGATGAAATATCAATGGTAGGGAGAAAAATGTTCAGTTTTATAAACCTACGTCTACAAGAGATAATGGGTATTCTGAAACCATTTGGGGGCATTTCTGTAATTGCATTTGGAGATCTGTATCAGTTGAAACCAGTAATGGACCAATGGATTTTCACAGCAAGCATTAACCAAGACCGTGTTGCCACACTAGCTTCAAGTGTTTGGGTTGATCTCTTTCAGTTCTATGAACTTGATCAGATCATGAGGCAAAAGGATGATTTAAGATTTGCTCAAATACTGAATAGACTTAGAGAAGGAAACCATACAGAAGAAGACATTCGTAATCTGAAACAGCAAGTTCATGAGGAGGAAACCTGTTTTACAAAAATTATGCCACATTTATTCACACGCAGGTGTGATGTTGAAAATTACAATAGAAATGTTTTTGATGACATAGAAGCATGTAAAAAAACAGTGGTTGAAGCTATTGACTCAGTATCTGGAGATTCACCAAATTCTTTACATGAAAAGATTTTATCAAAACTTCCAGAGGATGCAACAAAAACAAAAGGATTAATGAAGCATCTGTGTTTAGGTGAGGAACTACCTGCAGAAATTTGTGTTAACATTGATGTTGCTGATGGGTTGACAAATGGCACACCTTGTACAATAAAAAAATTAGACTTTCGTGTACTCGAATCAAAAAGATGCAGTATTGTATGGGTTGAATTTTTCTTAAATGACATTGGCAAAAAATGCAGAACACAGTTTAAACATTTGTATAATAGAACAATCCAGTCATCATGGACTCAAATTTTAGAAATTACCAGAAAGTTCAACTTCAATTATTACAAATCATTTTGTATAACCCGTCGCCAGTTCCCACTCATTCTTGCAGCAGCAAAAACTGTTCATAAAGCCCAAGGGAGTACTTTAAAAAATGCTGTAATAGGTTTTGGAAGCAAAAAAATGGACCATATGTATTATGTTGCTCTAAGTCGTGTTCAGAAACTGTCATCCGTTTTTTTACTAAAATTTGATGAAAACCACATTAAAGTTTCTGATGCTGTGGTGGAAGAAATGAATAGATTAAGAACAACAGCTCAAATTATCATCTCTGTTCCACTTTTATACAATTTCCCTGAAAATGTGTTTAAAATAATATTTCATAATTGTAGATCTTTGAAAAAACATTTGTCAGATGTAAAGGAAGAAATGAATATTCTCTCTGCAGACATATTGGCCTTTGCAGAGTCACGTCTTTGTTCAAGAGATGAGTCCAAGGATTTTGAATTGGGGGGGTTTGAAATGACACGAAATGATGACACTTGTTGTATTGAAAGTCCATATCATGGAACAGTTATGTATTCTAAACTTATCCCAAATCAATTTCAAGGTGACAATACATTCAATATAGAATTTACTCATGGATATGTTTCCCTTAAACATTTACTTGTCAATGTTTGCTTTGTATATTGTTCCCCAAAGATCTCATCATTTTCTCTGTTTAAAAAATTTTTTGCTCATTTACATAACGAGTTTGATTTAACTAAACCTCATATAATTATGGGAGACTTTAATTTAGACTACAGGGAAATTGAAAGATTGCCCTCATTTTTAAGAACTGAGTATTCCTTCATTCAGCTAATTAAAAACTCCACTACAAACTATGACACAATTCTGGATCAGGTTTATACTAATGTAGACACAAGTTTTGTCTATTCATGTGGCGTTCTAGAGTCGTACTATTCGGATCACAAGCCGATCTTCATTGCGTTGAAGAACTAAAATGTTTGTAATATCAGAAATCATAATCAGTTGTGGATAAATTTTTTTGCTCAATTAATGATACTTATGAAACTCATTGCTGGAGGTGATTTCCTTCAATATAAGATTCTACAATTCATTTATTTCAGATGAAATCGCTGAAGGAAGTATTTGATGGTGTTACTTGTGCAAGTTTGCCATACACAACAGCCATCAAGGCTGTAGTGTGTGGAGTTGGAGAAGTGAAAAAGTATAGAAATGCCAGTGGAGAGCAGAGGCAGTCTGTGACAATTGGCCTGGCTGACTCCTCAATGGCTGTAAGGGGTGTCCTCTATGATGTAAGCAAAATGGACACCTTTAAAGTTGGTTGCACTGTGATGTTGCTGAATAGCATAATCAAGAAAGATGCAGTGAGGTCAATTGTTTTGACAAATCGTAGCAAGATTTTGAAGACAGGGCCTGTTGCTGTCAGTGAGAGCTTGAGAAAAGAGGCCCTTGAAATGGCTTGTCCTCCACCAGCTGAAATGGTGGATATCAAAGCTGTCCACACCTCACCAGTGAAGACAGTATTGACCATTAGAGGTCAGGTTGTGTCGGTAAGTATTCTGCAAATTCTTGGTCTACATTCTGTTTTAAACAAGCCTTTAACCTCTATTGCAAAAGCAATTGCGTCAATTTTCAATGTATACAGAAATTTTTTGGATAGTTAAAAGCAAAACAAATTCACAGAAATAAGAATGAATTTTTTGTATAGGAGGAAATGGACAGAACTGTAAAAGTAAATGGAGAGGAGACAACTGTAAGAAGTATCAAGTTGAGAGATGCAACTGGCACTTGCAGAATTTCTCTATGGAGAGACATGGCCAAAGTGAAAACAACTGTTGGATCTCATCTGGAGATCACCAATGCAGTGGTGCAGTTTTATAATGAGGAAAAGTCCCTATCAACTACATCTAGGAGCAAAATGGAGGTATGGACAAGCAATTACATTATGTTACCTTCAAAAATGTGTTGTGCATTGCATATGTTTTATATACACTGTTATCTCAGCCATTTCCTAAAACATTAAGTGAATAAAATTTTTGCAAAACCATATTTTTGATATATTTTACAGGAAGTTGAAACCCCAGAAATTTCCCAAACTGTTACCTTTATTGCCTTCGAATGGGTTGACGACAGTTTTGCATCCCTTACATCTGATGATGCCAATGGCGAATACCAAGAATTCACAATTAGCAGGGAAGCTCTAGCACATAACCTGAGATGTGAACTTCAGGAAGTAGAACCTTCCCTCCTGCGCAAACTCCCCATGACAGCAAAAATCACCACAAGAGAGAATGAAATTATTGAAATCACCATGTAAAATTCGACACAACATTCAAGCTGACAATTTGAAACTGTAAATGCTTGCACTTCAGACTTTTTATAAAGTAGATTTTGTCAACTTTTTAAGACATCAGTGTATGTCATATGGGTATAATTGCAAGAAAATTGTTGTGAAAAATAATTTCAGCAAGTACCATTTGTTGTTTGATTTTCTCTTTCTGATAAGACTCGGATTACTTTTAGCATTTTGTATGTGACATGATACAGTTGTAAATATGAGAAACAAAAAACACTGCCTGAACACAGTGATAACTTCATTGGAGTATCATTAATGGAGAACTAAATTTTGCTTATATGGTTTTGTGTACGTTTTTTCTTTCTTTTTTGTACATTTTCTAGTTTTTATTACTTTTATGAAATACTTTGAGTTCTTTGTTGTTTTTTATGTTATCAGAAAGCATATATGGGCACTTGAATGATAAAAGCAGTATCTGCTCAATATTCTAGTGTTCCCGGTTATGTACAAAAAGACTAAAGATTTTTTTAATTACATATTGATGGAACAACATTCTCTCAGATTTTAAAATTTATCATTCAACTCTGCAAGGATAATTAAACAACTTCGTATATTTCCTAAGAATTTCTCATTTTATTCCTCATTTTTCATCACCATTTTTGTATGTATCATACAGTGGAAGAATTCCAAAGAGATATGCTCTATGTAGATTTTTTTATAGGTGTTTTGTGATTTACAGTTTTTTTGCATGTGTTTTTTCTTTGTTTTGTTTTTTTTTTTTTTTACGTATTTAGTCCTAATATAACCATCTTCCAGTGGTCTATTTCCTGTCTAGATATTCCTACTTTTAAAAAGGAGAATAGAATTTGTGTGTAGAAATGTGTAGTAAAATATGTTTACAAATATGAAGTGGACATTTGTATCTGTATATGGTCATACACATATCTTTGGTTTAACATTATTATTGCAATAATACATGTACCCTGATAATTTTCATGCTACATATTGTTTCTGTACTTGAATTTGTAATGGAGTATTCTCTTCATTTTTTTTTATTTCCTTACATTTTTTGCTAATTCCCATTCTCAAAACATCGGGCACTCTGTGTCAACAAGTTACTAATTTCATTTGATATCTTTGGGCTTGTTTCTCTTATTAAGAAGCACCCATTAGAGTTGGGCTTTCAGCAGTTGATGTTAACATAGACAGAAAGTAAGCAGTTGATACTTTAATGCACATGTTACAAGTTGTTATCACTGAAATGGTTAATGTGATTGAGAGATAAGAAAAATTATGAAGATGAAATTTTTTTCCAAAAGGTGTCACTGCAGTCAGCCCGTAGAATATTGAATGAAATTTCTCAGGAGTCCAACAGCAATATGTTCACTTGTCAACCCTGATGTTGTGAGGATGGATATTTCAGTTTGAAAGTGATTTCTTTTTTACAGTTGAACATGTACCATGTTGTGAAAACAATTTTATACTCATTGATACATACCTGTTAACAGTAATGCTTGTAAACACTTTCTTCATTGTGTCCATTTATGTAATGTTATTTTGCCTTATTAATGTAAATATTTTTTTTTTTCTGTGTATGTGTGCTTTTGTTTATGTCTTAAATACATGGAATCGGAAGGCCTTGAAAGATTATTTTTGTACATATTTACACAAATGCTTTTAAATTCTTTTAGTGATTGTACATATTTACACAAATGTTTTTAGATTGTTCTGTGTTTCCTTGTAAGGCAAATGATATACAATGTACATGTTAATATGCTTTTTCTGTTTGAATGGCCATACATTTTTATAGTGTTTGTAGTGCTTTCAAATTTTTTTTGTTCTAAGCAATGTAAATAATTATACTTGGTTTACTAGACTGTTTCTGTCTTTTCAAGGATTTACGGGTATTTCATTATTCAAATACTGTAAATGTATGAGCATAAAGTAGCACATTTAAAATTCACCTCTTCATCTGATATTGGTGCACTACACTTTCAACAACATGTATAAGCTTTAATCATGAATTAGTGTGTACATTCATTAGCAGACAAGAAACTGTGTGAACTAAACTGAAATATGATTACTGCTAAACATGTATGTTTACAGTTATTCTTACTTATCCAGTTCATTGAATATACATACAGAAAAATATTTTGATGTTGTTGAGGTTTACAAAACTGTCTTCCTTAGCTAAAAATTGAATGTTATTTTCTTTACTAAATTGTGCCAAAAATTGTTGAATCTGATGCAGAAGTTAGGATTATACTATTGCAATACATTACAGCAACTAGTCCCATACCTTTTTATTTTTTCAAGCTTATATCATTTATACTTGCAGTTTACATCTTTTCCAACTTTAAAATAAAGATTAATGCAATATAAAAAATCACTTGTTAGATTTCTTTTCTACTTGTTTACAGGTATATTGTTAGAAAAGTTATGAATTGATTTAGAAGGTCTCTTAAAGATAAAAATGAGAGATTTAATATAAAATTTGTGTGGTTGTGATAAATGAAAATGATACCTACAGTAAAACTTGTCTAATCCAGACCTGTTTACTCTTCGATTTTGTACGGATTTTCAGTGCAAAATACGTCTTACGTTTTGCTATAACAAAAATATGGAAATCTGTTCATATGGATTTTAGCAATTAGTTTTCGTTATCTGTCTCAGTTTGACGCTTTTTAATCGCTAAAGAAGAGAAAATTTTCAAACATTTAAGTTGCCAAAATGTGGTGGTTTAAAAAAATGACAGAAATCACTCAAAAGAGAGCAGTGTGTGATCTTTTGCTTTGTTATTAAACCATGTTTTGGTTATCAGAAATGTACTAGTAGTTGTTTTCTAGTAATATATGTACAGTCGATGAAATCTTACGGGCAAATGCCAAATCTCACTGACAAATCTAATGAAAAATACTGAGAGACAACAATTTGGGTAAACAGGTCTGCTAATCCTTGATTACACAACATTCTTGATTGGACAACATTTTAAACAATTAAGCAAAAGGGACTTAAAAGTTACATTATGTAAGGCATGAGGTCTTTTAAAGATAAAAATGATTGAATTAATATAAAGTTTGTCTGGTTGTGATTAATGAAAATGATTACTACAGTAAAACTTGTCTAATCCTTGATTACACAACATTCCGGATTAGACAACGTTTTAAACAATTGAATTAAGCAAAAGGGATTAAAGTTTACATTATGTAAGGCAAGATCTCGGAATACACAACATCAAAGATCTCGGAATACACAACATCAAGATTGGACAAGTTTCACTATAATTCTAGTTTAATTCATAACTAAATAAATAAGTTTGCATTGGAAAAAAAAAACGGGCAAAGGTATAAGGTAGCCATCAAGTGAAAAAAAAAGGATGTGCATAAAACATACTACTTTCAGAGAAAAAATCTTAAAGGTTTGCTTTAGTCTGCACATTTGGACAGATTGCTTAACTACAAATATTTATTAATTCAAAAATAAAAACCACATAGTAGTTGTGTAAATTTGACATTTTGTGTGTATGTTTAGGAACCATGAAACATCTTACAATTTATGAAGATGAAGTACAACTTTAATAGTCCTACAATCTTTTATTCTACATGTTACAAACCTGTTTTCCTAGCATTTCAGTTGGGCCACATGAGTTGAATTTGATTTCATAAATGCTTAATTCAAGGAGAACTCTTAGATATACAATTTAACTCTTAAGATTCTGTAGGCATATGCACACATTCAAACATGCTTGAAGATCCAATAATTTTAAGTATCACTGCCATTTCTTAAGCGCGGCGCCATTGTGGCCCTTCAGGCCTTTGATTTTTAAATGATCATTGAATGACAAAAAAATGTGGCAAGTCATCAGAAAAATAATGTAAATATAAGATATGAATTTATTTTTTGAGAATTCATGAGGTACATGAACTACAACGCTTCACGCCTGCATACAGGTAACTCTCGATACCTCGAAGTCCCTGGGACTGAGGAAAAAATTCGAGAGATCAAGAGTTCGAGTTTTCAAGAGTTCGGAATTTTCTGGGTTTGTTGACAGGTTTTAAAATTAGTCTTACCGGATGTAATGATTTTCATGCAGTGCTAACCTCTTACATGTGGTTTTTATAAGACAACGATATTTTTTCGTAATTTAGATGAATATTTCATTAAACTGAGTAAAGCAAAAAATGTATATCGTCATTTCATATATATTTATTTATTCTTTGTAATACGGACATCATACTACACATTCATTACATAAAAATGACATTTTACAGTGTCGTACATAGCATTGAATATTCCAAACATGATCATTGAACGCAACTCTGTATTTGTCTAATAATACTTGTTGTACTGACATTGAGGCTGTTTCTGCTTTTTCATATTTCGTTTAACTTTGACACTGACTCGAAATAAAAATTGAATTAGTATTTCGTCTTTTAACCGACTACAACTTTTCAATACACTGCGTCTCTTAATTATCGTAAGACAGTTGTTGATAAATATTTAAACAGCATATAGGCTAAATATGATTAATTATAAACCAATTAACACCTCGTAGCATAAGTGTTACCTGAATAAACATCTCGTTCATCGAGACCCACGACATCTGCCTGGGGCCATTTAAATGTCCAGGTAAAGGTGCTAATTATATACCTTGTATACACATAGCCACTTCGAGGTATCGAGGGTAAATTCCAATAGAATATGCATAACAGGACCGCATTTTGACTTCGAGGGATCAAGGATTTCAAGCGATCAAGAGTTCGAGAAATCAAGAGTAAATTTTGTTAGTTATATAGGGGAAAAATTTGGGACCAGAGACTCACTTCGAGCGATCAAGAACTTCGAGAGATCGAAGTTCGAGCCATCAAGAGTTACCTGTATTTATCATGAAGCGCTAACGTGCTTCATGAAATATTCCGGCATGAAGCGTCGTAGTTCATCTCCTCATGAATACTCAAAAATTTAATTCATCTCAGGGTTTGACAGTAACTTTTATGAGTACTAGACCAGTCAGGCTACTTCATAATTTTTACTAGCCCTGACAGTAAAATCACTAACCCTGACCAAACCTGCAATTTTTTTTAAATCGCTAATTTTAACAAGGTTATTTTGAAATTGTTTCAAACTAGCCAATTGTGTCTGGTTCATCAAGATATGCGAGTATTGTGAGCTTTAAAGATCATTCAACGAACTTTATAATTTTTTTATCCTAAATATTAATAAATTAATTGCAGAATATATTTTTTCAGGAACTATTTATACCATATTCATACTGAACGACGCTAGTTTCTACCGCTGCTTGTCTATTACAGCCATGGCTAAAAATAGCAATTGTGTCATACAGGGATTTTTTTTCTTTACAGAGCAATAGCTGTGTTTACAATCGGAAAAATTAAGAAAAATCCTTTAAAAGTTTTTGGAATATTTATTTGAAAGACTGAAATGGGTTTTAACAGTAATTTTATTAACACGACCAATCAGTCTAGTTCACGTACATTTTACACGACCGAACCACTCATCTACTAGACTGGGTCGGTCGGACGTGCCTTAGTGTCAAACCCTGCATCACTTAAGTTAATTGCACATGTATCTCTATGAACGATGTACAGCATGTATTTTAGATGGAGTATGCTGCATTACATACATGTGTATGAAAGTGTTCTGGTAAAACACCGGTATTATTAAGTATGAATGTTTGATGTAGGAAATAGCAGTCCCTAGTCCAGATATTGGCAGTTTGCTGGAAAATTTAGAGCTCTTCAAAGGCAACATCTACAAGTCATTTCCATACTCCAGGTGGGGCTCAGGAAGGGATGCATTCTGTTACAGACGTGTCAAAACCCATTTGGATAGCTTTGTTGTAAGTATTTTACAAGTATTTTTTAAGTCAAATTTCATTATCTCAATAAAATTGAATAATTCAAGGAGTTTTGTATGCCTGTATTTGATGAGATATATTGTGGTTTTTACCATATTGGCTTTCTGCAGTTTCTTGACCATCTCACACTTGGACTCTCTAAGCATCATTAATCAATGATTGATTTCACAAAACTTAACAACTGCAAAACAAAAAAATTGAAATAACCCCTCCTCCCCCCCCCCCCCTCTCCCCAAATAAAAATGTAAATAAAATGAAAAAAAATAAAACAATAAAAAGGATTATGTATCTTACCTTCCAAAAGTACCAAATTTAGGCCAAACAAAAAAATATGTGTGGTACCGGTTACACCTCCAAAAAAATTAGGGTAGGTAGGTAGGGATTTTTAAAAAATACTTATCACTACTTTGCAAATGACATTTAGATGTGGTGTGATAATATACTAGTCAATATTAGTAGGGGACATCTACATGCTAGCTTGCTTTGGATTTAACACTAATAAACACTTGCACTATGTTGTGCAAGGGGGCCGTCATTGCTGAAACTAAAACTTAAACCGGAGCCATTGATGGAAGTTGGGGAAAATTCTGGAAAAAATATGAAAATTGCCAAAAAAAAGTTTAGGGTCGGGGGTATAAAATAGGGACAGTCGGGTAACCGGAACCACACATATTTTTTTATTTGGCCTTACCAAAATTGGATTAAAACTGTAAGAGCGTTTCAAAGAATTGCATATATTTTATTTTCAATATACATTGTAATAGCCTTTGTAACAATGTTCATCAAATTTTATTCAAAAACTAATGTATAAAATTGATCTTGTCTGTTGCATGACAAGTTTTATTTAAATAGGACCAAAACTAATATGAAGGAGTAGTATTTTGAAGGAAAAAAAGTTTACAGACACACAAAAGAACACATGAACCAACACCAATATCTCATTGCCTGAGCTTTTAATTAACTGCATGATCTTTGAAAACTTACTGATGGTACAAGTATCAAAACTTGGAAATATCTAGGGACATAATTTGACATAACTATAATATTGCCTTCTCTGTCCTGTTCTTTCTGAACATTTCTACACTGCATTTTTCGCCAATTTTCCTCTACTGTTTACTTTTCCATGTACTCCAGTGCTAAAAATAGCACCACGTATGGAGAACTTGGAGGATTAGAATCATCCAATTTTGAGGGTTGATGCGGGGGGGGGGGGGGGGGGGACATAGGCGCTTGGTTTCAGGAGTGTGTATTTTGTGTATTATGTGTTTTTCTGCTTTTGTGTGAATACATTCGTTAAAATAAAAATTTAAAAAAAATCACTGAAAATACACTTTCTAAAAATATCATGTAACTGTATAAAAAGAGTGAAGGTATGACAGTTGCCATCTTGGATTTCAGGGGGTGCCTCAGTTAACACTTGATTTTAATCTATATCTACACTTTTCCTACCGGTGTCTTGTAAGAATGAAAAATGATTGAATAACATCCTTCAATTGTGTGCTGATTTGAACTTGCTGTATAAAATATGCAGTAAACCCAAAACGTCCTGGATACTGAAATTGAAAGCAATAGAAGTGATGATTTCTTACTATGGAAAATGTAGAGGCGTCCAGGAATTACTTGTAGAGTCTAGAGAGGTTAGAAACCGAGCCAAACTTGTTCTCTCTAGACTTTCCGTGTAATCCCGGGACGCCTCTACATTTTCCATTGTAAGAAATCATCACTTCCATTGCTTTCAGTTTCAGTGCTATTATCGGGGACATTTTGGGTTTACTGCATGTTTTATATGGCAAGTTCTAATCGACAGACAATTGAAAGGCATTATTCAGCTATTTGTGGTCACATTGTTGTTACGATTACACAATGATCTTGATGTGCATCTATCTCCAGGGGAAGGTATATCATGATTATGAATATCATGATTCTGCGATAAAATGTTTTTCAGACAGGGTTATCGTGTGCATTTTTCATTTATTATTTTTTTTTAGCATACAAATTTGTGAATTCTGCATTGTCCCTGTTATTTTAGAAATCATGCATTGATCAAGGAAGACAGCTTGAGGTATTGGAGTCGTGGCGAGCATTGATAGACTATATACTGAAAGCCTGGGAGTTCGTGCATGACCTACCTAACTGGGATAACCCTGACCATAACAAATCTAAGAACAGGTGCTTTAAGGCACTAAGTGGGCAGTGTAAAAGGGCCATCAGCAAAAGTCACTTAACACAGGCAGAGTACAAGAAAATTTTGTCCAGGTTGGTTAAGTTCAAGTGTTTTGAAAGTGATGTGCTTGTTTTTAAAATTTGACATGTTTGATAATTACATAGAGTTCATCTCTCCAAAATGTCTATTATGTTTTGATAGAACTGTGGCGGATCTGAATTCACTTGTACTATATTGTAATTCAATTGAATTTAAAATTTTTTGTTCAAATCAAGTGATATTCACTCGTTATCATTTAGACTTGAGAAAAAATATGTTTTAATTACCCAGCTGATCCTAATTTTATGCACTGCTCAAATATTTTGTTGTTTTAAAATCCTGAAATTGCAAACGAAACGGTTTATAGGTAGTAAGGTCACTCACTATCATTCCAATAACAGCGAGTCAGCCTAATCAAGCCTGCAAAACTTTCACACGTTGATTTCCATATTTCTCATCATTGGTCATTTGGTTCCAGTAGAATACATACTGTTTTGCATATTAAACACAGAATCTTCAAATACCACCAAGAGTATTGACCAATCAAATCTAACACGTTGAATAATTATTACATAGACGACAGCAACACATGGTCAGTCAAAGCCTGTTTTTCTTTCCTAATAATTGTAAGTGTTATGTTTGCAGGTAAAGATAATATAAGGAAATTTACAAAATGAAAACTAGTAAAGCTTCACTTATACTGGTATATAGGCAAGCGAAAGGTAAAGAAAGCATTATCTGATGCATTTTTAGTTGATGTCTCCTATCTTTCAAGAAAGTTCAAGTTTAAGAAACTCTAGTGCTTTGTTGTGTGAATCAAAAGTATTGAAATAGCATATTCAAATCTTTAGAAGGTCTCTTCTTTGTATTAAAAATATCTAACATATTCAGGAGATTATTTTAAATGACCACTTTTTTTTCCACTACATACTGACTTATAAACAGACATTCAGTACTATTGGTCAGTGCTGACTGTGATATTGTAGGTTCTCCATTTCATATGCAGAGTAGAATTCAGTTCATTGAAATCAAACAGCCAAACGATGAGTAATAAAGTGATCAACATATGAAACTTAAGCAAGCCCAACCAAGTGACACCCTGTTATTGGAATGATAGTAAATACGTGTTATTAGAGCTGTCAGATAGATTTATTAGCCAGGAGAAGAGAGCTTCAAGCTGTTTTTAAAAATTTTATTTCAAAGATATACCTTCAAGTAAAAAATAAAATAAAAAAAATCCTTTCTAACTATCTACTTTTTAGCTCACCTGAGAAGAAGCTCAAGTGAGGTTTTATGATCGAAATTTGTCTGTGATCATTGTGTCGTAAACTTTTCACAGTTTCTTCTCCTCCTCCACAACCACTGAGCCAGTTTGAACCAAACTTGGCACAGACTATCACTTTGTAAAGGGGATTCAAGTTAGTTCAAATGAAGGGCTACATCCTCTTTCAATGGGAGATAATTAGGAATTAATGAAAAATTATTGGCATCTTTTAAAAATCTCTTGATTTAGAACCACTTTAAATGAAAGATTCATTACATAGTGTAGATTTAAATTTTTCAATTCATGGCCCATGGGGGTAGGATGGGACCACAATTGTAGAAAAAAGTTTTACATGAGGATATATTGGAAAAAATGAAATTGTCTTCGTAAGAACAGCAAAGCAAAGTATTACATGTATTTATATGGAAGCTTCTTCTGGTAGTATAGATTCAAGTTGTTCAAATCATGGCCCAGGGGGTAGGGTGAGGTCACAATAGAAGATCAAAGTTCAAGTTAGAATTTAAAGGAAAAAATCTTTAAAAATCTTCTCAAGAACAGCAAAGCCATGATTAATCATATTTATATGGAAGTATCCTCAGGTAGTGTAGATTCAAATCTGTTCAAATCATGACCCCTGGGGCCACAATAGGCAGTCAAAGTTTAACATAGGAATATAAAGGGAAAAATCTGCTGATAAGAACAGCCAAGATCATAGTTACTCAGGTGAGCATTGTGACCCATAGGCTCCTTGTCAGGTCTTTTCCATAAGTGGAGGACACAAACATCCTCAATGAGCTTGTTTTCTTAGGCCTTAGAATTACATTTTTATTGTGATTAGTGTTTAGTAAATCATTGTTCAATTGTGATACTCACAAACAGTCAGTTTTACAAAAATTGCTCTGCTGATATATAGCAATCATCTGGATCATGGAACCTAAATTAGTCTGACTTTAAACTTTTATCGGACTTGTTGACAGGACCAGAAAATTGCAAGAATTGTGCTTCGTGAGCCTGGTCCACGAGGCCCTCCAATAGTGCACAATCGGAAGGCCTAGGGAACCAGGCTATCTGCTTCCTAATCTTTTATGACCTATATTATGAAAAGGACACACTTCAAGATTTTTAATTACCAATGTTTTATATTAATTAAAATATTTGTGTTTGAAAAATGCTATAAGTTCTATGCTCACTTTTATCATAGATCAATTACCTGTGCATTTGTTTTCTATGAAGATATAGATGTCTTGTGTAATCAGAGCATTGCCAAGATAAATCTGAAATATCTCATAAACATAAAAATCTCGTATTTGACACTTAAACTGACCTTGAGAGTCTGATCCAAGGTCATGGGGATTGGACGCAGGACTCTCAATTGTCTATAACTGGGGCCCCGTTTAAGGGCCCTATTTCCCAATTCAAAAAAGGTACCTTTTTTCCCAATTAAAAGTGTCAATTTTCCCATTAGTCATTTCTCCGAAAAATTAAAGAAAATATAGTTGGATATATAATAACTAAACTTGCTATTCTTATTTCTCTGTTTTCAAAAAAAAAATATATATATAGTTGATAACAAAGACCAGAAACCCAATAAATCATGATTTCAAAGTATAATGGTTATCCAGAGTTTTCCAAAAGTTCGCTATTTTCCCAATCTTTGTGGCCGTGGTCCCATTCCCAAAAAGTGGTGTGAGAGCCCTGGGACGTTTATGCTTGTTCCCTATTTTAGATATGATTTGCTTTGGGGCTATTGGTTGTCATAAATGTCATTTTATTGAAACATTTTTAGCCGGGCTCATTGCTCGTAGAGCAATAGCCGGCTTTTGTTATGGTGTTCAACCGGAAATGCTGCTTCCTCACCGCCAAATTTGCGAGTAAGAATATAGTACGTATGCTCAATCATTTTTGAGGCAATACAATCACTAAATTAAACAAAGTAATATGACATTCTCAAAAATAATTGTATGGTAACTATACTTTCTCCCCTCTTCTCTGATTAATTATTTATTTAAAATATGCAAAGGGTTTTTATCATGTACCCCCTGTCTGCGTCACATTCTATAAATAATTGAAGGTTGTGTTACCAGGCAAACACTACTGTGGGGAGCATGTGACCTGATGTGCACTTTGATGCAAAACTTGCCGCTGAGGACCCATCTGTGCATAAACGTTTGTCCTTAATCTTGCTGCATCAATGTTTATTTACTTCTGTAAGTGGTATATAAGACCCCGAAACGATACATGTGATAAATTGTTTACGCTGTTAAATTCTAGCTACATTTTATTTAGTTTTTTAAACATTTTTTTAATTTATACTATTTGTTATAGAGAGATATTTTTGTGATTTTGTTTTTTGTCTGTGGAGTGTGGTATCGTAGTGACATTTATTTTGAGCACAATACAACGTCCGGCAGTACATAGCAAACTCAAATGAAAGAAAAATTGTAAATTTGTTAATTGTTTGTTTTCATGGGCCGTTCGAATTGCAGTGAATACTGTAAATATAACTATAATCAATGATGCCATGGCTATTTGGCAATGATTTAGTTGTTTGTAAGAAATTTTCAGTAGGTGCTGGCATAGGTGCTAGGTGGAGTGTAACTGTGTGCTGGTATAGGTGCTAGGTGGAGTGTAACTGTGTGCTGGTATAGGTGCTAGGTGGAGTGTAACTGTGTGCTGGTATAGGTGCTAGGTGGAGTGTAACTGTGTGCTGACATAGGTGCTAGGTGGAGTGTAACTGTGTGCTGACATAGGTGCTAGGTGGAGTGTAACTGTGTGCTGGCATAGATGCTAGGTGGAGTGTAACTGTGTGCTGACATAGGTGCTAGGTGGAGTGTAACTGTGTGCTGACATAGGTGCTAGGTGGAGTGTAACTGTGTGCTGACATAGGTGCTAGGTGGAGTGTAACTGTGTGCTGACATAGATGCTAGGTGGAATGTAACTGTGTGCTGACATAGGTGCTAGGTGGAGTGTAACTGTGAGTGAAAGTTTCTCAGATGTAAAGAAAACAACTAAAAATAAATCTGGATAACTGATTAGTTGACTTAATTCAATCAGTCTTTGTTCACTACTATGTAAGTGAGCCCGGCTCTCTGTACTTCTGAGTACTTTGATTTTTCCAGGGTGGAAGAAGCTGTGGAAGTTGATGATAACATTTTGCCATGTGTTGAACTGATCAAGAAGAAAAGTTCTTAATTCTTCTGGATGTGGGAAGCAAAATTTTGTACAAAGAACATGGAGTGGTGTAGCAAAATTTTGTACAATGTACAAAGAACATGGTGTGGTGCAGCAAAATTTTGTACAATGTACAAAGAACATGGTGTGGTGCAGCAAAATTTTGTACAATGTACAAAGAACATGGAGTGGTGCAGCAAAATTTTGTACAGTGAACAAAGAACATGTAATGGTGCAGCAAAATTTTGTACAATGTACAAAAAACATGAAATGGTGCAGCAAAATTTTTACAATGTACAAAGAACATGGAATGGTAAAGATTTTCTGAATGATTACAGTCATTGAAAGATCATGATATGTAAAAAGTCATCTTAGAAGGCGTGTATTAAAACATGAAATTTGAATGAAATGACTAGAATCTGGTGCTATAAAGCAAATAGAGATTTAGATCATTTGTGTGCATTTAATGTTGTATTAGTTACAAGTGAAGTGTACATTACTTATGTGGAGTGTCCATTATGTGTAGGAACCATTTTAATTAGAGCTTGTTATTCTGTTTAAATTGTTCTGAATTGAATTAAAAAGTGTGTTATTATCTTTGATTCAGTTTTTTTTACTTTTAGATATGCACATTATAGAGAATCCTGATTTTATAAGAACAAAGCTGAAATACACATACAGGCAAACTCGTTATCTTGAACTCGATGGGACCGAGAAAAAACTTCGAGATATTGAGGGTAAAATAATTAAAAGAAAAAGGGCTTGGGACTTTCCAATCACTTCGACATATTCATTGTATTCGAGATATCTGTGTTCAAGATACCGAAGTACAGCTGTATATCAAATTAATAGGGATAATACGTAGTGTCAGAGCTAATTAAGACTTAAAAAGTCTTGTGTATCAAACCGATTTGAGTTTTCTTGAAGTGGATTGTGTGGTAGAAGATAATTGTAAGAAAAAAATCTGACAAATGCTTGTGAGTCGGTTTTATGTAACAAGGGCATGTTTGACCAAATTGAAACTTTCCCAATGAGGCAGCAAGTTCAAGGTCACTGGCAAAGAAGTGTGTTGTGCAGTTTGGTCCAAAACTGTCTAATAGATGCTAATTGGAAGTTGATGCTTTTATGACCCAAGGCTGTTTCATGGTGTTTACTTGTGGCAATTTTGGCCAGGTCAAGCTTACTGAGAGAGAAAGTGTTAAATTCTGTCTGGTCTGGTCTATAACTTTCTAATGAGAAAACATTGGAAGTTCACTCTTCACAAAATTGTAACTAATGTCCTGGAAGTGTGTCAGGAACTTGACCCAATGATAAATGTCATTCTGGCAAGTTCAAGGTCATTGGCAGAAAATGTATAAAATTTGTGTCCATATTCTTTCATGGATAAGTATTGAAAGTTGATGCATTTAAACTTCAAACAAAGATTACTTTTTGAAACACCATTTTGGCAAGTTCAAGATTACATTTATTGTGTATGGGCACTTTTGAAAAAAATTGCACAAGGGGGGGGGGGGGGTATAACTTTGTAAGCTTGCTCGGAGTACCTCTAGTTTCTAATTACAGACATTGATAACATCTTTATAAAAGATTGTATTTGTAAAGGATAATTTTGTAATTAAATGTATCCAGAAGTAGAACCGATATGATTATCACATTTTATCATATACAGTATGTCAAATGACGGAGGGAGGGGGCATAATCTTCTTGAAAATGTTCATCGAAAGGTTGGTCCCTCACCTTTTTGTTTTAGTTAATCAAATCTCTTTCATGTCAATATTTTCAATTTTTTTTCTTGTCGTAAAAATTGGAACCTTAATATCAGATTGATCACTAACATAATACTAGGAAAAATAACTTTTTAGGCTGCAAGAAAAAGAAACATCACAGCAATGTTTTCATAAATGTTAAACATATCTTGCATATAATATATATTTAAGTTCTTGATTGACAGCGGATCAAATGAGATGGGTGAACAAGGCGTGCAGAATGTCTTTAGCTTCAAATGTATAAAAATCATATTCAATTTGTGAATAAGTATTTAGAGTAAAGTTCTCATGATTGAAATTTATGAACTTTTCTGAGGCAAATTTTCCCGGCAAAAAATTTTCTGTTATTAAAAAATAATGTGGTACTCGCGGAGTTCGAACCCTAGCAATAAGAATCCCGAGTATCATTTTCCTTTGAGACCAGCACGCTTTTTTTAAAAATCTTAAGAATCCCGAGTATCATTTTCCTTTGAAACGAACACGCTACACAACTCTTGATGAATAGTATACAGTTAAAGTATATCATTGAGGGAGTTAGCAAGATTCCAGTTCCCCAAGGCCAGAACTATTTCCCGAGGCGAAGCCGAGGGAAATAGTCCTGGTCGAGGGGAACTGGAATCTTGCTTACTCCCGCAATGATATACTTTTAACTGTTTTATTATACCGATACAAACGTAAAATTTAGAGGACTCAGATAGCGTGATTTCAAAGCAGGGATTAGCTCACTGAACTAACACACGGGGATTAGTCCATTCACATATCATACCTATGTAAAAGTAAAATCTAGAGGATTACGGATAACCGGGAATTAGCTTTCGAAGCAGGGATTAGCTCACCTGACTAACACACGGGGGTTAGTCCACTCTTAACGCTTTCTAGGGAATTAGTCACATCTAACGATCTAATGTTATACAGGGAAAAAATCAGTAGAGGTATAATAATGGCATTTAAATCATGTATGTGATATGACCCTTGACTAAATGGGCTTAAGTATTTCTCGGAAAGATGCGAATGTTGTGTCATAAAATGTATTCTTAAGGTATAGTTGGTCTTTGCTCCAAGTTTTTGTTAACCAGAAATGTACTTTATTTTCGCAAACTTTGAGGATAAACTTTCAAAAAAAAAAAAAAATGGAGCGAAGACCCACTCATATTGAAAAATTTTGTTATAGTATGAGAAAACGATCCTTTTTGCCCTCTTTAGTCTGTGTATGCTATTTCATAGGCAAATAATTTCAATCCTTGCGAGATTTTTGCAAATTGTGGAAATTTTTCATAAAGTACTAGAATGCTTATTGTTAGATGAAATATCGAGAAAAATTTTGTTAAAATTGAGATTTAATTTTTCACCTTCATGTTTGTCGGACTATAGGCATTTCGCTCGCCTTGTTCGCCCATCTTCTTTGCTCCCATTTTAATTCACGGTGTTGAGGCGTTGTAATCGTGTTCCACACCCATTATTTTACAGTTTATCTCAAGTACTGTTCATTCGAGGAGAGTAATAAAATATTTATATATACATTAGATAAAACAATAGTTAAGTCAAATTTTCGCCATCCACACCGGAACAGTAATAATGGATGTTTATATCTTCTTTGTTGTTTTATCTGTTGGTAAGATTTCTTTTTATTCTCTCTCTCTCTCTCTCTCTCTCTCTCTCTTGTATACTAACTAGTACATTTTCTTGTACATATAATTTTTTAAAAGCATATTAGAATTGTTTGAAATAATGGCAAACAATTTTACTCAAGAAAATCCCTTGATAATAGATAAAAATTTTAGAATTAGATTGTTTTATTGTGAATTCCGTCCATGATTTCATCTTGTATATATTTACTAAATGCGAACAAGCCCCTTTTCAAATTTGTTTATCCGTTGTGTTTGGGTCAGTTATGGGCGACAATGTGATACATGTAACAATCCTACAATCTCATAAGGAAGAAAATTATGGAACTTTTTTCAATGTCATACCCACGACTGATCTTGAAATAAACTAACAAATTCAATGAAATGGATGGATAATATACCCTTTAATTCATGTTTGCGATCTATTGTTTTTGCAAGGATGTTCAATTTTTATCTAGAATTTTTACCTTAAAACCGTTAAATGATATCCAGTAGTACAATCTAATTTAGTTCGATTTTGTGGGATTAACTTTTGTAATATCGGTGCTTTGCATTCTGAACATAATAATCATCAAACTTCACAGTTTTTTAAATTGTTTTAAATACAGTGGATTTATTGGAAGAATTAATGCACGCAGCTTATTTTTAAGAGAGCGATAATTCAATTAAAGGGATCATAATTTTATTTAATTTCAAACGTGTATTGAATTGACGATATCACTTTTCAAAGGATAGCTCTTTCCTAAAGAATCGTTTTTGCATTATAATTGAAAATTCAAATGAAGATAGCAATAATTAAATTGTTTTGCTTTTAGTTGAAATGATTCGCTAAAAAATCCAAATAAAAAAGCAATTATTGAGTTACTGTGCTTAGTAATTGAATTACTTGCTCTCTGAAATCAATAGTTGATTCCAGTATTCATATGAAAAGAATAACAATTCAATTATTGCTCGCATCAAAGTATCAACAATTGAATGCGCTATAGTCAGAAATGAAGATAGCATTAATAATATGAAGATATCTTTAATTAAATTGTAGTGCATTAAATGAATTGATGATATTTTCAAATAATATCTTCAATTATTTGAGTTTATATTAAATTGACACTCTTTAAATAGCACCTTTATGAAGATACTCTTAAACATATCGGTGCAGCATATTTATTCCATTTATTACAGAGGAATATCAGGGATTTATCAGCCTATTTTGGGAAATGCCATTTTTGGGGAATTGGGAAAAAATTATCGGCTTTTTGATGAAATTGGAAAAATTAAAAATGTTGCTTAAATCATGTATTCAGGTGTAATTCATTTAACATTTCAGCATGAACTCTAATTTGGGCAACCAAACAGACAATATATATGATCCAACTTCATACAAGATCAATTATGAATAATAGACTAATAAAAGTAATATTGACTTCAATGAGTATAAAGTGTTTATACAATTTAGGGTAGTACATGTGCGTATGAGATTCCAATTTAGGTCATTACAGAATCTGTTTCTGGAGAATATATAAATCTCCTGCAAGTATACATTTTCTCAAAGTCCTCTTTTAATATGTATTAATGCATTGAAAATATATTTTTCTATTTGAAATAATGCCTACAGACCTTACCATACACTCGTAGATCAATTGAGTAGGTAGAAATAACTTAATAAATCTATATAATTACACAATATCACCATTTTCAGAAAAACGGAGGAAATTCGGATTAAAAGTTGGCGATGTTTTTACAGTGTTTTTAAACATGTGTTATGACTGTAGCTTTGCTTAATGACTTAAATAGATGAATATTACAGACAATCTGACAATTTTCCTTGTGTTTTTCCAAGATAATTAAATACAAAAGCATTGTTCACCAATTGGGAAAAAATACTGCCAAATTGGGAAAAATTTAACTCATTTTCAATTGGGAATGGGGCCGAATTTCGGCCCCTGAGAAGGTACTGATAAATCCCTGAATATACTAACGAAGTGCATATTGTTAAAATAGCAAGAGTAGCAGACAAGTAGGATATGGTTCCTTTATTCCTGTCCCGTTTCTTGCTTTAAAGAACTATATTTCAACTTAAATTGGTTACTAGTATGTGCCTGACAAAGCATTTCAAAGATTTTACGATATTAATTTACTTGTCTGAGAGAAATGTAATGTAAAACGTTAAATGTATCATTGTCGAAGACATTCATATTCTTGACACATTTTATCTCACTCGTACTCGGAGAAATGTTTAATGCAAATGTGTTTGAATTACAATATGAGGTACATTATATCGAGAACTAAATTTATGCGGGCATGTTTATGCCTATTTACAAGGGTGAAATACTCGAAATGTCATTAGGTATTGTTTGCTGGCCTTATCAAAAATTACCAAGTCGATAACAACAACCCTTGAAAAATTAAAGATCTGGGTGGAAAGAAAGCTTAAGGGTCATTCAAATGTATGAAATTTGATAAAAATATATCAAGATCAACAAAAGGTGAACAATTGAATACAAGTGGAAGCTGTTCTTTAAGTACATATAGCTGTAAAATATATATCTTCTGGATATAAGCGCAATGGACCATTGTCATTGTTAGGTTACCATGGATAAATCAATTAAGTACTAGAACGCGTGTCATTAGCACTCTAAGAAGATGGGACAATATCATTTGAATGATAGAACAATTTTTCTACATATTCCAGCTCAGTGTACATATATAATTATATACTGAAGAAAAATCAAACCAATGAAGAAAGAACAGAGTTCTTTTTTTTTTAGAGTTCAAAAATGTTAATTCACTTATTCCAATGATAATATTTTTGCAGGGGCCCTTGCGGAAGTGCACATAAACGTAACAAATTCTGTAAATCTTGGACAAGACGATCTAACCGTTGCATGTTTGTACATCACCAATGACCCTACAGTAACTGATGTTAACTCAATCCAGTTGTATCGTAACACTTCCGGGCTGCTTGGCTCAGAAGAATCAAAGACAGTCTCTATAGTTTATGATCGTGGTTCCAATGCAGGCTTAATATCCTGGCAAGATTCTGGAGTAGAAATCAGGGCCAACATTTCAGGCAACGTCGACTCGCTGTTATCATCAATTCTTCTTTTACATATTTCCGCCAATAAAGTGTTGTGCGAAGACGGCGCCGCCTATCGGTGTGAGTTTTCAGTGACAAGATCAGGATCGCCTCTTGTTGAATATAATGATGCAACCATCGTTACCAGAGGTTTGTACTGCATTGTTTTAGTCACACGAGAATATGGATTTGTCAGCATAAAAAAATTATATAGATATAAACATTTCAAAAGGTGTTTGACTTGTACTTGTGTCAGAAACTAAGTAAATTTAAAAAGAAATGTATCAAATAAGTAGATCTGCAGCAACATCAGTTATACGTTCTTTTAAAAGATCTTAAATTTGTACATTGCAGAGGGCCCCAAGGATATTTCATTTTCAACGTTGTCATCTGAACAAGAACTTTTTTCGAACGCCACCCTGACTTTATACCCAGCAAATACCACCGTTACTCTAATCTGCAATGCCACGGTCGGTTCGCAACCATTATCCATGCAACTTTGTTTTAATAGTGATTCCGAACATAACGTTACAGGATTTATTCCATTGAACATGTCCAGTATTTCTGATTCAGGGATCATGACAACTGGATCATGTAATAATTTCAGAGAATTTCATTTCGAATACCACTTGGGAACAAACGTCACTGCTACCTTCCTCTGCTTAATTGGCCAGAATGCTACATGTGCAAATGGAATTGTGGAAGGGTCCTTCACAGTATCATCTGGTACAAACCTTTTACTTTATATCGAAATTTGGATTAAGTGTTTTTATTACCTTTTTTAACATCCTTATGTTTAAGTTTTGAAAAGCAATTTTTCATCTTTTATTTTTGACTTACGCAGGAAATATTCCCTTAATAAAATGGTACAGCTGCGCATATACTTCAAGCAAAACTGCGCATCCATAGCTACATGTAAAATTTAGTTTCAATGTCTTCGAAACTTAATTCATATGTTACCTTCTATAAGCTCTCTGAGACAATGAAAGCTTAAGATCACCAATGTAAAGAGCTTTACTCACACTCTGTGACACATAAATCAATAAATTAGGATAATTTTACAGTAGAAACAGAACAAACAACAATTAATCCTGTTAGTAGTCCGGAGACAGGGACCTGGTTCACGGCCTCTGAACCCCAGAACGAGACATGGTTCACAACCGCTGAACCAGTTACAGAAAACATAACTTTGTTCACAACCAGTGAAGGTGTTACAGAGAACGAAGTTCCGCTCACATCCATTGACACTGATACCGAGAGCGAAACTTGGGTCACAGCAACTCGACCCGATACAGAGAACGGGACCTGGGTCACAGCTACCCAACCCGACACAGAGAACGGGACCTGGTTCACAACTAACCAAGTCGATACAGAATACGGGACGTGGACTACAAGAACAGAGTCTAATGCAGAGAATCATACCTTGTTCACAACCACTGAACTCGGTCAAGAAAATGAGTCATCGACATTACCCATTGTCACACAACCGGGTCCCACAGATGGCAGAACTAATGACAATGAAATGGTATCCGAACTTACAGAACCAACCTTTCCTGTTAATGGAGATATCACAAGTCATGTAATGGTTACAGAGACTACACCCGCAAGCACAGAAGATTTGTCGACAGATATCATGAATAACATTTCTTCTACATCCATATCAGTTGTAACCGAGAACACACCACAGACAACATCGGAAAAAGAATTCACAAATTCTTCTGTAACTCCCATTACAACAAATTCTCTTTCTACGCTTACAGACTTCAGTTCCACAGGGGAAACATCACAAGACACAACACCTGTATTCAGTACCATAGCTACAGAAACAAATTCTACTGATTCCAATGGTGATAACATGACTACGCCTCTACACCAGGGCAGTACACTGTCCAGTAATACTGATACAACCAGCAGTATCATCATAACGAGTTCCTCCCAGGAAGGTAACCTCCAAGAAAATGTCAAATATCGCTGTAAATAGCATTTAGTGCTCGTAAAAGAACTCATTGTAGCCAGCCAACAAAATCCTTACTTTTAGCGATTTCTATAGCGCTTATCGCGGTCGCTGCAATCTATTACGCTTTTGCACATAACGAGCATGATTCCGCACAATTGAGTTGATAACCTGTCGATGATAATTATGTATTTTTATGTAAAGTTCCATTCCGACCATGTTTTTCAACTTTCAGTTGACTTCCCTTAAACTTCATACATTTCAGCTTCAACAAGTTCGACGGTTTTGACTACATCGTCTGATTCACCAAGCACAACTCCTTCTTCCTCAGCAGGTGCCCCTGTCACTCCCACAACAATTGTTCCAGGTTTCCCCGTCACTTCCACAACAAGTGCCCCCGTCACTTCCACTCCCAGCAGAGAGACCACTACAGGCCCAAGTTTCCAGAAAGCCCGCTCTTCCATTCTAAGTAAGTATAATAAAGTCTTATCGCAGAAAAAAAACTTCTAATCCTTATTTGATTGTTTTTTGTTTTGAATCAACATTTGATATTTTTAGAATGGATGATTTGTATGCAATTCTGTAAATTGAGAATTTATTTTGCTGTCCTCGTACTAACTTGATATTTCTTATTTTACAGATCCCAATGCCTATCTGATTGTGATTGTTAGTATTTTACGGAATTGAACAGTTTCATGCAATGCACCAATGTACAATGTATATATACAACAAACTCTCCCAAGTTTATATGAACAACCGTGGTGCAAAACTTTTTTTGAGTAGTATTTATTTTATAATTCTAACCCTTATCTGTACTATTTTACCTTTTGTATGTACAAAGTACTAATGTGATGAAATTAAAAAGTAAAGTATATAATCATTATGTATTCACAAAGGTAGCTAAAAGCATAAAAAATCAGTTGAATATGGATCTTGTGTGCATATTTTGTTAATAAAGTCTCTTCACATTATTTCAGTTTTCATTCCTAGTCAATTGCTCATCTCTTTGTCTCCTTACACTAAATTTTTTATCGTCTTCAACTGAAATTAATTTAAATTAAAACGGTTTGGGCCGTGGATATCGGCTTGGGTAGCTCAGTTCGCCTGACTAGTGGTGCAGGGGTCCCGGATTCGATTCCCGGTCCAGCCATACATTCTCTCCTTTCATGATACATAATTTGGTGCCGTTGACCATCCCTGGGCTACCTGGGTTGTGTCTTTAAGGTCAAAGACAATTTAAATAGGGAGGAATGTAATGTTTTGCGCCGTGGATATCAGCCAAGGTACCTCAGTTGGTAGAGCACCTGAGTAGTGATGCGGGAGTCACGGGTTCGATTCTCGGTCCAGTCACACATAATGTGACATTTTCTCCTTTCCTGTTAAATAATTTAGAGCTGATGACCATCCCTAGACTGCAGGTGAAAGTCCTGCCGGGGGCAAAATGGAGGGGTTGTGTCTTTGAGGGCGACGACAATTTGAGGGAGAAATGTAATGGTTTGGGCAGTGGATATCGCCTTGGGTAGCTCAGTTGGTGGAGCACCTAACTAGTGATACAGGGGTTCCAGGTTTGATTCCCGGTCCAGCCATACATTTTCTCCTTTCCTTTAACAAAAGAGAGGGATATGTTCCTCACACCCCAAGTAAGAATTATGATGAAGTCAGTTCAGGCACTTGTTTCTGTAATAAAAGTTTACGACTTTTATTTAGAATTTAAACAAGCTTACCTGGAAGCTACAAATCATTATCTCGATAATCTCTGGACCAGAATTGAACACAACGTGCCAAAGATTTATTGTGGACCAAAATTTTAACTCCCGTATTTCATGAGGAAAGAACTGTAACCATATTAATGCTTACTTTTTGCTGGCTGTAAACCGAAATAAGATATTTTGCCAATGAAATATGTGTCAAGTATTAAGTTTTGAAAACTGAATATTTTTGTCTCCATTGAAATCAAGTTTCTCAGATAAGTATATTAGTATAATAACATCACAAAATCCATTCCTGAAGGATGTGACAATTCTCTTCTGAAATTGTCCAGAGACCAACTTCAGATCCTTTCCGTTTAGGATGTTAAATGTGTATTCAAAGGGGTGATATATGAAAACAGTAGTGCTGAAAATCAAAAATTCACCCTTGTTTTATTCACATGAACTTCTATGACATTGCAATTGTCCACTCAGATTATAACAAGCCTTCTACTCATTATTTAAGTCTATTTTATTTTCAATGACAGTATCAGATACCAATTCATAAAGATACTTAATTATATTGTATCACAATTATACATACAAATGTACAGTACAATGTAGCTGCCAGTGAAAGCAAAACTTGAAAAAAATATATCTCTGAAATTCTCGTCAATTCCTTAATTTTCTTGATTATTTCCTTCTGATCAACTGAACAGACATGTCTAGTATTATTTGTCAGTTTAAAACAAATGTTCTACCTTACAGCATCTGTTTTTGATTATTAAAAATCTTGAACTTTTCGGGCTTACTACTAGTTCAATAAAACTTGTCTAATCTGGACACCACTGGTTCCAAAAAATTGGCTGGATTTAGACAACATTCCAGATTAGAAATTTTAATCAATTGAATTTACTGAAAGGTACTTAAAGTTTACATCGTATTAAGCAAATTTTTCGGAATAAGGAACATCTGGTTTAGACAAGTTTCAAAGTATGTAAATTTGTGTGACAATAATGGTAAATGCTTTTTAAAAGCCATGCTATGTGCAATAAAATATGAAATTAATTTCATTTTAATGCCAAAAAAAAAAATCAAGAAAAAAAATTAAGAAATGTTTGAAAATATCCTTCGACAGTAAAATGAAAATATTCATATACACAATTAATGTTTCAAAGATATCACACACATATTTATCTCCCTTGGCCTTAACACCCATTTCAATGAGACAAATATTAAATAAATGTCTCAAAAGAAGTCCCCAGCTTTTGCCCTGGGGGTGGACTTCTTCAGACTTAACACGGGGGCTGCTTTCTTGGGTACGGGCGTCCCTGTATATTTCTGAGTACTTGCTGGCGTCCTCAGTTTTTTGGCACTAGATGGTGTTCTCTTTACAATCCTCATTTTGTTAACATGGGGAGTTTGCTGCCTCGTAGTTCTCTGGGTAGAGAAATGCATTGTTCCATGAGGTGTGGCTACGGAGACATTCACATGAGATGTACCTTCTGGTGTTTTTAGAATGCTCTGCTCTGGTTTCTTGTCAGGGTTATAAGGGGCAGGACTGAACTGAATACTTTTCTTAAAGTCTGAAAGAAAAAAAATAGAAGCAATGTGCAAGACTACAAATATGAAATGCATTTTACAGGCCCATAGCAACGATTTTCAAAACTGAATACTTTTCTTAAAGTCTGGAAAAAAAATAGAAGCAAAGTGAGGCTGGTGCAATCTCAAAAAAAAGTTGACAAGCAAAAATTAAAAAAAAAAGTCCAAACTCTAAAATGATTGAGGGTCTTTCTCCAACTTTTTGGTACATTTTTTTCTTTCAATGCTGGAACTTGTGTATGTTAGACCGCACAGCAACATTAAATGGGGGGACAAGCAGTGACAAGTAAATCAAAATTTACATATCAAAACTACAGCAAGAGTCTATTTTCGGAATCCCCCCCCCCACTACAAACTTGTTTTATCGTAAGTAAAGCCCATTTATAGCCAAGGATACAGAAAAACCTGTCAATAAAAAAGTCAAATTTTTTTTAACCAACACAACAAAATTATTAATTACTAAATGGATAAAATGAATTATGGACATGACAAAGCAATATTTGCTGTCCCTAAGAATTTCCTGTATAAATCATTTCACTGAATACAAAACCATATTAATGTATAGAACACTAACCCACAGCTTTGTTTTTCTTCATGTCAAATGTGACTTTTCTTTTAGAAGTTTCACTTCCTTTCTCATTTTCGACCAATTTCTACATAAGAGAAAAACAATTATGATGGATGACTTTAAAGCTAAAATCGCTATTTTTTTTGTCTTTGTAACATATATAACCATCTTCTTGTTTAAAATTCTATTTTTCAATTGATAACTACAAATAAAACATAGTGTTACTGTGACAATCAGTAATTCTACATGTGTATACTTCACATCAACCCTCATGACTTGCCTTTGATGCCTTTCCTGGGTCAGTATTTGGAGTGGCAGCCTTGGCCACTGATTTCCTTACATAGGCTGGAGGGGTTTGTACACTGGTTTCAAATTGAGCAAACTTCTTGGTCCCCAGACCTTTCCCTTGTTTTTCAAATAGTCCCTTTAACTTGCCTGAGTACTTTTTATTTGGAACCCAGATCTCCACTTCCTCTTCCTCTTTGTGACCTAATTCCTCGTCATGAATATGCTTTAGTTCTAAAGTGTCCAGTGGGACCTTTTTGTGACTTGGCTGCTTCTTATTTACACTAGCAGTGTCTTTCTCACATGTTGAATCACTTTCCTCGACATCAAAGGGAGGTGCTTCAAAATCCTTTCCCACGTTCTCACACAATTTTCGAGTCATTGCTCTCTTTGGGATTGGTGTCACTGCTGCTGCTGTTTTTTGGCTTTTTACACTAGCAACACCAGGTTTTTCTTCACTACGAGTACCTAGATTTGAATCTGCTTGTTTCATCTTTTTCAAAGGCTCCGTAGATTCACTGTCCTTTTTACGTTTACCCAGTAATTTGTCCTTTAATTTTGTGAGTCCCGTTTCTTTCTTAACTTTCTTTTGCACAGTCTCTGGCTTCTCTTCAGTGACACTGTCTGCTTTGTTATTCTCTGTTGTACTATCCATCTTTCTTTTCTTCACAGTTGTGTCCCCTTCAATTGCTATGGTAGAATACAAATTGAAAACCACAATTCTATACTGAATAAGATTCTTGTTCCAAAAAAATTAAAAGGAAATCCTACCCATTACAAAAGCAATGGTCCATATTGCAATGGAAGCAAAGGTTTCTTAACTATCCTGACAGTTTGATATTTAAGAACAATGCCTATACCTGACATACATGTACATTGTAATATTTGTACCAAATTTCATTGCCATTGGATGAGGATTCTACTCTAATCAACAGTGACTGTAATTACAAGTACCTTTCTGCTGGTTTTTCTTTTGTTTTCGATTCTTTTGTTTTCTTTTTTGTCTTTGGACCTCTGTTTCCATGGAAATAAGCTTATTGACAGACTGAGCAAACTCCTCCCGGTTGATATAACCTTTTTCTAGGTCAGTGAAATCATTTTCTTTGGTTGGCAGGACACCTTCATTCAAATCTCGAAACCTGAAATTTTATAATAATTGTTGGATATACATACACATGTTCATGTATGTCTATGGATGTATGAATAAAAGTACATATGTATTTTATGTATTTGTATATGTATTAGTAAAAATATAGTTGCAGTTCAATGAATTGAAGACGGTGTATAAACGTTGATAATATGTTTCAAGTTCATTATTGAATCTTGCAGATTCTCCATATTTAGCAAGCCTTCAGACTCATTAAATCAGTTATTTTGCCTCCACAGACTGTCAAGCAATGTGAAGTATCATCATACAGGCTTTGACGTGTTATTTCTAACAAATACTTTAAATGAGGAAACAATAAGGAAAATGTAAAAGAAAATCATTACTATACATATATACATGTAGCAATTTGAGCAAATGAATTCTTTCCTACTTAAGGGAACACCTGCTTTTAAAAAAAAACTGAAAACACCTGAACAGTATCCCTAACTTGTGTTAAATTTTACTTTTTTCTGCATGAGTTTCTTACAACAGTACCAAAAGATGTGTATTATGTATTAAAATAAAATAAATACAAATATATTGAGAAAATAAAGCATTTTTATGGTATTTGTTCATTTAATTACAAGTTTGGCTACCCTCATAGGAAACTTCAAACATATATTTACGATATTTTAACAGCATATTCTATGCATACTTACTTTTTTACAACATTGTAAATCAAGGTTCTGTGCCGACTTAAACACTCAGGTTTTTTTCCAAGTTCAAACAACCTGTCAGCTATTGCCCCATAGTCAAACTGAAAAAAAACAACCCACAATCTATTTAAAAAGCATAAAGTTCAAACATAAATAAAGAATTTGTAGAAATATCAGTCCTGACACTTTGGAGTCTTCTGTGTAAGACGTGCTTCAATTGCTTTAACTCATTTTTAGGAATTTTTATTCAAAAATTTTAAAAAATTAAAACAAGAGGCCCATGGGCCACAACGCTCACCTGAGTCAATATGGCCCTGCTGTTTTTCATCAGCAGATTTCTTCTCCTATATTTCTCCTATATATTCATATATAAAGCTTTGATCGCCTTTTCTAGGCATACCCTACCCCGAGGTGCCATGTTTTGAATGAAATTGAATATAAACCTTCTGAGGATGCTTCTATCTTCATATAACTAATCATGATTTTACTGTTCTTTAATTAAATATGTCTGACACCCTGCCGGGGGGGGGGGGGGGGGGGGGGGTCATGATTTGAACAAACTTGAATGTACACTACCTGTCGATGCTTCCATATCAATATGACTGATCATGGCTTTGTTGTTCTTGAGAATGAAGAAGATTTTTAAAGATATTTCCTGTATATGTTCTTTTGTAAAACTTTGATCCTCCATTATGGCCCCACCCTACTACTGGAGGATGCCTTGAACAAGCTTATATCTACAATATTTGGGGATGATTCCATATCGATATGACTAATTGTGGCTTTGTTGTTCTTGAGAAGAAGATTTTTAAAGAATTTTCCTATATATTCCTATGTAAAAATTTGATCCCCCACTGTAGCCCCACCCTACCCCCGGGGGTCATGATTTGAACAAATTTGAATCTACACTACTTGAAGATGATTCCACATCAATATGACTAATTGTGGCTTTGTCCTTCTTGAGAAGAAGATTTTTAAAGATTTTCCGTATATATTCCTATGTAAAAGTTTGATCCCCCACTGTGGCCCCACCCTACCCCCAGGGGTCATGATTTAAACAAACTTGAATCTACACTACCTGAGGATGATTCCAAATCAATATGACTAATTGTGGCTTTGTTGTTCTTGAGAAGAAGGTTTTCAAAGATTTTCCGTATATATTCCTATGTAAAAGTTTGATCCCCCATTGTGGCCCCACCCTACCCCTGAGGTAATAATTTGAACAAACTTGAATCTACATAACCTGAGGATGATTCCATATCAATATGACTAATTGTGACTCTGTTGTTCTTGAGAAGAATTTTTTCTATATATTCCTATATAAAACTTTGATCCCTCATTGTGGCCCCACCCTACTCCAGGGGTCATGATTTGAACAAACTTGAATCTACACTACCTGAGGATGATTCCATATCAATATGACTAATTGTGGCTTTGTTGTTCATGAGAAGAAGATTTTTAAAGAATTTTCCTATATATTCCTATGTAAAAATTTGATCCCCCATTGTAGCCCCACCCTACCCCCGGGGGTCATGATTTGAACAAATTTGAATCTACACTACCTGAGGATGATTCCATATCAATATGACTAATTGTGGCTTTGTTGTTCTTGAGAAGAAGATTTCTAAAGATTTTCCCTATATATTCCTACGTAAAACTTTGATCCCCCATTGTGGCCCCAACCTACCCCTGGGGGTCATGATCTGAACAAACTTGAATCTACACTATGTAATGAAGGTTTCACATGAGTATAAACTTTTCTGGCTCAATGGTTCTTGAGAAGAAGATTTTTAAAAGATGACACCAAATTTTCACCAATTCTTAATTATCTCCCCTTGGAAGAGGACATGGCCCTTCATTTGAACAAACTTGAACCCCTTCACCCAAGGATGCTTTGTGGCAAGTTTGGTTGAAATTGGCCCAGTGGTTCTGGAGAAGAAGTCGAAAATGTGAAAAGTTTATGGACGGACAGACGGACAGACAGCTAGACAGACAGACAGACGGACTACAGACAAAATGTGATCAGAAAAGCTCACTTGAGCTTTCAGCTCAGGTGAGCTAAAAACATTAAACTGCAACTTCATATAAAACATTCCTCAACAACATTACTGAAAAGAACTGCGAACGATAGTATTGTTCTACCGCCTACCTCCAAGTCAATTTTCAAAAGTTAACACATTTGAATGATTTTTCATATGTATATAGATATTTATATGAATTTTCATAAAACATTACTTCTTTGGGAAAACAAAGAGAGATAACTCTACAATTTTGGTAAAACTTGTGTTTTTCACTATAGAAATCAACGGAAAACGGAAAATATTTTTAAAACATCTCCCCCCCCCCCCCCCCCCCCCCGAAACAAAAATTCCTTTTTACAGGTAATATGGACTGTCATTTCACAAATTCATACCAATGCTTTTTGTGATTCACGGGGGGGGGGGGGGGGGGGGGGGGGGGGGGGACATATGTTCACAGTTAAAAAAAAATTACAAAAATGTTTATTTTTTCACCAATTTCAAGGGGGTTTACAACTAAAACATTGTATTTTATTAATAATATATGTTTAATTTTATATGAGTAAAACAAAAGAAAAGATTTAAGGAACATTTATTCATATCCAAGAATATTTTAAAATGTGGTGATGCTTTAAAGCCCGATTTCAATGAAAAATATCATCTACCCCCTTATTTAAAGAGCTGGAATTAGGGGTAATTAACTGTTTAACACTGGTATTAAAATTATCAGTCAATTATAATTGAACTGTTCTTTGCATTCAACAAAAATTTTACAGCCAAATTGCCATTAGTATTGAATTAAATGGGTGTAAAATGTAGGCAGGAATCGAGAGTTAGCGTGCGTAGTTCTTACTAATTTCAAATAAACATCTCTCATAGTTAAAAATTTTGCAATAGTTAGTGTACATTGAAATACATACAAGTTTCTACAGAGAGAACTTTATAAAATAAAAAAAAATTAGTAGAGATACAGAATGCCGATCAGACCCATTAAATCAGTTGTTTGCCTCCATGGATTGTCAGGCATTGCAATAATGATCATCATACAGGGCACTCATTTTGATACCATCAGTAAAACATACTTGTCCCCCCCCCTTACTTTTGACCTATATACAGGTATAATACAATCTTCATTATAGTTATAATCTGCAGTCACTTTCAAAGTCATTTTTATTATGCCCCGGTAATTGAAGATTGGGGGTATATAGTTTCTGACCTGTCTGTCTGTCTGTCTGTTTGTCCGCAAAAACTTTCACATTGTCCATAAATTTTGATTGGTTGGAGCTACAGCTTTCATATTTCACATGTGTATTCCTTGTGACAAGACCATCCCTTGGGTACCAGTATATTTGACCTCTTGACCTTGGAGTCTGACCCACTTTTGCAGAAATTTTCCCAACTTTAACCTTGGCCATAACTTTCAAACAGTTGGTGCTAGGGCTTTCATATTTCACATGTGTATTCATCCTGACAAGACCTTTCCATGGGTGTAAATATTTTTGACCTTTTGATCTTGACCTTAAGAGTTTGACCCACTTATAAAAACTTTAACCTTGGCCATAACTTTTGAACAGATAGCACTAGGACTTTCAAATTTGACAGGTATATTCCTTGTCCTTGGGATATCCACAATTTTGACCATTTGACCTTGACCTTGGAGTTTGACCTACTTTTGAAAAACTTTAACCTTAACTTTTGAACAGTTGTTGCTAAGGCTTTTATATTTTGCATGTGTTTCTTATGACAATGTCTTCCCCTGTGTACCATTAATTTTGACCTTTGACCTTGACCTTAGAGTTTGACCTACTTTCAGAATACATTAACCTTGACAATAACTTTTGAATGGTTGGTGCTTGGGCTTTTATATTTACCAGGTATATCCATTGACACAAGTCCTTTTTTTGGGTAACAACATTTTTGATCTTGGAGTTTGACTTGCATTTGAGAAACTTTAACCTTTGCCTTAAGCTGCCATATGGGGGCATCAGTGTTTCACAAACACATCTTGTTTTTTTTTTGTTAATTCAGCTTTCATTTTTTAAAAGGCTTTGAGTATTTATAGTCAAGTTCAGTTTTACAATAATGTCTATATTTTTGGAATCATTATCAATATCTCTAAAAGAAAATTCATTAAAATGCTACAGGTCCTTTTAATTTGATATTATCAACCATGGATGTTATCAATAATCAGGTCTATTTTCTGGAAGCTTTGTTACACATTATTCTGAATTCAAGACAAGCTCTTCAGAAAGCAAAAAAATGTATAGATGTGTTTGATTCAACGAATTGCCCTGATCCAAATACTATCTAAGATATGGATTTAAACACATGCCTTTACTCCATTTAGTAGAACTGGATATACATTAAGAAGAATAAATATGACTAAATTTAGAAAAATAAATTAACACTGTGATTTATATATGTTGGAGTCTGTCAAAAACACTCATCCTTAAGCAGACAAGTCTGGGGTTTGTACAGCACATTTCAATGCACAAGAAAACTAGAAATATGTCCATAGGACATGAATGCCTTGTCCAGGATTCATTAGCAATGCAACATAAAAAAGAGGCTGATGCTGTTGAAGATCTCTCAACAATATGTTTAGACATAAAATGTTCTATAAAGATACCTTAAGTTTCTTTGAAATTGATTTTTCAATTAAAGTGATTCAAAGTCAAAGGTCAAGTTCAAAAAATATTGATGCAGTTGAATAGCTCTCATTTATCAGTATCAGCAAATGAAGTTTGATAAAAAAAATCTTGAATAGTTTCTTTAAAACTTAGCCAAACACAAAATGAAATTTAAGAAAAGTGAAGTCAAGGTCAAAGGAAAGATCAAGGTAAAAAATGTTGATGAAGTTGAATAGCTCTAACCAGTATGTATCAGCATGTAAGGTTTAATTGATAAAAATATCTTGAAAAGTTTCTTTAAGACTGAACTAAACACTAATTGAAGAAAAGGAGGACTAGGTCAAAGGGAAGGTCAAGGTAATAAAAAAATGTTGATGCAGTTGAATTGCTCTTATCAATATGTATCATCATATGAAGTTTGATAAAAATACCTTAGTTTCTTTGAAACTGGCCTAATGCAGAGCATGAGAGAAGGATAAATGGAAAGACAGAAGGACAGAAGACAGACATGACAAACACTATATGCCCCGGCCACATTCATGGTGGGGCATAAAAATGGATGAAAAAAAAGCAAAGCTTCAAATACACATCTTATTCTACAATTTTGTAGATTTTAGAAATTGAGCCTCTTTGCAAAGCAATCCCAAGAAATCATCTACAAAACAGAAAGACATGTCCAGCCCTTCAGACTCATTAAATCAGTAGTTTGCCTCCACAGCTTGTCAGACTATGTATGTTTCATCACTCAGGGCTGGGCACAGAGGAGGAATCTCGGGGCTCAATCAATCAGTTCTTCCAGTTTTGAATGTTTCTTCTTATATACATGTATACTTAGTAGAACCTGCTTTCACAAGGTTTAACTTTTTAGAAATGATTGTCTTACGTCGAGTCTTGGAGGTGTGTCATCGTCATCCTCATCATCAGAATCCTCTAGTTCTACACCGTTGTTGTTAGCCTCATCTTCTCTCTAATGATAAAATGTTTTGTGGTTAAATTTTTTTTGTAATTTTTTGCAATGGTCAATATGCACATGAAAATTCGAAGGCTAATTTAATACATGTATAAGACTATTACCCGGGTATTTAAAAAACTTAAATATTCAGGATAGGCAATTTTCTTGAGCAAAATTAAAATTGTAGCTGTGGCATTGAATAGAAAATAATCTTATAAAGAACATGGAGGCAGTCTACATGGACAAAATATGTGGAGACTCCTTGATTGCTTAATTAATGCAAAGAAATGTAAATGTAGAAATAATCAGTAGTTTGCCTACATGTTCCATTATTGTCAGGCTACGTAATGTTTCATCACTCAAGACTTGCAATTCTACTACTATACTAATTCTGAAGGATATCTAAATGGGTTGTCATTTTTGTACATGAATGTTTTTTTTCATATTATAGTTGAATAATAGTAGGGAGAAAAGATTAACGTACATTTACTTATACTTGGACTTCCATCACTCAAAACTGACAAATTTAAAGTCTATCAGCCAAATTAATAACGTTCAAAACTGTTTTCCTTCCGTTTCTTTTTTTAACACATCTAAATTATGTATATATTCGCCTATAAGTCGGTTGTATTTTTGAAGCTTAAATTAGAGGGAATGAACCATTAGAATACCAATCTTTGTATAACTCACGTAAAATTCGGATAAAGAGTTTTGGACCAAAGTTTAACTCCCATAAAACCGACTAATAGGCGATTATATATGATAGTTATTATGTCAGTAAGAAAACCAATTTCAATCTATCTCTTATAAAAATATCACATTCATATAATGGATAATGAGACCTGAAGAAGCCTTTCTGCTCTCTGTTTAGCATCATCAACAGTCTGCTGTATTATGGCATCAAAAATTCGGGATATTACTCGCTTCACCAGGGTTGTGCTGAAATTCAGATTTTTTAAAATTTAAACAAACACTATTCATTAATAACAAGGAAATATATCAGAACACAAACCCTGTGTAATGATGCATAGAACTTTACAACAAATCGTATACATGTATGAAGGATTGCACTTATTACAAGAGAATCTTTTTTGGTAAGCAAATTATCAAATTTGAAATCCCACTTTTCATATAAAGCAATTGACTTACTTCTTGGACTCAACTAAAAAGGCAGAAAAAGGCTCTAGAAACTGGATCACTTGGCTCGGTGAAAGCTGAAATAGATAATTATTTTGAATGAACCTTTAACATTAATCTTAAAATATATATAAAAAATTATAGGGTCACAGTCCATTTGTGTAAATACAAGATACTAGTGCTAACTATTTGTACTATATATACGGTAGATAAAACTAGAGATTAGTTTTGTCAACAAAATGTATCCCCTACAATTCACTTAGGATCAACTACAGATCTGTGTGAAATAGGAAGTGTTATGACCACACCCTGATTAATGATGTTTTGTGTCATGTTGGGCTGAAATTGGTTCAGTGGTTTGTTTTGGAGGAAAGGAACAAGAGGCCCATAGGCCACATTGCTCACCTGAGCAACTATAACCCCCTCTTGTGGCCTTGCCCTACCCCAGGGGGTTATGATATGAACAAACTTGAATCTACAGTACGTAATTAAGCTTTAACATAAGTTTCATCTTTTCTTGCCCAGTGGTACTTGAGAAGAAAATTTCAAAAGATGCCACTAAATTTTCATGAACTCTTAATAATCTCCCCTTGAAAAAGGACATGGCACTTTCTGTGAACAAACTTAAATCCCCTTCACCCAAGGATGCTTTGTGGCAAGTTTGGCTGAAATTGGCCCAGTATTAGTGGTTCTTGAGAAGAAGTCGAAAATGCGAAAAGTTTACAGACGACAGATGGACGCCGAACACTGATCAGAAAATTGAAAAAAGTTGACAAATGGACTTTCAGATGAACTTAGGAAAGCCCTATTGGACCTTTGGCTAAGGGTGAGCTTTAAAATGGGAATGGGAATCCCTTTCCACATTTAATTCTTAAAAAAACTCTTACCACTTCAGCTCCAGATTTCTGAAGCTCATCCAGATAAATGTCAGTGATGTGGATTTTATATCCATCATTTTCTGCCAACAGAACCTGTTTCTTAATGACTTGGCAAAACAGATCAACATGATCCTTTTTCCACCTCGTCTTCTTCAGTAAAGCTATGCCCTGACCCAACATCTCTCTGGATAGCTAAAAATCACAGCCAACAGTTTGATAAAATTCTGATCATTAATACAACCTTCCTTAACAAGACACCCAAAGGCCATAACCATCATCTACTGTGGAATTATTTTAATTTGTGGGTGTCAGTATTTGTGGGCAAGCAAATTTTTATTGGATTGTGAGGACATAATTTCATGGGTAACTCGTTTATATGGTTCTTTCAGTGAAACAATGTGTTAACAAAATTATTGTTTGTGGGGATGTAAATTAATGGGTAATGTTGACCTATGAAATCCAGGAATATTGGTCCCAGATGAACAAAGATGATTCCACAGTATGCAGGGTTCGACACTAACGTTAGACTGTTAGTCTCAGACTAATACATTTTCATTCGGACTAATAAAATATGTGGCTAATTAGTCCGAACGGACCAATAAAAATTTCTGAAAAACAATACGAATAAATTACCGATGTCCGATTCTCGACAGCTTTTACTGGAAAACCCTGCATGTATTTTTAGATTTCTAGCTTTTGGCGGGTAGTTATGCAATACTGGGTCAATTCAGCGCTTAATTTTTCGACTGATCGATAAGAAGTATAAGGTTTTAGCGATCATGATTTAGTATGACACTTTTAAGAAAGATGTTGGATGTTTTAGATGTAATGTAAAGACAAAAAAAAATGAAAAAAGTAAACGAGATCGGGAATACGATCATACTTGCTGATTGAGAGATTTCACAAAACGCCATTTTTAGGGAATTGGGAAAAAATTATTGGCTTTTTGATGAAATTGGGAAAAATAAAAATCTTGCTAACATCAATGTTTCAATGAATCTGTGGAATAAATATATTTGTATATAAATACTTTGTTTATTTCAAAAAATAATACGTATATTAATTCTCACGTTAAATTAATGTTAAAAATCATTGATGTTTCTTTTTTTTGACGGACTAATAAAATCGCGTACCGACTAGTAACAGTAATGAAGCACTACTCCGGCTGGACTAAAGCCTTAAAAAGTTAGTGTCGAACCCTGAGTATGTCACTGTCTATTCAACCTTTACTGGCTCTTATGGCTAATGGCTAAACAATTTAAGGATACTGGCATGTTAATTTGACTATTTGTAGCCTTGCCTTTCTGTAGAAGAACAATTTAAGTTTGTTTTTTTTTGACTAAATCTTAGGTAAAACTTCTACTTAAGACTAAACTAAGCCCAAAAGGCCATAATTTAAAAGAAATTTGAATGCATAAGTTGATTTTGTTTGCATTTTAGCTGGACTAATGGCTCTGTTCTTGAGAATAAACTGTGAAAGTTAAAGATTTCCTTGTTTAAAATTCTTTTTTACACAAACAATTGACCCCTTTCTCCTTGCAAACCCACCTAAAGGGCAATGGCAAGACACCGTAAATCACTAAAAAAAAGGTTAAATCAATAGGGCTTTTTTTCCCTTTTAAATGAAGGTGCCCCCATTCTGTGGCTCAACCACAGTCCTAGGGATAATAAAATGAAAAAACTTTAATCAAACTATATAGGAAGGATCCTAACATACTATCTAAAGTAAGCTTTTCTTCAAGAAATATTATTTTTCTTATATATTTCTGTGTAATTTTTTGTGGCACCCCCTAAAGTTCACTAAATTCTTTGGCTATGGTGGGATTTATCAAGTTAAAGCAGAGACATAATTAACATGTTATTTATGTCTCTGGTTAAAGATACATAGTCACTTTGGTAGTAAATGAACTTTGTTTGTGTTCATCCAATCAGCCTCATTAAATCAGTGTATAACTGTCATGGAGGTTACAGTTCTGTTTTATCATCACTTTGGATGAACACTAGAGGTATGGTTTATTTTCAATCAAAAAATCTCTTAAGTATAGAATATGACTTTAAATTACCATCATAAACTTGTCCATTCTCCATCGATCTATACCACTCCATTCCCGGGACTCTGTTTGAAAAAATACCCCAAGGAACAGCAGCGAAATGTCCACATTTCCAAATATGTGCAAAAGCTTACCCATGTTGTCTGAAAGTTCCTCCTGAAAGATGTTTTATCACTACTGTTATTTTTTTAATTTTTAGATGAAGAAGGGGTCGATACATTGATGCATAAACAAAGCATCAGCTCTCTTCTTCCCAGAAGTGTATAATTCACAAGTTTGGGTTTTAAAATTAAATTATTTGCAATTACAACTTCATGGCAAAACTCAATAAAAGTTCAAATTTGTTTTTCAAGAAACTAGAAAGTAAAGATTTTAACCTTGCTTTTAGGTTTGCTTTACAAAGTACTAAAAGTCTATTCTTACCTGGATAAGTGGTTTGTCTTGCATCCACATGCAATAGTGCAAACCTTTCCATATTTTTAAGAAGTCTGCTTCTGGAAGAAAAAAAAAGAGAGATCTGTGATCAGATCATTTCAAAAAATCACTTACATATCAAGTCCAGGGATGGGGTCGATTACTTTCAAAAGTAATCGATTAAATTACATATATTTACATTCAGTGTAATTTTCTTTATGAAATCCATTTGAAATCTACGACGTTCAAATCTCTGTAACACACGCGAAACCTTGTCACCGTGCGGTAGAATACTCGGTAGGAACTACTGGTATCTACATAATTTACAATATCTTGGAACACCAAAATGTATATTGTTTTGATTCAATTAAAAAAAACTACCCGTTAAATTACTGTAAAATACAGCAACTGTGCATTTAAAATTAATTTGTCTTTTTTTTTTCTCACAACGTTCATTTGCGTTATTTAACTTTCCAATGTCACAAACGGCTCTTATGACTATTAAGCACACCAGTTCTGGAAGGCACTAAATTCAAGGGGGGGGGGGGGGGGGTGTCAACGGTACCAAATCTGTAACAGGAAAGTAGAAAACATATGGTTGGAATGGGAATCGAATCCGGGACCCCTGCATCACTAGTCAGGTGCTCTACCGACTGAACTACCCAGGCCGATATCCACGGCCCAAAGCATTACACAATTATGAAGATAGAAAATTAGAGAATGTAAATATAAGCATTGAATTCTTATTTTTGGATGTCGTCGGTTCTATAACACACCTGGCGGTGCCGACAAATTATCATACCGCGCTAACGCACGATATTCAATTTGTCGGCACGGCCAGGTGTGTTATAGGACCGACGACATCCAAAAATAAGAATTCAATGCTTAAATGAACACACGTGGTAAAATTATTCTTGCATGAATAACGCAGTTTCATTTTCACTGTATGCTTTAATTACCCTTTCCGTCACTTGACCGAGATTGGAGCCATTTCTTCAATTTTTTGAAAGCACTGTCTCTTGTTCTTTTCTCATTTGCCGCAAGTTTTTGAGCAAAATGTACCTCTGCTGTTGGACAGGGTGCAGCCATTTTTGTAAACTCCCCGGATGTAATATTAGTTTCCCGAACCCGAGGCTTTACTAAGATTGGCTTGCCTGTCTGATATGCGCGAAAAACGTATCTCTCGAACGATAGAGACAGGCAATACCAGTCTAAGGCTTTACTTGCTTAGGCACCCATGATTTATTTTTATTTAAAGCAAATTTCGATGTATATTGCACTATAAAAAAAATCACAATTAACCCTAAATGAACTATGTAAATATATATATATATATATATATATATATATATATATATATATATATATATATATATATATATATATATATATATATATATATATATATATATATGCCACTTGAGTAGAAAGGAGGAATGAGTTAATATACATTGAAAATTCATAAATAAATAAATATATATATATATATATATATATATATATATATATATATATATATATATATATATATATATATATATATATATATATATATATATATATATATATATATATATATATATATATATATATATATATATATATAATGAAAAATATAAGGCTGGACCGGGAATCAAACCCGGGATCTTGCATTACTAGGCAGGTGCTCTAACCACTGAGCTATCCAGGCCGATGTCCTCAGTCCAGCCTAAATTCCTACAATAGCATGGGGACAGGACACCCCCTTATATATTATTTCATTCATCTCTCTGTCTCTCTCTCTCTAATATTGCTTCATCACAAATATCGATTGATTGATTGAAATAACTGTTCAGAAATGCAGAATCTCGAAATACTGTATATGTTTATGCTTATTCACCAATCAAGGGCCTCGCCCTTCAAAGGGAATGTACAAATTAAAAACAATAGAATAGAATGGAATAGAATATGATTTATTACCAAATCAGGGCCCAATGGGCATCAACATATAACATGTATAATTACAGATAAGATAACAGACAGAATACAACATATAATGAAGAGAAATTCTTCCATTTAGTACATTGGTGGTGTTTTGAGTTTCATATGAAGACATAGGTTGTCTTGATTTAAGATATTATCTGTATTGATACAACTTAATGTGCAATCATGTGTATTATTATTATTAATATTATACATATAACAATATAATCACGATTATATAAATTATATATCTCATACCTATAATTCACTCTCTTCATTGAATTATGCATCGGCTATGTGTATATGAAAGAGTTTCACTGGGTACGTCATAAAATCCAAAAACTCTTTTCTAGACCATAATCAACAAATGTAAGGGGCATCATGTTCAACTTGTTCAAAGTTCTGTTTAAATCAAGATTGTTTCGAACTACACTTATATGTCTGTGATTAACCTCTCTCATGACGGGGTTGCTAAACTTGACCAAGGAACAATTACAAAAAGATAAGTAAAAGTGTTTATAAGTATGTGTGTATGTATGTTTGCCTTCTCCTGGGACCAAATACTTCCTCTCTGTGTTGATTTGTCTGTCACCACAAGACTCAGTCAGTAAGAACATGGATATTAAAAAACTATATGTATGATTGACCCTGGATGACCTTTTCTAATAGTAAGAATCTATTAACATATGAGACACAATTATGCACCCCGAAATGTTTTCCAGTATCCCACAGATAACCTGACGCTCTGTAGATTTGTTTTAGTATAGATGTTATGGAATTGTTATGATTTCTTTGATATTTATCCTTCACTTCAAAGAATACATGTTAAATGTACGTCTTGAGCTAAGATCCTTGTTTTTCTTTTCTGTTATAGCTTGTAAAGTTTTTATCTTTTTGCTATTTTGTTCTACATTGATTGTTTGGACGTTGTTGTTATCGCTGATGAGAGACTCAGGAATGTCCCTCAAACAACTCACAACAAAAATTGTCTTGTGATTAAAAAAGAAAAGAATAGAATTAATATCCAAATTAGGGCCCAAGTGGGCATAAACATACAACATATATAATTGTAGACAATACACAATGAAGAGTAATTCTTTGAGTCTATAATAAGGTGGTACATTAATATAATTAGTGATAGATTTCCACGCATGCAATTTTCTTAAAATACTTTATAGGTAGATACGTGTATTGTTAATGCAATATACGTCTTGAACATATAATATATACGTAATACCCCGACAAAAGGCAGCAAGAGTCAATGCTAAAGGATACATCTTTGTCAGTGCGGGAATTAACGTTCCAGCTTTTGCCTATGAGGGTTATAGACCATTTTATGTTTATTTGCCCTGCCCGACTCAGGATGAAAAAAGTGGGATGGTAGGAAGGTAAAAAAAAATTTCCCCAGAAAATTTCAATTCAATGCTGAATTTTCAAATTCTCTTTTCCAGAAAGCATAAAAATAATTGCTTCCTGGAGGTAGGGAGAGGACAACCAAACAATTTTTTAAGGATGGCTTTTTTTTCAAAGCTGCAACTGTTTATTACCGTACTAACAAAACGGTTCTTACTAATTTACCGGTGTTTACTGATTGTTGGAAGAAGTGGTTTTCATAAGAAATGGAGAAAATCTTCATTGGATGCAAATATACAGAAAACAACACACACAGCATATTATACTAAAGCAGTGAATCAAATGTAGTGTAGTCATGCAGTAGCCACGAGTGACCATGTTGTTAACTATTTTTTTTAAATGAATTCACATAGTTTGCATAATACATCAATGTATAATGAATAGACACAAAAAGGAATAAATTATAAACTTACGTTTACTAAAACATAGGTGCCCACGGACGAGCCCGAAGAATTAGTCTAATAAAGAATATCACTTTTGATTTACTGTGAAATTAAATTTTGAAAATAATGTCTCTATTACGATGCTATTCTAGTAAAAAAGGAAAATAAATAATTCATTGTCCTTAAAGTTTAACACTGTCAACATATGCTTGATTTATAAATTCATTTTGTTCAGTGGTGTATAGCTTTAGAAACAAGACCATCCAAAATTTAAGCCTCATTCAGGGTAAGTGCTAGAAGATGTAAAAGTTAATACGTAATCATATTAAAACTTTTATGGGCCCATATAGAGAGATTTACATCACAAAGTCACAGTTAAAGTCAAAAGGATTAGCCAGATTAGTTGATTTGTATATATGTAAATATTGGGCGAAATAGATATTTAAATGAGAGACGTGGATATACTACACACAAAGATGGAAAGTCAAATATTGTTGGATTATAGCAGCGCAAGTGTTTACCATGCTTAAAACCCTGTACAGGTATGATCACTATTTATAGTTCAGTCGGAAATCATCGGCCAGCCTTTGAGGCCGCATTGGATGAAGTTTCTTGATTCACAACACGACTGAATGTAATGTAACATTGTTAAAAGTGTAGGAGGACATTTTTACTGCATAGATCGACAGCCACATTCACCTTACGGCGTTCACAGGTAATTTTTCTAAAACTTTTTTTCCCTTCTCCTTTTTTGTGCATGTTTCCAGGTAAGTTTACAGTTGGGGTACTTTTATGGCATGCAATGACAAACCTATGGTTATAAACAAAGCCATAAAGTATGGACTGGCTTGATTAAAACTTGATTTTTTACCGAACATCTGAGAGTAAAATACCTCCTGAGGTAAAACATAAATTAATACATATCGTCTGCTAGGTACGTGTGCATGTCACACTCTTTCTAAAGGGTGAAGAGACACCATATTTGATATAGATTTTCACACCTAGGAATCATTTTGTCAATAAACTTGTCAGCCGGATCGAAAGAAGGAATAATGACCCAAAGTGATTGTAAATAAACCGTGTTTAATATTGTCTTATCCATTAACCGAATCATAAATTAAAATTTTATTATATATTTGACCAGTTTCTATAGAGGGGGTTAATATTTATATAGTGTGTTTGTTTCATTGCAGTGTACTTCGTGCAACTTGACAAAGCAACTGAAAAATATCTCCAGGAGTCCAGGGGTTTTTCTTCTATGTCACAATCAAGGTTAGTTACAAAAGATTTTATGACTAATTTATACATACTTTAAGGTTTTTAAAAATACTTTGATTTGCATAAAGGAAACATTTGAGTTAAATTATCGAATCTTATTTCGTCATGCATGCACGGCTCCTAGAACACCCCACTTTTGTTGTGCAATGCTCCGCTGCCGCAGTCTTTTACAATTGAAACCATTACACCTCCAAATGTTTTTTTTTTCGTTTTGCTGTATATAAATGGTAATATCGGAATGTGAAAGCCTTGAACACGACCCCCGAAAGCCTAGTCAAAGTTTGACATATGAATATTGTCTAATGCTTCTATCTCAAAATGATATTGAAGGTTGTTATACAAGAGCTGCGATAGAAAAAGACCGCTCTCAGAATTGTTAAAGAGAAGAAATCACAATAGAATTTCCTTTCTTAACGGGATGGAGTGGCCTTTCACTTTAAAGCTAAAATCCTTGCAAAACATAATGAGAGAAAACTCGGTTTGTGAAAATGAATGGTACCATACTAAATCGTACGAATTTGATAAGCAATTGGTGCATCAAACTTGTCAAAATCCGAGATGAAATACCATATTGTTTAAATGTGATCTTTAAAAGTGATATTAATCACGCTGTGGTAGATTGGGATCAAGCGATTATCTTGTCACGCTCGAGTAAATCTTTTTTCTCAGATTTCATTGGCAATTGACACCATCTGATATGACCAAAGATAGTCATCACGAATTTGTTTCCACCAAAATGTCTCTTGTATTTGTGATTTATGACCAGATAAAGATATTGGACCTCTCTGGTTCCATGTCTTGTGTACGGGTAGACGATTTTCGGATTAAATATTTAAACGTATCTGGTAATTAAACCCCTACCTTTGGGTGACCCTCGAGGGCCCATTAACGACATACTTACACCTTTACCCCATTAATCAATAAACTTAATTGTTATTTATTGCACACTGTGTCATCGCCCAATAGCACTTTAAAATTCGAAACATGTTTTTCTCATAATTATAAGGTGGCAGGATCCCAGAACATTTCTGAATTATTCATTATAGTGCAAAATGTTTGTATACAATGGTATACATAAACTATTTCCTCTTATTTGACGAGGCTACAGACTGTTTCCTGATAGGTGGGTCAGGTAAAAACCGTTTGAAACTTCTGTTATTGTCGTCGTTTCTAATACTGCCAATTAATTTTAACCAAAATGTTGTCTCTTGTCTACACAGGTATAAAAACATATGGTCAATTAATTTGAAAATTGAGTAAAGAAAGTTGTTAAAAGATATCAATGGATCCAGTGTTAAATGCTTCGTCTCAAACAGAAAAGGTTTCGCTTTTAGAAGAAATTATCAATTACCTGTGATATTTAGCAGATTTTTTCTTGATGAAAGACCCTGTTTTGTCATGTCCTTTGTCACCTCGTAAATCTGTAATCTTATTATCTGTTAATGTTCTGTAGAAAAAAGTTAGGAGGGTTTATTTTATCTTGCCATTTTTTGTTCTTAATGGGAAGATTCCAGTCGAACATTGTTCGTGCAGCATTATACAACCTAAACCTCTTGAATTGTAAGTTAACACTAATATTTAACTATTATTCGCCAGGATGTCCCTATGAAACAAATTTTTGCATTATTTTTCGATTAAGATTTATGCCTTTAAATACTGAGCTTATCTTACGCCATAAAATCATTTCTTTCATTGCACAAACGTGTCCGCGCATTAATGTTAGTTTTTTAATCTCTATAGCTGTAAAAAAAGACAGGTGTAATTTTGTTTTTTGTATCTATACTAAAGGAAGTTATTCTGTTCTTGTAGGTGAAACGAAAAATGCCCAGACCATCCACAGAAGATGAAGGTGTGCTATTTTGACGTTATTTTTGCTGCTATTTTGTACTGCATTGTTGCCAAGACGGCATCTTGCCCTCCGCCATGCCGATGCCATCAGAAGATGTACACTTATTGTGACAATGCCGCTCTAACCGCCAACCAGTTGGAGGGGGTTTTACAGAGTACCCCAACAACAACGACATACTTAGATTTGAGTCAAAACAGTATTTCATACCTGCCAGACAAAATTTTTGATAACCACCCTCAATTGACCAATGTAAATTTTGCCAGGAATAGCATAGGAAGCATATCCCCAAAGGTTTTCGTGCCGTTAACACACTTGAGAAAGTTGTTTCTAGAAGAGAATAAATTAGTTGTTATCAATTCTGGATTATTTTCGTCACTTAGAGAACTGGAAATTCTTAGACTGGACAAGAATAAAATTGAGGATATTCATAATACCAGCTTTGAAAATCTCACTTATCTGGAGGAAGTTTATCTCAATGACAACCATTTGTTTGAAATCCCTTCATTGTTATTCTCAAAGACGACGAAATTACGGGTATTAGATCTATCTAATAATCTCATAGAATACATTCACGATGGAACTTTTACGTATCTGAATAATTTGGAAGTTTTAACTCTAACAAGTAACAGAATTCGCACGTTACAGTCCTTCACTTTACGTGGACTAGTAAATCTCAAACAGCTGAGTGTTCGTGACAACAGACTCTCACTTTTGCGGGCATCTGATCTGGATCCTGTGCGAAGCAGTTTAAAGGAATTGGATTTATCATCTAATTTACTCTCAGCTCTGAAGAGCAATGTGTTCAGGGATATGGCACACTTACTAAATTTGAACGTCAGCGAAAATAATATTGAGTTTATCAACGACAGTGCGTTTTTTGGGTTATCTCTAGACAAGTTGCTTCTGAATGGCAACAAGTTAACCCAACTCTGGAGGTCTTCCTTTCGTGGAGTGCAGAGGATTGCTTATTTGGATTTAAGCGCTAATGAAATAGCACGCATAGAAACGGGAGCATTTGATAGTTTCAATGAATTTATATTTGTACTGGATCTTTCCAAAAATAAACTTACAAAAGTACAACATGGTATGGTGCGAGACATGATATATCTACAAGTATTAAACTTAGCCCAGAATCAAATAGACGAAATAGTTAATACTGCAATGAAAGACCTAACAAACCTACAGGAACTCGATATTAGTGAAAATAAATTTACTGTAGTTGATTCAAAGGATTTCATAGGACCTCTCAATTCTTTAAGACGTTTTTCTTTAGAGTGTAATAAATTGTCAAAATTTAAGAATTTTAATTTCAACAGGGAAATTTATGTTTCAATGAATCTAACACTCTCTCAAGTTCAGTCACGGTCTGTGAATGTTTCTTGGCCGTATGAAAAGGGACTTCAAATGTACTGGTCTTTGATTATTAAGTGTGTTGATTCGAATACATGTTCGTTCGACTCACAGCCCATATTTTTACCAGCCTATCAGGAAAGTCATGTAATAGACAACCTACAGCCAATATCGCAGTACTATGTGTGTATTAACCCAGTATTTGTTGAGAAAAACGTCCATGTTGAACAGTGTCTCTTCATCATGACGTCAGAGGAAATAGTGACCACTACAAAGACGCCCTCAACGGTGATAAATTCACTGGCCACGTCTGGTGCTTCATCAAGGACTAAATTTTGTGCAATTTTGTCATTGACATATTTAATGATTTTTTTGTATGAATCAATAATGTAAATATACAGGAACTATAATATCTTGTCATCTTTAGTTTCTTTTCACAAAATGTTTACGAAAGTTCATGCGAAGGTCTCATATAAAAAGTAAGTCTTTCTTTGCTGTGGTGTCCTAAATATTCTCTACATTGAACTTGAAATGCATCTAAATCAAAACATCTAGGCAATAAATACGGGCTTATTTTCCTGGTAACACTCATAATGTTTTTCAATTCAGAAATAATTTTATGAGATGAACCACGTCAATAGGATTTGTTGGTAAAAGGCCTTCAGAATTTCCAATGATAAGAAAATTCGTGTTAAATTTACGAAATGTTTAGGTGCTGTACTTTACATCGGCCTAGGCAAGCTCGTAAAATACTTTCTGTATTGATTTTGGGATATCATTTTAAAGATGGAACCAGAGTCCACGGCAGTAAGCTTTTCTCCAGATCTAAACACACAACGTGCACAAGGGGCGGATGTCGCGGGGGTTCTGAACTTCAAGTTTTGTTTTAAGCATTTGTCTTCTCTGCGCCATTGCAAATATTTACCATTGAATGACGACCAAAATATTGGCCCTTTCTTGTTTCACATTATGGCCCAACTGTTAATGCATAATCGTGTTTGGATAAATTCAAGAATGAAAAGTTATGATTTAAGTGGTCTATTCAAGTGACAGCTAAGGAATTTTAAGTAAACATCACAGGCCTGAGGTATAGGTAAGCAATTTACCTCCCAATAATCGAAAGTGCACGTTGCATTAAAACAAACAGAAACTTCTGTTTAGTGACAGGGTTTTCTATTGATATAGAGAGCAAAACGTGCAAATTATTGAAGATTTTGACAAATTGTGCCAATTTATAACTCCGGATGCAGTTGCAGGCAAATGTTCAAAAACGGATTAGAAAAGGTTTTAATCATGGTTCATCTAACGGCTATAACAGGACATCCCACCTCTTTAACGGCATAGAGTCTGTCAAATTCCAGCCACCAATTAGAACTTTTTCTACTTTGATGTACCTTAATTGACGCTTTGATGTGCCGACAGGTCTTTGTCACCTTTTGTTGGCCCGATCCAGGTGACCAACCGTTCAGGCGACTATTCATGCCCAACAGGGTCTAAATCGTTTCCTGATTTTCAAATATAAAGCAGTCTTTTATTCTAGACACTAAAGCGAATTTAAATGGAAAATACAAGTCATAAAAAATATTTTTTATTACAAAGCTATATAGTGCAAAGTTGAACACTTTTGCAAAACTTGATTTCTCTATCATTCGTTAGACTCAAAAACATTTTTCTTTATGATACAAAACAATAAACAAAAATCCCACTCTTATATCATGCATTCTTTAATACTGTTTGTTAGTCAGTAAATAAAAAAATATATATATGTGACAATATTAAAAGAATATATTTGATGTAACCAAACCACTGTCCACAAACACTTGTTAACCACTAAAAAGACTACCAAATGGCACTTCAGATAAATACAACTAGGTATATATAAAGAGTTCATTGATATAAATATGAGTTGAAATACATGTACACTGTATATTTTGACTTGGTATGGTACATTATATTACAACCACGTAAAATATGCTGCAAAACATCTGCTGCTTAGATTCATATTTTACAAAACATATGTAATTTGTTAAAGTTACCCTACATGGAATGAAATTAAACAATTTATAATGCTAGTTTCCATCATCTTCACCGAATTCGCACATTTGATTAATGACGTCACTCTCGATTCCTCTCAAGGCACTGTAACTGTTCAGTTTTATCAGATCTTTATCGTCTGCGGACGCGATGTCCTTGATTTCTTGTGCTGCCAGCTGTCCAGCTGTGTCCAAACCGATTCCTATAGCGATGACGTGGGTGCCGTCATCCTTTAATTCCCTCGCTGCCGGGAGGGTCTCAGTTGCGTTAATATTTGACCCTTCGTCCGTTATTAGGATCACCACGTTCTTTGCTGACCGTCTGGCGCCAAAGTCATTCTGCAGCAGACCGTGAGCGGTCCTTAAAGCCAGCGCCGTATTGGTACCTCCGGGTTTGTACCTCACACCTTCTATCGCAGTAGTCATCGCAGACAGAGCAGAATAACGACTAAAACTGAACACAATCTTGACCTCCTGATTAAAGGTAATCATGGCGAACCTGTTGTTTCTGGAAATTTTGTGCATCTTTTCCACGACAGAACTGGTGAAATTCTTGATCAGTCGGAAGTTTTCTGGCCCAACACTCGAAGAGGAATCAACAACAATGGCAATATCGAAGCTGTTTGAGCATGCTACAAAAGACAACATACCCAATATTAGGAAATACATAGTATGCAAAACAGAATGTAATTAAAAAAATACATTTAACATGCATATTTAGAATGAGCAACAAATGAAATACGCGCTTTTATAATTAGTAGACATGGATGCAACACAAAACACATTTCCCAGATAAGTTAGAAAAAATACGTTAAAAGTTTGTTTTAATTTATAGATATTGAGACAACTTCTTTTTATGTATATAATTTTTGCAACTTAACATTACACCTCACATGGACACCTGTAAAGAATTTTGAAATTGATATAACACAATCACATTGATTACACGTGCCATAAAGGTATTTTATATATAAAACTTGATTAAAATAAAATTTAAAAAAAAACTTCCTACGTCTATTTAAACGATAGAATCTGAGAAAATGTGCAAACACCTGCATCAGGTTATTTTGAACATAAAACCTCTTGGTATTTATTACACGATTCTGTAAGCAGATACACTATACAAACTGGTACGAATAGTTGCCAAGGTATTTAGTACCCAAGATGTAAAATACATTCCTTCATAATCCAGGTATTGTTATAAAAATATAAAAATATTAAGAGTATATATATATATATATATATATATATATATATATATATATATATATATATATATATATATATATATATATATATATTCTTCGTTTCTTAGTGATTAATACTGCAAGGTAAAAATATTAAACGTTCTTGAAGACATATTACATATCTTACAAGGAAATAATATTATTATGAACGATTAGTGAAAAAAAAAAATCACGACATAATAGAGAAATAATTCAGGCGATTCTGAAAACTGTATAAACTCGACAGATTAGAAACATACAATTTAAGATAACCAAAACCCCTTTTAATTCGACTTCATAGCCGCATTAAACCCGTTTATCACATTTTCCGGACCATTGAATAAAGGGAAAAAATTAAACAGCAAGGTACTCTCTATATACGGTGTCTTAATGTGTTCATTCCCAATATGTTTTTGTGAGAAAGAAATCGATTTATTTGTTAGATATAGAATGGTCGACATTGCGCACCTTAAGAATGGAAATATCTTAAACATTTTAATGAGAAAAATTATTACATATAAAAATTTGAAAGTGTGACTTCCTTTGAAACGAGAAATTGGATATTTGAGCTTGAATGAATTTTAAATGGTGACACAAATTGATTTTGTTTGTTGAAGATATTTTAAAGGAATCTAGATAAAGGGAAATAATGCATTTTAATTTTTAATTCACAATAGTATATTTAAAAAAAAAAAATGTTTACTTATTGGATATATTTATATTTATAACAACGTAATGTCATCTTTTTAGGTTGTTTTATAAATGCCAGTTTGCATCATTCATATTACGGTATATTAAGTCCTATAGAGGATATGCAATTTAAGTTGGGCATGTAATAATTTCAGAGGGGGATCAATAGAATTTTTGTATGCGTGCGAAGCACATGTGAAATATGTAAAAAAAAAAAATCCCGTCTCATTCGTGGAATGGATTATATATTCAACTAAAATACAGAATTTTTCTGTTTATTAGATTTTCTTCGGTTTTCCTTTTGGTTTTCCTTTTGCCCCTATTAGCTCTCTTTTCTGGAATTCAAAACAATATTTCGTTGTGAATATATATAGGTCCATATGAAAAAGGTTGATACATTTTATTATCAATAATAAGGTAAGTTTAATTCTCTCCTGAGTAAAGTAGAATTAGTGTTTGATAAGTAACCCCCCCCCCATCCGTTGCCAAAAGTCATTTTTCATATAATTTTGATTTTTCCCTCTTTTACCACTAGAGTGATTTCAGCCAACTTATTAAAAAGCATATTTGGATTAGGGGATCCAACTTGGGTCATTAATAAAATGATACTCCCCCCTTTCCAAGGTAAAAATGAAATAAGAGGAGATAAAAGATGTGGTCATTAAAAGTTTTTGGAAACAAAATTAATGATAACTGTATTAAGGTCTCACGACACGTTTTCAAATATCTGTTTTGTTTCTCCTTGAAATATATAAGAAATATATAAGATATTAACATTATCTTGTGATTTCTAAACTGTTTTCAAAATGTCTCAGAAAAATAAATACAAAAACATTGTGGTTGACCATTTAAGTGATTTCAAATAGGATTATATAGGAAACATGATCCTTTGGTATCTTACACAAATGCCTGGTAAGGTACCTCAATTTTCTGTGGGGAAACTTGTTAAAATAGAAGTACTTCAATGGCACATTCTTGTGAAAATTATACGTATTATTGAGGAACGTGTCATCTGACCTTAAGACTAGTACCTTAGGTTCAAGGCTTTTACGTCATGACCATCTTGCCATATAACTCCAAATTATAGCATGAAAGATGTTTTAAGGTTAACATTTTCATAATGACTGTTTTGAGATGAGAGTGTGTAAGAGGTTGGGGTTTGAAGAGGGTGCTTAAGACATGTTCCATCAGGGGTCCGTTTTACAAATTTTGCCAAATACATGTAAATGTTTCTGTTAAAAATTGCAAACATATAAAAACATTGCTCTAAATTTTGAAGGTTTTGTAAGGGTAATGTAAATTCAAAATATTTAAAAAAAAAAAAAAAAAAAAAAAAAATTCATTTTATAAAATCAAAAACCTGTGACCTTTGATGCAGGACAGGTTTCGCTTCAAAGATTACTAGAGATACTGAGAGTGAGCTTATACTAAATGATGCATCCCAATACTCTTCATTTTCTGTTCATGTACAATATTATCAACCGGACAAGTTAGCACAGACCACGGAAATTAGGTCATTATTGTCAAACACTAGTCGTTATTTCCAGAGATGTATCAGAGTGTGACATAAAATTTAATCCGAACGTCATCTTTGACGGCGAGCAACGCAGATGGATTCCCTTCAATCGCATTCTGAAAAAAAAAAGCTGCCGTGTCACTACACTAGTTGAACTCGAGGGGTCCTAACAAAATATTCTGAATCATGCACAGGTACCAAGTATCGAGAAGGGGGGAGGTAGGGGGGGGGGCTGTCCCTTCAAAGGCCGGTTGCCCCCTTTTTTGTTTCAGTATCATGAGTAAGGTCCGTCAAATAGTTCCATGCTATTAAATGTATCTAAATTTTTTTTGTCGAAATAATTGTAACCGCCCCATTTTTTTACTTGACATTTCTTTAGGTAAGTTAGAAGTTCTTTATCCGGAAGGCCCTTACTTTCAAAAACGATGCTACGTGCCTGATGCATGCAGTAATTTAATTTGTGATATTTTATCCCCCTCCCCCATATACAAATCTAATTTGTAGGGCGTAAGAAATTGGTAGAATATCTCTCAATAAGAGAATCAGTACTCACCAATCTCACAAAGAGCTCCAGTGAATCCTGGGATGCATTCACACCTGTAAGTTCCGGTTACAGCAGCAGACACACAACGACCGCCATGTTTACATTTTATTTCATTGGTGTCACATATGTCTTTGTTCATGTCTAAAAGTACATAAAACGATATTAATTTATTTTTCCATGCTACAGAATTGAGTACATAGAGTGATCTAGTAGAAGACATGAAGTTAGACTATGAAAAATGAATTGTGAAAGTTCAGTTTTTCTATTGATTCTGCATTTATTTATCAACAATGCCGATATCGATCAAAACTTGAAAATAGTTTTCATCTCCAAAGTACATTATACGGTATATATTTTATAAAATTAATTTGAATTGAATAAATCCGAATCTGCTTATTGCGTCCGTACAAATATTATCAAAATGTGGAAAACTGAATTTAGTTGTAAGCAACCATGCCATTTCAAGACACATATGTATATGTACAAGAATCGAATTACTTGGTGCTAACTATTATGGTGTCCGGATAGGGCCATTTGCAAAAGCTCAACAGCGCGTTCAGAAAAAACACGCCATCGCCCTAACACACAACACGCTAACATGCTTTCAAGCAACACGCCGTCGCTAACACACAACACGCCGTCGCCCCAACACGCTTTCAAACAACACCCTGTTGCGCTAACACAACTTTACACAACACGCCGTCGCGCTGTCACACAACTCGCTAACACAACTTTGTGACAGCGCGACGGCGAGTTGTGTGTTAGCGCAACGGAGTGTTGTGCGAACTTGTGTTGGTGTGACGGCGTGTTGTTCAATGAAGTGTTAGCGCGATGGCGTGTTGTGTGTTAGCGCGACGGCGTGTTTTTTCTGAACGCGCTGTTGAGCATTTGCAAATGGCCCTATCCGGACACCATAAACTATTGATAAAACTTTGTCATGGAAAAGTCCTACTGAAACAATTGTGAACAAGATATTCAAGAGAAATGGCATTTTAAGAAGAATAAGATATTTCATGTCAAAGGATGCGCTGTTGAAGATTTTTAACACTATGAATTTTCCTCATTTTTCAATTTTGATATTACTGTTGTTGTACTATATGGAGCAATCCAAGAAATGCTGAAAATGTGAAGAAAAAAACTTTTTAATATTACAAAAACGTGCTACCAAGGTCATTCTGAACATCAGAAATTTTCAAATTTCATCAGATCTTCTGTCATGTTTACACAACAAAACTGTACCTGCCTCTATCAGATTACAATATCTATAGTAAATTCATTTTATTTATAAAGTATTACATGGGTTAATGCCAGATTATTCAAATGTTTAAATATGTATCAGAAATTAACCAGAGGTAAACAATTAAGATGTACTTATGTACACAGGACAAAGAACTGAGTATTATAAAAGATCTTTCAGTGTTTCAGGAATGCCTTGAGTGAAAGCATATCATTATATTTTGTTATATTCATTGAAAACTTCAAGAAAAAGAAAACAAAAATAATCTACCTGGTGAACACATTTTGTTGAAAATAGCGCCCCCTACACCCGGAAGTGCAGAATAATCATTGACCCAAAAAACGTTTTCAGACGCAGGCTGAGAGGCAATGTCGTCAATTTCCTGTCTCTCCATATCTCCAGAAAAGTCGACGGCGACAACAAATACATGAACTCCTTGTTCCCTCAATCGAAGAGCCTCAGGTACAGTGTCGTCAGCATTAATATTAGAGTTACCGTCCGTGATCAAAATTACTGACAAATAAATAAATAAATAAATCTATTTATCGTAAACAATTTTAAATCACACAACAGGTCTTGGAAGAAATAATTTTGCTACTAAAATATATCTTATATTAATGATCTTACTGGTGATTGGCGAACGTTCAGAATCAGCCACAATTGGCAAATTATGTACTGTGAAATGTAATTTGCTTTTAATAATATGACAAGTTTGAAAGCATACGCAATATACATACAAGTGTTTGGAGCGCTAGGTCTGTCACCATTGTTAAGGTTAAATATTTCTTGTCGAATCATTCTCAGTCCAGCGGCTGTATTTGTACTCCCGTATCTGTACTGCATGGCCGATATTGCGTTCATAACTTCCTTTTTGGTGAAGAAGCTGTTAAGATAGAATCCCATTTGAGGCTCTGAGCTGTAGGAGACAAGGGCAACATGATTGTCTGTTTGACCGATAGATATTTTTTCCACCAATGAGTAAACGAATTCTTTCATTCGGTCAACATTGTCTATTCCAACGCTCCCGGAAGCATCCACGAGGAAGGCGATATCGGCAACATTATCATTAACTAAAGCAAGAAAATTATACAGTGCATAAAAGTAAGAAATTGCTGATCAATCTGACAGTGAGTGCATTCTCTATTAGATATTAATTACCATCTTGTGCGAAATGTTTTCCATACAAAAAAAAAAAAAAAAAAAAAAAAACTGATTTATTTACTTAAATTATCATAAGCCTTGATTACGTGCTATTTCCCAGCTCCTTATTAAGAAATATACATTCATATTTACTGAACTTACTTTCTTCACAGTTCTTTCCAGCGAATCCTTTGGTACATGTACATGTGTATTCCGTACTCGATAAACTTGTACATGTTCCATTGTTCTGACAAGGATTGTCACTACAGGCAGTGTTCTCTTTTAAGTGAATTGAAAAGAAATATACATATGCAATTATATATACTAGTATTATAAACTTCTAAAGATTATTTAATATAGCATTAACATCTAGGGAATAAACCCCAAATATCTGTGTTTAAAAGTTGCATTTAATTAAGAATCTTAGAAGTACCATTGCAAAGATACGTCATAATAGTATCAGTAAGACTTGTCAAGCTATCGCCATTTGAAAGGAAATGTGCGTTGGCCAGCATCGGTGGCGATACAGCAGTCTTAAGGAACTTTTTATCCGATTCTGAAAGGTCAATTCCTAGAAAGGAAAATACACAATAAATGCATATATTTCCGGATATTCCAAAAATGAAGAACAGGAAAAAAAATAGTTACTCAGCATCAGCTAATTTTAAAATATTCAAAGTTAACTCTAGTTAGTCTTATGTATCCTCCATACCAATTCCAATAATATTAGTTCCCTCCATTTTTAGTTTTCCAGCCTCTCTAATGAGTTCATTCTCTTTGCGCATGCTCTTTGTAATAAAGATAATGGTATTTTGTACATTGGAACGGTCAGAAGGTGTTCCGAAAATCCTTATTCGTGCTTTACGAAGAGCTTCCATTGGCACAGGGTCTGAACCTTGACGTCTTCAAACGAAAGAGATTTGTATTATTTGAGAATATTGGATGTAAATTGAATTTTAATACCATTATGCAAATGGCAAATGTACAACGGAACACAACCTACCGTATTCCAGATACTGCTGAATTTACATTTCTCTTCTTCAAACCCTCCCTTAAATCAACTCGCACCATAGCACTTCCGGCGAACTGCACAATTCCGACGCGGAAACCAGTTCTACGGAAAGCCATTCTTCTTACGAGCTGCTTAATGAACTTTTTCATATCCCTGAGCTCTTTTCGACTTACATATCTAGATGCATCAACAGCAAAAACAATGTCTCCCGTAGATGGACATCCTTAAATAGAAAAAAATTAATTACATAGCTGAACTAAAAATTTTATGGAAATAATAAAATTATGCGCGATAAGAAAACTACATATTATATAAGGTAATAATGTTTATTCATACTCTTTTGGCAGAGATCTCCGGAAAAGCCAGGTTTACATTCACAAAGAAATCCTCCATTGTTGTTTCTGCATTGTCCTCCGTTTCTGCAAGGACTGTCAGCGCAGTAGTCATTGCCTTTGATTAAAAACTCCAAAGTAAGTGACAGTTTTGGTACATATATAATTTGACAAGTCATTCCTATCTGTGTGTACTAGCATTAAAGTTTACGCGAAAGTGAAAAAAATACATGGCATGAAATGAAATAGCTAAAAATAAAAAAAAATATCTTACTATCGTAGATTGGATCCAAAACCTCATCTCGCATTTCATAAAGCTTGGCATCGTCTTCAATTTCCATCGCTTTTATCCCTTGAGCCAGCGCGATGCTTTCCACCTCATCTCGCCTCTGCATGTCTACTGTTAAGGGAACAATCTGAATATCAGATCCAATGGTCAATTCTGCCTCCTGCATTGTTGTATCCTCGTTAACTTCTACAGACCCGTCTGTTATGAGATAGGCAACGTTCTTCACATTTGGTCGGTCTCCGTTACCATTGAACATATTCGTGCGGAGGCTTCTCAATGCACCCGCCATGTTTGCTTTTCCTCTGGTGTAACCAATATGGTCGACCATTCTTGTAATAGTGTTGGTGTCTCTATACTGACCAATGCCAAATTGTATCATGGGGGACGAACTGTATTTCATGGCACCGACCCTAATGTCACATTCTTCAATGTTCATTTCTCGAACAAGGTAGTCAACATACCCTTTAATACGCCTAAAAGTATATTCTCCGATACCATCCGAAGAATCCATGACAAACACGACATCTGCTGGATTTCCACATTCTTAGAAGGAAAAAAAATGAAAAAAAATTACGGATTTTTAAGCAGAAATTTAATTTTTAAAAAGTTTCTTTTGAACAATTAAACAATAAATGCACCAATTTAGTTTTTAAACAGCTTCTTGAGAACATAAGAAGAGTAATTAAAAATATTAGTATTAACAACTGTAGTTTAAAATTCAAAATAGTTACAAAATATTCATCTTTGTGCAAGTACTTTGGTTTGTCAGCTTGAATATGGAAATAACGAACAGTATTCAAGTTCAAAGTCCATTTAGACAATACAAATTGGAAGCAGAGCAAACACGGACCTCCAAAAGCATTAGAGGTGGGATCAGGTGCCATAAAGTAGTGAGCATCCCCTGCCGACCGGTTACATCCGCCGTGTGCTCCTTGTCATGATCGGGAAAACGGAAAAAAAATCCGTAGATAATTCAATTGTTTAAATAATGGCCTAACAATAGGACATGAAAAACGTCAGTCCGCATTTGACATAATGATAGGTTGTATTTGCTGACAAGGTCATTGTATCGACCATAAAATTTGCAAAATGATGACTTAAAACAAGACTGTTGATATCCTTGTTTCATGAACTTCTTGTCAATAGCTTGCCTCGTTTTAGAAATTGTTCATACGAGGGGTGATCAAAAAGTTCGCGAACCATCTCTATTTTTACAAAACCACAATTCAAATCAGAATGAAATTTGGCACACATATAGTCATACACATATTCTATAAATAGCAGGTGTTATATAATGTTTTGCTCGTGTTTGTGACGTCACAAAGTGAAAATGACGTCAATATGTAGGTGACTTGTGACAAAAAATGGTTGACTCAGTCGTACTCGAGCAACGAACGGCTGTAAAGTTTATAAACAATAACTTGCATGGTAAGAAATATAGGACTCGGAAAAAATCTTTTAGCTTCTGTGAACAGAACGTCACGGAGCATGTCACGTGACCGCCTGGATCACGTGATTCGCTAATGGGCAGAACAATGGCAGATGTGCATTATAATCGGAGAGGACTACTTTAACAAAATAATGAGCACTGAAACCTCATTTTATATCTTTTAAGGAAGTAATTCAATTAGTTTGCGAACTTTTTTATCACCCCTCGTAGAGCATGCTCTTGCGTATCGAATGTGCAGAACTGTATTGTTATGGATTTATAATTTAGTCTTTGACCATAACGCTACAGATCCCGTAAAGCAAATATGGTGCAATTTACGGCACAAAATTTTCTGCGTACTTTGGGGATGTATTTCGCCACTTTCCAGCATTGGTCAATCAATTGCCTTTCATTCCCTAATTCTAGCCATATTCTATAACCAAACTGTATATTTTATCCACCTCCTTACCCTTTCTAGTCGTCTTTACAGACCAATAAACTCGCTTGTTGTGAATTTGTTGTCGGAATAAAATTTACAACAAGCGAGTTTTTGGTCTGTAGTTCTGCAGCTAGTATCGAATCAACTGGGGAACATAAACCTCATATATGCAGGTGATAAGGGTATATTGCTACATTAGTAAAAGAAGCTGACGATTGAAAAATTGAAGTCATTACTTTATCATAAAACTTTGTTGTTAGGTAACCATTAAAGTCTTTTTCTAGTATAATATCCAAATATGAAACAGATGTGTCAGACTATGTAATATTGTGATTTTTATGGTCTGTTTAAGTGTTATTAATATAGAATAATCCTTACTTTGGTCACAGTTTTTCCCATGGTAGCCATTTGTACACACACACTGATACGATCCAATGCCGTCTATACAGAAGGCGCCGTTTTGACAAGGCTTAGTGGCACAAGTGTTTGCATCTATAAGTAAGTGTTACAATTATGCACAATATCTTACAATGCATCAATTAAAAGAGAAAAAAAAAGATTGGAGACCTACCTGTTATATTTTTAAAAGAAATAGTTACAGGAAATAAACTGGAAAGGAAAGGAAACGAAAGATCCATGTTCACGATACGACATAACGGAAAATGCCCTATCAAATTGTGTTCTTTTAAACATTACACGTGATATAACAGTTGCAATATTGCAGAAAAAAATACATAACATGCGTTAGCAGATTATGTAATTTTTTCTATTGTGATTAAATTGAACAGCTATACCCTGTAAAACACCAAAAAAAAAAAGACATTTATTGTTGATAAATTATTGTATTATCGATCCATATATGACATAGAAGGAAGAGGCATAAAACAGTTGATCTGTTACATTTCTTCCATATTTGGAGTTAACGATGACTTTAAAGAGACTGGATTTGTTATTGTTGCTATTGATAACAGCCAGATGCTTTTCAGGAAAAAGGAGAAAATATACAGTGAATGTAAAAATAATTTTGTAAAACTACTGAAAACAATTTCACATTTTCCCGTCACCTACCATTGCACAGTGGGTTGACCAGTGTAGAACTGAAACTATGCAGGGCATCAAAGTTTTCTACACGGAGTAGGTTTTCTTTAACAGGAGGTGTTGTCAGACCTATCAGTTCTTCTTCACGGTGTGTGTATCCAACTGCCACCGTTAACAAGGTGGCTCCGGTTCTCTTTAACAGTAAGGCCTCTGGGATCGTATCCTCGGGATTAATATTAGATTCACCATCAGTAATGGTGATTACAACATTCGGAACATCTGTAACAAAATCAAAGATTACATTTGGAGAAAAAAAATGGGTGTATTCAGTTAAGCTTGATCTCTTCCAATACCAAGTATTTTTCTAAACCATTGAAACGTTTGAAGGAACTGAGATCCACATACCAACTCGGTCTCCTGCTGTCGATATAAATACCCGTTCCCTGGCAAGGCGGAGAGCAGAGGAGGTGTGTGTTGACCCATAGACGTAATCCACTCGTTGTAACGCACTTTCTACCTCTGCCCTTGTACTATACCTGGAAGACATCAAAATATGGTATCAAACTTTTTTTCATGTCTAACCAATTTAATACCCTTATTTCATTATAATTTATTATTAATACTTCATTTAAAAATTTTTAAGACTGAACGAAGAAAGCCAAGGGATGAGACACTTTCATGCTACGAACGTACAAATGAAATATTTATTACGTTTAAAGTATTTGTAATAAATTATATTCGTACTCAGAGAGGTCAAACTCCAAGTTTGGCCAATCGCTAAATGTTATAACAGCTACCCGGAAATTTCCACTGTCAATGTCAAGGTCAGAAATAACTGTATAGGTAAAGTTCAAAACTTTCTGGAATCCGTCTTGGCCAACACTACCGGAAGTGTCCAGAATAAAAACAATATCTCCCTGTCCTCTGCAATCTAAGTAAATTATGTATTAATGTGTATTAAAAACAACCTGTATAATCTGTTTGAAGATCATATTTGAGAGCATTAATGTGAATATTTCAATCGTCTAAAGTCATGAATAGAACAAAGTAAATATTTCTATTAAACATACAAATGAAAGCTAAAGAAATTTTCTTAAAGACAATTTTGCTTAAATATGGAAACATACTTTTGAAAAATCACAATAATCAAATTATTGCCATTAAGTCTGAATTTGGACGAAAGCTACATGGATGAGCTAAAATTCTTTATTAAAAGAGTATTTTTCGATTTCCTTTAAGCATTTACATGTATTAAATTATGTAAATATTCTTACCACCAGGTCTTCTTGTTGTAGTGGGTGGGGGCAAAGTAGTAGGTCTTTGAGGTCGTCTGCGTGCGCGTTCTGGGGCGTCTCCCACTAAAAGTTTAAAACAACAAATCAGGTTTGCAAACACTATAGGATCAGAATGTTTGGTCATATAACAGTATGTTTTGCAGCTTAAAAGTTGAAAAAATTCAAGAACTTACTGTCTTTCAGTGCAAATTGTAATATTCCAGGAACTTCCAGAAGATCGCTCTCTCGAGTTGCCAAATGACGGTATGTTCGTAGAGGATAGGTAGCAATTTCGCTTACTTCTGTGGTATCATCCAGATAATACCCGACTGTAAATAAGTTGATACCATCTCTTTCTGCCTGATATGCGGCTTCGTAAGCATCGTATCGATCGGTGCTCTCTTTTTCACCAGTTAGAAGAATGATGAAGTTTCTTGCGAAACTTCGGTCTCCATTCCTCCTGGTGAACATGTAGTTTTTGGCTTCGTTTATTGCCCTAGCAGTGTTTCTATCCCCGGCTCTGTAACCTATTCTATCCACTGCGCGAATAATTTTGTCTTTTTTATCGTAAGCATTTAACTGCCATTGAACACTTGGTCGCGTGCTGTAGCTCATAACTCCAATACGAACTTCACCGCTATCAACGTTTACATTTTCCGCCAGATATTTGACAAAGTTTTTGAATGACCGGAACTGCTCGGGTTTTACAGAGGAATCCATGATAACCACGATATCTTGTCCTCTCTTCAGTGGCTCTGGAGTAGTTACTGGTGGTGGTGTTGTCGGTTTTGGTCGAGGTCTTGGTGGTTCGATATCCTCATCAACTGAAGCGTGAAATAGACACAATCCACATTTACTTCGTGCATTAAAGGGGAAGCAAACTTAAACCAAACTTCATTGTTTTCTTTAAGAACGGTAGAAATTTGTAATGACAAATATTCTTAAATTGCAAAACTAATAACGTAGCCTATTTTTCCAATTAGCTTTATGAAAACCTCAGTTAACCCTACTTTTATTTCTTGTTTAGATGTTGTATGTTACCTCATGTATCATTCATATGGTTCTGAGTGAATAACCTGAACGCATTTCTTAGAGTCCTTTTTCAGTGACCATGCTTTGAAACAAAACTGTCATTTTGTTTAAAGTTACGTATTACTCTAAACTACAAACTTTCCTCGAACTATCTTACCTAGTCCCAAAACTCTGTTAACGGAATCGTTCACCTGTCTGTCATTCATATCAGTGTTAACGAGATGCCTGTATGTCGACAAAGGATGCGTGGATAGCTCGTCAATTTCTGTGGTGTCATTTAAGTTAATGCCGACAGTAAAAAAATTGATCCCTGATTTCTCCGCCGTCTCTGCTGCGGCCCAGGTACGATACGTATCAGCACTCTTGTCGTTTGATGTGAGTAGTACAACAATATTTCTAGCAAAGTTTCGATCGCCTCTATAAGGTACAAACATACTTTGGCGGACATAATTAATGGCTCTATCTGTATTTGTTCTTCCTGGGGTGTATCCAATACGTTTCACTGCTCTCAACACACTATCCTTATCCTTATATCGGTTAAGATGCGCTTCTAGGCTAGGATTGGTACCGAATTTCATCAACCCTACTCTGTATTCTTCATTGTCTATATTCATGTCCTGAACCATATTAGCCACATATGATTGCATCCACTTAAAGATCTCTGGAGGGACCGAGGAGTCTAACATAAAAATCAAGTCTTTTCCTGTGGTCCTTGGAGTTGTTGTTGTGGTAGTTGTAGAGGTTGTTGTTGTCGGTTTGGGTCGCGGTCTCCAGGGTTCGACATCTTCATCGACTGTAAAGGTAATAAATATAGGATCTCCCATGATTTGTAGTTGGATATGATTTTTATCCAACGAGTTGTGTGTTTTTTTTTATCCCCGAGCCTTGGCAAGGGGATAAAAACACACAACGAGTTGGATAAAAGTCATATCTAACTACAAATCATGGGAGATTCTTTTTATCCCATGTTTAATAGGACTCCACTTTCTTTTACTTCATCACTCTAACGCAAAAACCATTGTGACGTCACAACTGCACTTAACTGTGGGTTATGATAAAAAATATCCAATGAGTCATATCCGCGGGATAAAGGGGTAAACATGGGATAAATGTTAATATATAAGGTTTTCATATTTTAGTATACGACAATAGAAAATGTAAGTACTCTGTTGACATTTGGAAACCTCATTTTACTTGAAGCATGGAATTTAATGAACATGTAAATTTATATTAAATAAAAATTAAAAATAAGCGTCATACTTGTTCGAATAAGACTAGTAAGTGATCTATCCACTTGAGGCTGGTCCATGCTGGTGTCTATCAGTGTTCTATATGTGTCTAACGGATAGGAGGATAATTCATTTATTTCCGTCAAGTCCTGAAGGTTGATGCCAACAGTATAAATGTTGATGTCGTCTTTCTCTGCACGCTCTGCTGCAGCCCAAGTGTCATATATATCAGAACTTCTATCATTGCCTGTTATATGAACTATCAAATTTCTAGCAAAACCCCTGTCTCCATTTCTGGGCGTAAACATCCTCTGCCTTGCTGCATCAAATGCTCTGTCCGTGTTTGTGCGACCGCGCCGATATTGGATTCTGTTAATACGATTCTTGATGGAAGCTTTATTATCATATCTGTTAAGCTCAAACTGTACATCGGGGTTAGTGCTATATCTCAGAACACCAACTTTGTATTCTTCATCATCAACGCTTAGTTTATCTACAAGATTACTAGCATATTTTTTCATGAAATCGAATGTGCGTCGATCGACAGAAGAATCAAGCAATATTACAACATCATATCCGGTGGATCTCTCTGTTGTTGTTGGAATCGGAGTTGTTGTTGTTCTTCTAGTAAAAGTTGTAGTGGGTTCGATGGTGGTGACCTTTGTGGCTAAAACAAGGACTTGTATATATGTGAAAAATGTTTATGAAACCAAGATATTATTCGCTAGTTCTGAACTTTACTGAATTTTAAATATTATTAAAATGTTAGAAAAAGCAATATATTGTTTTAATCTTACTTCTTCTGGTTGGCCTAGGTGATGATACTGGAAAAATATAAAGCAAATTATTAAACTAAAATTTCGTCAATTGGTGAATATCAATAGTCGTTTTAAACGTTGGTATTTAATGAAAATCTATTGCAACCTTTATACTAACCAGGGCACAAAGATCTAAAGATCCGCTCATCCAAGTCTTTCAGTTCATCAAAGTTATTTACAATAAATGTGTTTTCAGAGGCAGGTACGGACGCTATTTGATTTAATTCAGTTACATCACTCAATCCAATGCCTATTGCATAAATATGTATGCCATCGTCCCTGGCCTGTGAAGCCTCATCTTGCAATCTATACGCATTGATATTAGATACACCATCAGTAAGAATAACAGCAATGTTTCGCGCGTCCCATCTATCACCATTTGCGAATGAGAAATACTTCAGTCTCATATCTCTGATTGCGTCAGCTGTATTAGTACTTCCAAAAATCCAAGGAATATTGTCAATAGCATTGAAAATGTCTGTAGAAGTGTTATAAGCATTTAAAAAGAAGTGATCGTGCACCGCTGTGCTGTAGCTAAGAATTCCTACTCGAACACTCCCAGAATCGATGTCAGAATTTTTCAGGAAATCTTTGCAGAAATCCAGCATTTTCTGGAAGTTGTCTTGACCGACACTCGTTGAGGAATCCAGAATGATGACCAAATCCACCTTCTCAAAGCCACAAGCTGATGTAGAAAACAAATGGTAACGTCATCTTTGGAGTTAAAATACTAGTGCATTGTACTTGAAACAATTAAAAATTGACGTAGAATTTTTGTAAATTTTTGTAAATTAATTTTCTTCAAATGAATTCAGATGTGGCCAGGAGTAAGTGAATGACTATCCACATATCTCTTGTGAAAAATTAAATTTGTTTATATATTCTCCAGGATGTTCCCCCCCCCCCCCACCACACACACACAAACACCAATACATAATAAAAAAAAATAATAAAATGCCCGCCGTGTCATGGTCCCATTGAATATTCTAGGGGGAAATATGATTTGATAGAGCTATGAAATTCACGAACCATTAGATGTAAAAGAGAGATCGATGAACAAATTGCTATGCACGGAATAGACACTTGCACGTCAAGAATATACATCAATTTGAAGGTTTTTTTTAAAGATAATTTATTAGTAACATAAGTTTAAACAAGTACTTACAAGTTAAAGTCGTCGAAGGCGTAGCAACAGTTGTAACTTTGAAAATAAAAACAATTCAGATAAGAAAAAATAAATCTTATAAAGCATAAAATTTATGAGCAGTTAGATGAAAAAAATGACGATCAAATGGCTACACACGGGTTAGAAAATGTTAAACGTGAAGTTCAAGTATTGTATCTAGGTGATAAATTCTGAGATATCTATTCAACAATTACACATACTTACCAAATCTTCTGTTTTATACTTTTTAAAGAAATAGACAACTGTTAATATATAAGCTATATTAGTGATATACAAGACACTAGAATAAATGACACACAGAAAAATTAATTAAACTTTTCGTTGGGTAGCTTTTTCCATCCTTTTAACCTATATATTCAAACAAGTTACACTTATAAACATCAGTTCACCAATATCTCTCATGATTCTTCTATTAAAGAGTTAAGTAAATGAACCTTAGAATTCCATGTATTATCAAATCTAATAACTCTGATCAGAAACAAGAGACATCCAGGTACCATTATTGCTCACCTGGCTATAGCCAATGTATAACAGATATCGCTGACATCGATCGCCATAAGCTCACCGGCCCCATGGGCCAGGTGAGCTAAAAAGATCAAGAAAATATTCCGGTATTCCTATACCTTTTTTTCAAGTTAAATCGACATGATTTAAGATGTAAACATGTTATTATATAACTGCATGGCTAGAATTAAATTAAAAATTAAAACACTACAAACCATGCCGTTTTGATTATCACTTCGTTAGTAATGTTAGGTTGTCTGAAAACGTTAAATACAGTCTACAAGATAAAATGTACAAGATAAGTTTAAAAACTAAAAATGCAGGTTTGAAAGGAATTCTTAAAGTTTAAATCTTGACCAGTGTATTTTGAAATATGTTAGATGAGACACATACAGAGCTTTAAAACTGATACGAATAATGAAGTAATACATACCTGTAGATGTTGAGTTTGTCAAAAATGAAGAAAAACGAATAAATAATATAACAGGCGGAATGCTCAGCATTTTACATAGTAAACAGATAGTAAGCTTTTACACCAAATTTTTTTGTAATGCGAATTAGTTTCCAGTCAATGATTTGAAGAAAAAACACTAGTTTTCTAATTCTTCATGTCCTTCCATTTGCATTTCCCTCTCTTATTTTAGATCTTTCCCTTTTTAAAAACTAATTCTTAAAAACTTAATGAGGGATTCGAAAAAGTAGACTTTCAAAGAAAAACTTTGTCTTAAAATATCCCCTAAGATGAATTGAATGTCCATAAATTCCTATGTAATTGGCAGGAACTTCCCAATAAATGTCGGTTATGTTAAGATACAAACAAATGCTAAAGCTTTATTGTAGTACAAGTTTACAGACAATGCAACTTTTCGTTATATATAATTCAAAATTTATCTTTAGATTATCACTACCAGCATGGTTTAGGAATGAATAATATCGAAATGCTAATATTACACCATAGTTTACTTAAAATAATACCAGGTTATGCATTAATTGAAAAAACCACACCCTTATTTTCCTGTTCAAAACGATAGGATATATATACATGATTCGAAGCAGCTGTAATTATTATCTCGGCTAACAAAGTTATTTTATAGCTTAAGATAAAACTTCTTCTAAAGAAACACAATCTCCATAGTGAAAATAAATGTACAATACAGAACAATATATCTTATTTCTCATACATTAACTTAATCACCTCTATTCAAGACCACAACTTCCTTCTGCTAATTCAATAGCTTTAATATGTAATCCTAATTTTTAATTATTGAAATTTTGTTGATGATAATTCAGACTTATTTGTTATTTATTACGTAGACAATTTTCTTTTAAGGACATGCGCAACATAGTTTTGAACTTCATTTCTCATTCCCTGTGTAATTTAAATGTTCCAATAATTGAAAGTCTTCTGTGATGCGTGTCGATGCTGCATACCTCCTCTGAATTAAATGATAAGTAAACAACAGCTAAAACTATATTTTTGTTAATCTTTTTAAAACAAAAACACAAGAATTATCATCATTTGATTTCTGTTAAAAGGTCTGGTGATGTCTGCGGATTTTTATTGTGTAGGAACATCTGATAGTACTGTGATTTTATGCATGTATTAGGATTATCTTGAAAAATTATCAACGGAAAAGGTACATTGTACAGTATATGTACGTTGCGCATGACCTTAAAAAGGGATTACCTAAGAATAGAGCTTCTTTCTATAAATCTTTAAACATACAAACCTGTGCAGGCTGCTTCAAATATTGTTTCATCTAGACCTTCTAATTCATCAAAGTTGTTTACAGAGAAGGCATTTTCACTGGATGGCTTATTTGCGATACCGTTAACTTCATTTAAATCTTGTAGACCGATACCAACAGCATAGATATGAATACCCTTCTTGCGGGCAGCTTCAGCTTCGGGTATGGTTCTACCGTAGTTAATGTTTGACACACCGTCAGTGATAACAATGCAGATGTTTGGTACATCTGCTCTGTCGCCATTTATGGCTGTGAACATGGTATCATGCATCATGAGTAGTGCATCGGCTGTATTTGTGCTGCCGTACTGCCAGGAAATATTATCAACAGCTTTAAACAAATCATTTTTATTAGTGTAGTCTTTCAAATTAAATTCTATTCTGGCCCCGGTACTATACGTCGCAATGCCAACTCTAACTTCACCTCCGTCTATGTTGGCAGCTTGTAGGAAGTTTTTCACAAAATCCAGCATTTTCCCAAAGTTCTCGTTTCCCACACTTGTAGATGAATCCAAAACAAACACTAAGTCTACTCTCTGGAAGCACTCTCCTAAAATGGATTTTTTCAGCGTTAAATAAAAAAAAAAATTAAAATTTTGTTTTTAGCTCACCCAAGTTTTTTTTTAAACTTGGCGTCCATTCATTTGTCTGCCAATCTGTAACTTGGCACTATTCATCTTTAGTTGCATGGATTTAAAATTATTTAGTGAAGGACCAAGAACCCTTCAATAGGAGAAAATCAAGAAAAAGGAAAATAACGTCGTGTCATTAAAAAAATATTTGTTATAAAGGACCACTGGGTCAGAAAAGATCAAACTTATTTGTGAGGTTTCTGACATAGTATAAATTCTAGTTTTTTTTTCAAATCCTGGCACCCGGGGTTAGGATGGAGTCACAATAAGGGGTCAAAGTTTAAGTTGGAATATTTAGGAACAAATCTTTAAAAATCTTTTCAAGAATTACGGGACGAGAGAAAATGAAACGTGTTAGCTTCCTGACATGTGTAGAATAATTACAATTCAAATCATGAACCCCAGGAAGTAAAATGGGGCCACATTAGGAGATCAAAGTTTTACATAGCAATATGAAGAGGAAAAATGAAAAATTCTCATCTCAAGAGCATTTGGTCAAAGAAGATAAAACTTATGTGTAATCTATCTAACATAGTATAGTTTTAAAATTTTCAAATCATGGTTTCCGATGCTGAGGCCACAGTAGAAGATTAAAGTTTTCCTTGAAAGTCTAAAGAAAAAAAAATATCGTCTCAAGAACCACTGGACCAGAAAAGAAGGAAAAATGGTGTCCCTGTAATAGAAAAAAATTTATATGGGAATATCATAGGAAAAATCAATTAATAAACTCTCTCAAGTTTGTTGATTCATTTTTTCTTCATATTATTATTGACCCTAGGGTTTAGGATTGGGTTAAAATCAGGGATCAAATATGTATGACGCATGTAAACAAGAAAAAAATCTCCACTATGGTAAGGCTATGTTAGTCATTTTGATATTGAATTACATCCCATTGTTGTGTGGATACAAAAACCCATAGAGTTAGGGTGGGACCACAATATGGGATCACAATTTTCATTGCAATAAAGAGGGGATATGTTTTAAAATCTGATGAAGAACGTATAGCAGGGCTGATCTAATTCTAGTGAACGTTGTGGTTCATGGGACTTTCGTTGTTATGTTATCGACAGTGCATGTTCATTCACACTTGATGAAATGATTTACTAATAAAGAGGTCGCTCGCGTGGTGTAGTGGTTAGAGTGTTGGCTGTAGAGTCGCAGAGTAAGAAGTTGATCCTTACGTCGCGGGTTCGAATCCCACTGCGGGACGTCCAGACTGGTCCTTCGGATGAGACCGTATAAATCGAGGTCCCGTGTCGCGGTAGGTGCAGGCACGAAAAAATTCCTCACTGCTTAAAGGCCGTAAGTGCCGAGTACAGGTCTAAATTTGTAAAATGCTTCTTCTTCCTAACCGTTAAGTGGTGGTGTCTCAATATGAGTGAAATTTCTCAAAGGGACATTAAGCAAACAGCAATCAATGAAACAAAAACAAACTAACAAAGAGCTCTGCTATATATAAGGTATTGTTAACTCATTAAAAAGGAATTCTAAATATTCTAACCCGGAGCTGGAGGCGTTGTTGGTTTTGGTCTCGGTCTTTCGGGTTGCACCTCGTCATCAACTTCAATGCATAAAAAATTAAGAATGAAGTAATTTCATTGATATTGTGTAAAGCATTAGAAATACACCTTGACCAAAATTTTGTTTAATTTTGTCACAAGTACAAATGAACAGATTGATGCTTCTACTTACTAACTCCAAGAATGTCATTGGCAGTTCGGTTAATTTGGGCAGGAGGTGAGTAGGTGTTTATGAGATGTCTGTAAGTCTTTAGAGGATGAGTTGACAATTCGTCTATTTCGGTTGTATCGTTCAGATTAATACCAACGGTGAACAAATTAATTCCCTCCGCCTCCGCCTTTTCTGCAGCAGCCCAAGCACCATAAGTGTCTTTACTCTGATCCTGGCCGGTAAGTAAAACTATTAGGTTCCTTGCAAAATCTCTATCACCACTGGATTTGCGAAACATACCTTCGCGAACGGAATCGATAGCTTTTGCGGTGTCTGTTTCCCCTGGTTTATATGATGCTTTGTCAATAGCAAGTTTGATGTCCTCTTTCGTATTGTAATCATTTAAGTCAAATTGAACATCTGCGTCTCTGCTGTAACTCATAAAGCCGACTCGATACTCTTGGTCTTCGACACTAAATCCATTTACTAAATCTTTTGCATAATCTTTCATGAACTGATAAGTTTGAGGCGGGACTGAAGAGTCTAGCAGTAGAACAACGTCATAACCAGACTGATGAAGTAACAGTGCTGTGGTAGTTGGAACTGCAAGATAAATGAATGCAAACTAAAAAAAAATACAAAAAAATATGACGGTTATGTTTTTAGTGGTCTGGGAAAGCGCCAATTGGAAATTGAATAATCTGTGTAGATACTACTAGCTCGGGTCTCCTTACATCGAGAAATGAACCTTTTAAAAGCAAAACCACATACATCTTCAATATAAAGATATACAGTACTAGTATGCAACTTAAAGCTTTTTTTATACCTGGACATGAAGATTCGAAGATTTTTTCGTCAAGACCTTCCAGTTCATCAAAAGTATCTACAGAAAATACGTTCAAACTTGCAGGCTCACTGGCTATTCCATTGACTTCCTTTAGATCTTTAAGAGCAATCCCAACTGCATAAATATGAATTCCCTTTTCCCGTGCTGCTTCTGCCTCAGGAATGGTTCTTTGGTAATTGATATTAGAAACACCGTCTGTCATTATGATGCAGATATTTGGAACACCGGGTCTGTCACCATTAACCTCTGTAAACATTTCCTCATGCATCATTTTCAGGCCATCAGCAGTGTTGGTACTTCCATATCTCCAAGGTACATTATCCACAGCTTCAAACAAATCAGATTTGGTCGAGAAGGAGTTCAGCTGAAATTCCACCGTGACATCAGTACTGTAGGACACAAGACCAACTCGTACCTCTCCACCGTCAATATTAGCTTCATGGAGAAATTTCTTGACAAAATCTTTCATTTTGTCGTAATTGTCATTCCCCACACTTGTAGAAGAGTCCAATACAAAGATCAAGTCTACCTTAGCAAAACACTGGTCTGGAAAACATAAAATGAACAATTTTATAATGCATTGATTTCCAGAGTCTGACTAAACAATAATTCTAACAAATGCTGAAAAAAATTTTCTTCATTATATTTGGTTCCTAAACGAAGTTTGGAAAATATTGTATTTACTTTGTTTCTCCGTTACAATTAGAACTAGTTTGAAAACTGTTGATGTCATATAAGAACGCATGAAAGATTTTCACTGAAAAATTATGTTCCTAGTCAATACAAAGAAACATACTTATTGTTGTTGTAGGTATAAGGGTTGTGGTAGTTGTGGTTGTTGGCTTGGGTCGTGGCCTTGGTGGCTCCACGACCTCATCAACTGCATAAGAGAAATATAGATTTGATAAAAAATTATCAAGTTTCTGAATGTAAATTTCATGCGATATCAGATAAATTTCACGATCAATATGTACTGGTCCCAGCTGACAAAGCAGGTAACAACATTGTCTTTGTCTGTAAGACTCATTATTTTGATTGTATTTTAGAGGAACTGGGATTTCATTCTGCAAGTGGTAATTCAACTTATAGCTCAATTTGTAAGGAGGAAATTCTTCACAATCATATGACAGTTATTAATATTTTTAATATTCCCAAAACTCAAAATGAATTTGAATGATCTTACTCTGTTTACTGTTCCCGATTTGTATTCTTTCAATGGACTTTTGAGCTTGATTACTGTTCGTTTCATATTAACAGTTTTATGTAAATTCATTGTATAACATCGATGAAAGATAAAAGGATAATGATAAAACGATTCATACCCATCCTGCCCCTTACCATGCAGAGTAACAAAGCAACTAAATAAGGGACTTTTTAAAAATAGCTTAAAAAGAATTCTGCAATCTTGCATGAAATCTATATTGCAAATTTTTGTTGAAATCAATGTAATATCTCTGGTCACGAGCAAACTGTGTTGGAGGGGGGATTTTCACAAATCAATCCAAAAAATTCACCTGCACATGTTAAAATGTCTTCTTAGAAAAGATGAAAGACAGAAAAAACGATACCAATATATTCCGATTCCCCTAAACCTCTTTTGAATGAGGCATAAAACGAAATGAAAAATTCGAAAGAAATTAGAAAAAAACAGTTGTATGGATTTAAAAACAAATCACTTACTCGAGCCGAGAATACCACTAGTGGATGAGTCAATAGCATCATCACCCTCCTCTGTATTAATGAGATGACGATAAATGGAAAGAGGGTGGGTTGAAGTCTCATTAATTTCCGTTGTATCGTCTAAGTCAAAACCTACAGTATATAAGTTAATATTTTCTTTTTCAGCTTGTTCTGCTTCATTCCATGTGGCATAAATATCATCACTCCTCTCATTTGCTGTCATAAGGAAAATGAGATTTCTTGCAAAGTCTCGATCGCCATTTCCTTCATTGAACATTCTACGTCGTACCATACGAATGGCACTTGCTGCATCAGATGATGTTCCCATTTTATGACCCACGCGATCTACAGCAGAAACAATGTCCTTTTTCGAAGTATAGTCATTCAGATCCCATTGCTTATCGTTTGATTCTCCATATCTCATAAGGCCAACAGTGTATTCTTTGTCATCGATGTTGAATCGATTGACCAGAGATTTGGCATATTTTTTCATGGAGTCAAAGATTTTCTGAGGAACTGAAGAATCCATCATGATAACAACATCATATCCAGAATCTCGTGGTGGGGTTGTGGTGGTGGTTGTTGTTGCTGTAAATGATAAAATATAGTGATTTTCTGTTCAAATCTAAGCCGGAAGAAAATGACTGGATAGGCATTAAATCTGCTCTCAAATTTAAAGATATGGATTACTTTTAGGTTAACCTTCGTCAATAATAATCTATTTGCTCCTTTGAAATATATAGTATCAATATCTAATAATTATTGAATATTTAAAATAAAGAAGATACATTCAATACTTACTCGTAGTTGTAGTCGTAGGTAAAAGTCTGTCTCTTCTAGAGCGAAGTACATTATCAACTGGAAACATAGTTGAAACAATATTTTATAAACTTGAGAAGAAAAGTATGAATGCTTTTGTAGTAGAATAATTTTTACCATTTTTGCAAAAATATATACGTAAAACTAAAGAATTTCTCATCAAAACAATCCTATAAATAGCTATGTCATCAACATGTCTGGAAAGAGAATCAATAGTTGTTAAATTTCATGGATACCCGAATTAGCTAGCCTTCTTGGAACTGCTTTGATGTCCTCTTTTCTTGTAATCAAATATCTATATGTACTGAGTGGATGTGTGGGAACCTCATCGACCTCAAATGTGTCGTTTATGTAAAATCCTACGGTATAAATGTTTATCCCCTCATCTTCAGCACGTTCTGCTGCCCGGAACGCCTCATAAGGATCCGTACTCTGTTCTACACCAGTCAGTAAAACAATTAAGTTTCGTGCAAAGTCTCTGTCTCCATTGTCCTCCTGGAAGTTCTCAAAGTTCACAATGTCTAGAGCATCTTGTAGATTACTTTCACCGGGTTTGTATGAAATGTCTTTAATTTTATCCATTACTTTTTGTTTGGTATCGAGGTCCTTTAAATATGCAAATGTATCTGAATCTCCGCTGTAACGTACGAGACCTATGCGATACTCTTCATCATCAATACTGAGATTATCCACAAGATTTGTGGCAAAGTCTTTCATTTGATTAAATACTCTTCTATCATCTACGGAAGAATCTAACAAGACTACAACATCATATCCAGTGTCCCGAGGTTTTGTTGTGGTAGGCATGACTGTAGTTGTTACTGAAATAATGCACAAGAGAAATGTAGAATCATACTATTTACCGTAAAGTCATTAGAAATAGAGAAAATACGATTGAAAAGTGAAATATAATAGGTACCTGGACAGACAGATTCAAAGATCTTCTCATCTAAACCTTCTAGTTCATCAAAGGAATCAACTGCAAACGCATTCACACTTGCAGGCTGGCTAGCAATTCCATTTACTTCCTTCAAATCCTTAAGTGCAATACCAATGGCATAAATATGTATGCCCTTTTCTCTGGCTTTTTCTGCCTCAGGAATCGTTCTTTGATAATTGATATTGGATACACCATCAGTCATGATGATGCATATGTTGGGAACACCTGGTCTATCACCATTGGCTTCCGAGAACATTTCTTCGTGCATTGTTTTCAGTCCATCGGCGGTGTTTGTGCTTCCATATCTCCAAGGAACATTGTCAACGGCCTCAAACAACTCTGATTTTGTGTTATAAGTGTTGAGCTGGAATTCTACAGTAACTTGGGTACTGTAAGACACAAAACCGACTCTCACCTCCCCACCATCTATGTTTGCAGAGTGAAGGAACTTTTTGAGGAATACTTTCATTTTGTCGTAGTTATCGTTGCCTACGCTTGTAGACGAATCCAGAATGAAAACCAAATCCACTTTTGCGAAACATTGATCTAAAACAAGCAATCATTTTGTATGTGTGTGTTTCATGTGACCCTAAAGATTTGTAACCAGTCTTCAATCAGATTGTGAAGCGTTTGCTGTTATTAATGATTATCATTTTCATTTTAAAATGAGATTTTAGAGTTTGGAAAGGTTGAGGTATGAAGGAGAAAATATGAAGATAAGCATGATACTCTGGTTGTGTGTTGTATTAAACATTGGCACCCAGTTTGCATTTATAAAATTGTGAATAGGTATCCAAAAGTAATTGGTTCAGCAGTCACAATCGAGTCAAATTGCAGAATGCAAAGTGAGAGGGGGCGCTAAGATTTTGTTCCATAATTCGAGCTAGTTGAATTTATTGTTAAAACAGCAAAAGTAGTAATACGTATTGTTTTAATGCATATCGATTGAATTTTAGATGCCAAAATGACAACTTCAGAAATGATCGAATTGTGTAACCTTTAATCAGTTTTTGGGTAGGAAAACCCCTTTCCAAACCCTCATCCAATCAACTAAAATCAACCCCAACCCAAAATTTACCTGCTTTCCTGCAATACTTGAAATAGAAAGCACAAAGTAACGTAAACAACACCAATTCATAATTATAATATAAATCTTCTACATGTACACCTCTGGAAAGTTTCTAGACCCGCGCTTGGACTTGCATCACCCTATCAGCACTAGTTTAACCGCATCATTATTGGATTGCAGATGATGTCTAGTACACATCAGTAGGAATTCACAGCATGTTTTAAACAGATTATTATTCAATGAACTTATAATATCTTTAACTCGCGGTAAGTACATTATAATTGGGGTGCCATTAAAAGGTTAAGTATAGAACGGGATGAAATATAATCTGAAATACAAATGGTTAGTATAAGCTTGAAAAAGGTAAAAGATTATTGGATGCCACATGCAGGTTAAACATTGAAGCAAGTCCCTGTGGGTCATTCCCACTCCCCGGAACCGGGAACAATAAGATAGCTTTAATTAAAATCGAAAGCCCCTTGGCCATCTTTGTATTATGACACATTAAATGGTATATGAGGTCATGAACCCCCTCCCCCTAAAACTACAAATGATCATATGCCTCGAAAATGGTTGAAAACTTTTCCCTCAACCATATATAATCTGGTTTCTTGTGTCACTAAATGATATAAAAGTCGACCCCTGGAAGGTCATCCCCCCCTCCCCCCCCCCCCGAAACTGGAAATGATCACAATATGACCTGCGTCAAAAATGCATCAATCCGTTTGACGTTTATTCATGATCCCCCTTGAATCAGCCTCCCTCCTAGAATTAGAAATGATAACCATTTAGAGCCCTGTCACTGAACTATGTGTACATTTTTGTACATATTCACAATTTGTTAATGTCAAAACAATGCTTTGGTTTGTAAACATGTACCACACAGAAGGGCTGGAAAGGAGGGAAAGAGGAATTAGAAGTTATTTCTGCATACATGGTCATAAATGTTGAAAACTACTAAAATTTGTGAATGTTTACCCCACTTCCCACCTGTCATCATTAATTACTCGATCCTTCTCACAACATATATGTTTATTAGTCAATAGATCATGGACTTTTTGGTCATGTTCCTACAGTCCCTGAAACGTTCTACTTTCCCATTTTTCCGTTCGCTAACCGTTCGTTCACCGTTCGTTCAGCGTGCGTTCACCGTTCGTTCACCGTGCGTTCAGCGTTCGCTCTCCGTTCACAGTTTTGCGTTCACCGTTCACCGTGCGCTCGCGTTCACCGTTCACATAGCGTTCAGCGTTCGCTCTTCGTTCCGTTCACTTTGCGTTCACCTTGCGTTCAGCGTTCACCTATCGTTCAGTTTTCATTGCCATTCGGAACTCCCAAGTGAAAGGACTTATCTTTTTGTAGGTAAGGAGTTACAGATTTTTTAATTTAATAACTAACATATCGTGTTTGAAGAATCATTATTTCATGGGGGAAAATATCTAGGATATATATTTTTATTATTCTAACTTAGCTATTAGGTTATTTATTAAATTACTCTGGAAAATAAATGTTGTTCTGTACCTATGTAGAACGATGCTGAAATATTAAATTTAACTAAGGGCAATGTGCAAATACTTCAAGAATTGCAACATTTTGTTTTGTTAAAGACGACAAATCGTTAATGGAGATATAATTATCCAAGTCAAATAATTACGCAGCAAAATTACGAAAATATTTATTTCTAACGCGTTTTTTTATTCAGTTACTACAGAAAATATGATAGAACTAGTTCTGAGAGTTATACATAGTACTGCGGATATCCCGTTAATTTATTATCTTTGGAGCGAATTAAATTGATAGTGTGTTTAAAGGAAATATTTATTTAAAATGAAATGCACTACAGAATTTTCGCTACTATAATACATGTATGTAAAGTCTATAGTTATAGAGAAAAAAAATTCTTTCTTCACCGTAACTTTATATGTTTGCCATTCGATATGATTAATACCCCCCCCCCCTTTTCCCCTAAATCGGTTACTTAGTCAGTACTGTATTTCCAGAAAATTTTAATTAACCTGTTAAAAAAAGTTAAGGTCTTTTTTAGAACAAAAATTTCAGTCTCAAAACAAACATGCATCTAAAAAAGTCACAAAACAATAGTAGTTCAAAATGTACACGTGTCGGCGGTGGTATTTGAAATTGGCAGAGAGTATGTTTCAAATTCAAGTGTTAATGCCCAATATATTTTATTCATTTATTATTCAAATGTTGGTATCAAATCTAGAAATGATAAAAATAAATGTTATAACTTGTTGGAAATACTCGCACTTCGTCTTCGATGTGACGAAACTTTCACACCTGCACAGTGTCGAATGATTTTGATTGACAGGACAAGCACGTGGACTTCGTGTGAACTTGAAGCAGGAAAATAAAAACGAGTAATACTGTCAAACAGATAGATATGATTTGTTGATAAAAAAAAGAAGAAGTTACTTTCACTGTCTAATATATTTAGAAAAAAATTTCAGAGTTATTGTTTGATATAGGTACAAACATTTAGTGAAGCCTGAAAGGAAGGGGGGGGGCTGAAACGGAATCTCTCTCTCTCTCTCTCTCTCTCTCATTTGTCTGTTTAATAAAAATTATAACAGCATATTACTTAAATATCAAGTTCTGAAAATTGAATTTATAACAAATAATATGAATATGTATCTTTGTATTATCTTGTCCGAGTATAATCACGGCCATCTACAGATACATGCAGAAGTCTGCTCAATAAATCATTATGAAAAATAGAAATGACACATAATATATTATTGTATTAAATATTTAAAATACGAGCGTATAAATGCAAAACGTCCACTGACCATTGTAATTATTTTTTTTTTCATTACTTTACATGAAATCGCCTTGACACGGAGATATATGAATGGGTGTTACAATCGCTTTAATTCATTCTATAAGTCAGAAGTTTTCTCTGATTTGTTATCAAATAAGAATAAACATTTTTATTTTCCAACTAAAAAAATATCTTTTATACTTCAGCGTTCGGCAACAATTGCAATGTTTTAATGCGTTAAAAATCGTATTATTAAAAACTTAATGTGCATGAATCGTCTTTCTTAGGACAATTTTGGAGAATTTATTTTATTTACTTATTTATTCATTCATTTATTGGTTTACTTATTTATTTATTTATTTTTTTTTTTTGGCACCTGACATTATAATACAATAAAATAGTTTCAATGCAAGGAAAAGATCAGAGGCATTCCGAATATATCGTTCATCTTGCGTTCACCGTTCGTTCACCGTTCACTTTGCGTTCGCGTTTGCGCTCCGTTCGCGTTCTGCGTTCGCTCACCGTTCACCGTTCACACATCGTTCACCAAGTTGCGTTCAGCGTTCACACATCGTTCACTCACCGTTCGCTCTGCGTTCGTTCAGCGTTCGTTCAGCGTTCGCTCACCGTTCAAGTGGGAAAGTAGAACGTTTCAGGGACTGTAGCTCTCACTTAAATCAGGAATGGTGATATATTTTAAGAATGGTTAAGAGTTACACAGGTCTTGTTCAATCTCTTGATTAAGCTCTGTAGTTGAATTAGACTAAGCTGTACCGGTGTTGTAGCATTTTTTTCAGAAACCAGTTTGACCAGATGAAAAGAATAAAATTTTAATGCTCCAAAAATTGGTTCGACGGTTACTCGAAAAAAAAATGAAATTTCAATTTTTCATTTTTTATACTTCGTAAGTTTCAATGAAACTGATTGTCATTTTGAAGAAAGGACAATTGTAACAATGTGTTGCCCCACTTTCCCCTCATACATAAGTGCATCCATGATGTTTTAATGAGGGAAAATTGGCTCTGAGGGAAATCGCACTCTATAACTATAACACAGAGTAGGGTTTCCGACAGGAAAATTGAATCTGATGTGGGATATCCGTATTGGAAGTCATTCTCTAGAGTCATTTTTTCCTTGGAGGAAATCCTACTCTAGAGAATATTTTCAGCGGGAAATCATACTCTAGAGCCAGTTTTCCGGTTGGGGGGGGGGGGGTAGAGGGGATAGCCTTCTCTACAAGAAGGGTATATCTTGATTTCGCTATACAAAACACTTTGATTTAGCTATTTAATCATACTTTTTCCCTAAAATGTGCATTTTTTTAAACATGGATAAAAGTCACACTATGGTGACATAGTATTTTTTTAATTTTTCGGCTTTCAGCTGTTCTAAATAGAATACATGAAAAAATTGATTATTATGTCTCCTTCTTTAATATTGATTGCTTTTTTGAGCTTTTATACTGTGTAATTAGGTCCCTACTCTGCGGGTACACTGTAGTGATCAGTCTGTCCGTTTGATTTCATTTGTCCGTAGTAAATGTTTTTCAACCTGGCCCACTCAGACACAAATTTCACCCATAAATTAATTGTCCTTGGGAAGAGGTTGCGCAGAAACTTTGAAAATTCCTCCTACAATTTTGGTCTGATTTCAATAAGACTCGGAATACATGGAATACTAAGATAGATTATTCTTTTTAACAGTTTTTCATTTTGACCAACAGTGTTCCCTTGGTTACCAAAAAAAAAAAAGAATTTACTTTGAAAGTCTTTCAAAATACTACACCTCAAATGAAATATGGAGATAAGGTACAATATTCAAGCTCAAAGTCCATTTAAACAATACAAATCGGGAGCAAAGCAAACACGGACCTCTTAAGACATCAGAGGTATAATAAGGCGCCATGGAGGACTGAACATCCCCTGCCGAACGGTCACACCCGCCGTATCATCATCCCGGAAAAACGGAAAACCCGTAGACAATTTATTGTATAAATAATGGTCTAACAATTAGTATTAGTAAACATAAAACTCGCAAATAATGACTTTAAACGAGATGTTGATATTCTTGTTTCATCAATTTGTTTGTCAATAGCTTGCCTCGTTTTAGAAATTTTTCATGAGTATGCTCTTGCGTATCGCATCAACTGGGAGACATAAACCATATATGCAGATGATAAGGGTATATTGCTATATAAGAAGGAGAAGTTGACGAATGAAAAATTAAGTCCATATGTTCATCATTAAGCTTTGTTATTAGGTTACCATTAAATTCTTTTTCTAGTAAAATATCCAAATATGAAACAGATGTGTTAGACTCTGTGGTGTCTTATTTCAAGTTCACTGGGATATATCAAAGCGACATATGAATGGAGGTAACTATTGTTAATTGATAATACGTCGTCGATATATTCAAATGTCGAGTTGAAAGCCATGCACAGCAAGGCAAGTGTTCTCTTCTTCTCATGTAGAAGTTTTTGAATACATTCTGTTTCATATGAGTACAAAAATAGGTCTGCTAATAAGGGGGCATAATTGGTAGCCATGTAAGGGGAATTTGGGAACTAGGTTTTGACCCCTGTTTGGCCCCTAGAGTAAAAGCGATAATTTGAAAACCTTATGCACATCTACAGTACACCAGCTTTCATATTCGAAAAGATTAAATGGGTACTGCGTAAATTGTTAGCAGTGTTTGATTAAGAAGAAAGTGTGACAGACGGACGGACGGACGGATCAGGGTAATAACAATATACCTGAATTTTCATTAGAAAGTGCGGGTATAATGCTGAGTTAAGAAAAAATATACATGTATAGTATGAAATTTTTTTCATAAGTTCTAAGAATGATTTATGCTATAATACAATAGAATGAAAGAAATGGTTATAAAAAAGACAGGCAAATTCTTTTATCTTTCATCTCAGACATATTTTGAAGACACATGCATATTTAAATTTAGCCTATACGAGTTCATTTTAACATGCTTTAATCTGTAGTTTTTATCAAGCTTACTTATTGTTGTAGTTGGCATCATGGTGGTAGTTGTAGGTTTTGGTCTCGGTCTTGGTGGTTCGACATCTTCATCAACTATGTTAGACCACAATGAACACAGTTATGAGTTCTTCATTTTTTAAAAATGCGAAATTAAGGAAAAAGAATTAGATAATTTAAACTCTTTTCACTGAAGATTTTGCAACGTCACAGGAAAAGTTTATGTTGACGTTCCCGTGTATATTCAGAAATAAATCTTTTTGATAAAAAGTTGTTTTCATTATCAGTACACAATACTTACTCAAACCGAGAATATCTCTGGTTGATGAGTCAATAGCATCATCACCTTCCTCTGTATTAATGAGATGACGATAAATGGAAAGAGGGTGGGTTGAAGTCTCGTTAATTTCCGTTGTATCGTCTAAGTCAAAACCAACAGTATACAAGTTGATATTTTCTTTTTCTGCTTGTTCTGCTTCATTCCATGTGGCATAAATATCATCACTCCTCTCATTTGCTGTCATAAGGAAAATGAGATTTCTTGCGAAGTCTCGATCGCCATTTCTTTCATTGAACATTCTACGTCGTACCATACGAATGGCACTTGCTGCATCAGATGATGTTCCCATTTTATGACCCACGCGATCTACAGCAGAAACAATGTCCTTTTTCGAAGTATAGTCATTCAGATCCCATTGCTTATCGTTTGATTCTCCATATCTCATAAGGCCAACAGTGTATTCTTTGTCATCGATGTTGAATCGATTGACCAGAGATTTGGCATATTTTTTCATGGAGTCAAAGATTTTCTGAGGAACTGAAGAATCCATCATGATGACAACATCATATCCAGAATCGCGTGGTGGGGTTGTCGTGGTGGTTGTTGTTGCTGTAAATGGTAAAGTAGTGTTTTTCTGTTCAAATCTTAGCCAGAAAAAAATGATCCGACAAACATTAAATCTATGAGACACTAAAGATATAATGTATTACCTTCGTGAATAATAATCTATCTGTCCTTTTAAAATACATATCATTGTTTAATAATTTTTGAATATTAGAAATATAGAAGATGTGTTGAAATTCTTAAAGGAAAGACATTTGTTACAAATACTAACTTGTAGTTGTAGTCGTAGGTAATAGTCTGTCTCTTCTAGGGCGAAGTACATTATCAACTGGAATTCATAATTGAAAAATACTTTAAGAACTTTAGAAGAAAAGAATGAATACTTTTAGCATTTTTACAGTGTAAAAAAGAATCAATATTTGTTAAAACGCATGGATACCCGAATTAGCTAGCCTTCTTGGAACTGCTTTGATGTCCTCTTTTCTTGTAATCAAATATCTATATGTACTGAGTGGATGTGTGGGAACCTCATCGACCTCAAATGTGTCGTTTATGTAAAATCCTACGGTATAAATGTTTATCCCCTCATCTTCAGCACGTTCTGCTGCCCGGAACGCCTCATAAGGATCCGTACTCTGATCTACACCAGTCAGTAAAACAATTAAGTTTCGTGCAAAGTCTCTGTCTCCATTGTCCTCCTGGAAGTTCTCTAAGTTCACAATGTCTAGAGCATCTTGTAGGTTACTTTCGCCGGGTTTGTATGAAATGTCTTTAATTTTTTCCACTACTTTTTGTTTGGTATCGAGGTCCTTTAAATGAGCAAATGTATCTGAATCCCCGCTGTAACGTACGAGACCAATGCGATACTCTTCATCATCAATACTGAGATTATCCACAAGATTTGTGGCAAAGTCTTTCATTTGATTAAATACTCTTCTATCATCTACGGAAGAATCTAGCAAGACTACAACATCATATCCAGTGTCCCGAGGTTTTGTTGTGGTAGGCATGACTGTAGTTGTTACTGAAATAATGCACAAGAGAAATGTAGAATCATACTATTTACCGTAAAGTCATTAGAAATAGAGAAAATACGATTGAAAAGTGAAATATAATAGGTACCTGGACAGACAGATTCAAAGATCTTCTCATCTAAACCTTCTAGTTCATCAAAGGAATCAACTGCAAACGCATTCACACTTGCAGGCTGGCTAGCAATTCCATTTACTTCCTTCAAATCCTTAAGTGCAATACCAATGGCATAAATATGTATGCCCTTTTCTCTGGCTTTTTCTGCCTCAGGAATCGTTCTTTGATAATTGATATTGGATACACCATCAGTCATGATGATGCATATGTTGGGAACACCTGGCCTATCACCATTGGCTTCCGAGAACATTTCTTCGTGCATTGTTTTCAGTCCATCAGCGGTGTTTGTGCTTCCATATCTCCAAGGAACATTATCAACGGCCTCAAACAACTCTGCTTTTGTATTATAAGTGTTGAGCTGGAATTCTACAGTAACTTGGGTACTGTAAGACACAAGACCGACTCTCACCTCCCCACCATCTATGTTTGCAGAGTGAAGGAACTTTTTGAGGAATACTTTCATTTTGTCGTAGTTATCGTTGCCCACGCTAGTAGACGAATCCAGAATGAATACCAAATCCACCTTTGCGAAACATTGATCTTAAACAAGATTGAAACTGTGCAATCATTCTGTGTTTGTTTGTGTTTCATTGTGAAGCGTTTGCTTATATTAATTGACTTATATTAAAATTAAATTTCAGAGAGTTTGGAAGGGTTAAGGCATGAAGGAGAAAATAGGAAGATAAGCTAAATTTTGTTTGGTGGTATGAGAGGACTGGGTATCGCTGTCATTGTACAGCGTAATTATCTCTATACAAAAAAGATTTTTTTACTTTGTAGTCTTGTAACTCTTCTGTAGTCCTTGAAGAGTTAATAGTAATTTCTTTAAGGAGGGATTCTTCTCGTGTTTATCATATTAAAAAATTAATGAAATTTTCATAGATTCAAGAAGACAATATAACTAAGTGATGACAGCAATTACATTATATTTGACCATTTAATTAAAAGGTCACGGTCATTATCTTTTCCTTGTCATTCAGAATCAAAAATTATTGTTGCCAATCATGTAATGCTTATTTTTTTTTAAAAAAAAGGTTTAATCTCTTTCTTTTTTCATAAAAAGTTGATACAAAAAAGGTCTACCAGATGATGATATCAAATTGAAATAAACAGTTAAGCTAAATAGATATTGGGTAAGCCGAATTTCCTCTATTCTTCTTAATGTTTTAGGGAATATTCGTTATTTTTATGTGCTTTGCATATTTAAAATTTTATTATTTTTACCTATGGTAAAGTAGTCTTGTAAAGGTGTAAAATGATACAAAAACCAAAAGTTTTGACCGTTTAACAAGAGAAAAAAATTTTTACTGAATTTTTAGTCGAATCTGTTCTTTGATTCCTTAGCTTTCAAAGGCTATAAGATTGCCATTTGTCATATTTATTTGATATATTTTAAAACTTTATTCCATTATGATTAATTTCACTTACTACAAAAATTTCCTTACACCTTTGATTGTTTAAAACTGCCTATTAGATTCATTGTTCTCTAATAATTTTGAGAAGCAGAAAAGGCGATATTTTCATACGCCGGCATTCCGCCAAAAATATAGTCCCTGCTAGATTTCAAAGTCAGTTTACCATTACTATTTCAAATTGTACAATTATGAAAAAGAAAGAAAAATATTACCTGTAAAACCCTTCACATCCAAATAAAAAAGACATATTAGCCAATTTACTTTGAGTACTTCATTTAGTTAGAAACCAGACAAGAATCCCTCCTTAAATGAACTCTTCATATATATAAGGAAATAAAAGGCCATAAAAACAATCGTCAATATAAACTGTCAGAAAGTTCAAGACAAGAATAGGCAGTTTATTATTAGGAAATAACCGAAGATTTATCCGTATTTGTAAACAACAATACCAGCGGCAACAGTAATTGTTTATCAATTTACTGTCAGAGTACAAGTATTGCAAAATCATGCATACGTCTCCAAAGAGTAAACATGTGTCCAAGTATACGAGTTTTTCAGTGTTTGTCATCGATACTGTTTTTTAAAACCCTGTCTTCAGTTTCAGATAAATTTCCTTCATAATTTATCAATTATAAACATGTTTGAACAGACAAAATGACTTCCTCTCACATTTAGTTCTGCAGAAGTTTTGTCTGAATTTATGGTTGAAAAAATTACAGTTACCTGGGGTGCGTTCAACAGCGTAGCTGCTGCGTAGCCTCTACGTGATGCTACTCTCTTGAATGGAGAGCTAGCCTAGCCGCTACGTAGGGAGAACTAGCATAAATATTTGATGCTAAGTACCAAATCCAAGATGGCCTCCTTAGTTACAACCTCGCAGCATATATGATTTTAACAAAATGGGCAATAATTTTGGTGCATCTTAGCATATTAAATGTATATATACATATATATTTTCGCTTGAAATAAACTTTTTTGCTCCAAAAATAAGTTTAAACTGATATATTTATATTCGAAATTTAACACTTAGCTGCTAGATTAGCTGTCCGTTCAGTAGAGATAGATATCTACAACCTAGCTGCTAGGTTAGCCACTACGATCTTGAACGCAGCCCTGTTGTGGTCTGTTTTCAACATTTGAAAAAATCGTGAGAAATGAATGGGTATCAGGACATTGAAACATAATTCAAAAAGCAAATTAATGGCAAATCTGAGGTAACAAAACTAAAAAAAATATTTCAGCTGTTTTGAACATTTTTCTGAATCTGGAAAGGAATGTAAATAGTAATATACCAATATTTTGTTGGAATTTGACAGTTTTCATTTCCATTTATCAAAATTCACCTACAGAAGTTTTTGTACGCTTGATTTACATATAACATATATTGATCAATATTATGTAACAAGTAAAACATAATGCAACATTTCATAACGTAATGTGGTTACTTTTTTTTAAAATTCGAATAACTGTATTGATGTTAAGTCTGTATTTTTACTAGATTGTCATGTTTATCTAACATTTTCATTATTTTAGATTTTTTTTTTATAAATCACTTCATCATATGTAATTGTAATGGTTTTAGCCACTTTCCGCGTGTTTTATATTGCTTTTGTTATGTGTTTTTATCTGAACATGATGTGCAGTATACCAAGATGCAATACATTCTAAAATTAAGGTTTATTGTGATGTTCTCCTTAAAATTAAAATGAAACTGATGATTATATGAAGCATTTCTGCTAATTTGATGAATTTCAAGAAATTTTTATTTGGACCCCCAGCCTCCTTCAACATTCTCACCCATTTTGACATATTTTCCACTATGATTTAGTGTACTGTTTATCAATCTTACTTATTGTTGTAGTTGGCATCATGGTGGTAGTGGTGGTGGTGGTAGTTGTAGGTTTTGGTCTCGGTCTTGGTGGTTCTACATCTTCATCAACTACATAATAAAAAAATGGGCATAGTTATGAGTTCTTTATTTTTTAGAATGCAAAATTAACGAGAACAGAGTTAGACAAAGTAACCTGTTTTCATTGCTTGTATTTTTCAACGTCACAAGATGTTATATAGCTGAATCCATTATATATATATATATATATATATATATATATCTATATCTATATCTATATATATATATATATATATATAGTGAAACGGTAGTAAATGTCCATAGTATGTATGTTTGTTTGTTGTTTAACGTCTCAAGAATTTTTCACTCATATCGAGACTCCAATGTCCATAGTATAAAATATTAGTAAATAATGAACAATTTAGGAGGCCAAGTAAGATTACTTTTTAAAATTATTTAAAAATAAACCATATGCAAATGGAAGATTATAGCTAGAAAGAAGCTGTCTATTTCATTTATATGTACAAGTTCAATTATCTACTTCTTGGTGCCAAATTGACATTTACCTGCGACAATATATAATGCTTCCTTAGTGATGTCATAATAACGTTATAACAACGAAGTTGTATTATTTTTATAAACTTTTTAACACTCTGAAGAGCTGCATGGCGAAGCGCTTAGTGTATTAAATGTTGACTTGTTTTTTTTTATCTTGGATTTAATGGGACATATATAATATCTTGTGACGTTGCAAATTCATGCAATGAAAGCAAGTTCAAAGTAGACTGTATAAAGATGTTCCCATGTATATAAAGAGGTGAATCTTTCTGCTGAAAAGTATAGATTACCGCAAAATACTCACTTGACCCGAGAATATCACCAGTGGACTTGTCTATAGCATTATCACCCTCCTTTGTATTAATGAGATGACGATAAATGGAGAGAGGGTGGGTTGAAGTCTCGTTAATTTCCGTTGTATCGTCTAAGTCAAAACCTACAGTGTATAAGTTAATATTTTCTTTTTCAGCTTGTTCTGCTTCATTCCATGTGGCATAAATATCATCACTTCTCTCATTTGCTGTCATAAGGAAAATGAGATTTCTTGCGAAGTCTCGATCGCCATTTCTTTCATTGAACATTCTACGTCGTACCATACGAATGGCACTTGCTGCATCAGATGATGTTCCTATTTTATGACCCACACGATCAACAGCAGAAACAATGTCCTTTTTCGAAGTATAGTCATTCAGATCCCATTGCTTATCGTTTGATTCTCCATATCTCATAAGGCCCACCGTGTATTCTTTATCATCAATGTTGAATCGATTGACCAGAGATTTGGCATATTTTTTCATGGAGTCGAAAATTCTCTGTGGAACTGAAGAATCCATCATGATGACAACATCATATCCAGAATCGCGTGGTGGGGTTGTCGTGGTTGTTGTTGCTAAAAGTTGTAAAATAGTGATTTTCTGTTCACAGTTAGCAAGAAGAAAATTTGACGAACATAAAATCTATGAGGCATTAAAGATATAATGGATTACCTTCGTCAATAATAATCTATTTGTCATTTTAAGATATATATCAATATCTAATAATTATTGAAAATTAGAAATATAGAAGCTATGTTCAAATTCTAAAAAGAAAGACGTCTGTTAGAAATACTTACTCGTAGTTGTAGTCGTAGGTAAAAGTCTGTCTCTTCTACGGCGAAGTACATTATCAACTGAAAATCATAATTCAAAATATATTTCATGAACTTTAAAACATTGAATTCTTTTTGCATCTTTACAAAACTAGATACATAAAATTAAAGAATTTTCCATCAAAACAATCGTATGAATAGCTATCTCATGAGAATATGTAAAAAAAAAAAATCAAACGTATGGATACCCGAATTTGCTAGCCTTCTTGGAACTGCTTTGATGTCCTCTTTTCTTGTAATCAAATATCTATATGTACTGAGTGGATGTGTGGGAACCTCATCGACCTCAAATGTGTCGTTTATGTAAAATCCTACGGTATAAATGTTTATCCCCTCATCTTCAGCACGTTCTGCTGCCCGGAACGCCTCATAAGGATCCGTACTCTGATCTACACCAGTCAGTAAAACAATTAAGTTTCGTGCAAAGTCTCTGTCTCCATTGTCCTCCTGGAAGTTCTCGAAGTTCACAATGTCTAGAGCATCTTGTAGGTTACTTTCGCCGGGTTTGTATGAAATGTCTTTAATTTTTTCCACTACTTTTTGTTTGGTATCGAGGTCCTTTAAATGAGCAAATGTATCTGAATCCCCGCTGTAACGTACGAGACCAATGCGATACTCTTCATCATCAATACTGAGATTATCCACAAGATTTGTGGCAAAGTCTTTCATTTGATTAAATATTCTTCTATCATCTACGGAAGAATCTAGCAAGACTACAACATCATATCCAGTGTCCCGAGGTTTTGTTGTGGTAGGCATGACTGTAGTTGTTACTGAAATAATGCACCAGAGAAATGTTGAATCACACTAATTACCATAAAATCATTAGAAATAGAGAAAATACGATTGAAAAGTGAAAATATAATAGGTACCTGGACAGACAGATTCAAAGATCTTCTCATCTAAACCTTCTAGTTCATCAAAGGAATCAACTGCAAACGCATTCACACTTGCAGGCTGGCTAGCAATTCCATTTACTTCCTTCAAATCCTTAAGTGCAATACCAATGGCATAAATATGTATGCCCTTTTCTCTGGCTTTTTCTGCCTCAGGAATCGTTCTTTGATAATTGATATTGGATACACCATCAGTCATGATGATGCATATGTTGGGAACACCTGGCCTATCACCATTGGCTTCCGAGAACATTTCTTCGTGCATTGTTTTCAGTCCATCAGCGGTGTTTGTGCTTCCATATCTCCAAGGAACATTATCAACGGCCTCAAACAACTCTGCCTTTGTGTTATAAGTGTTGAGCTGGAATTCTACAGTAACTTGGGTACTGTAAGACACAAGACCGACTCTCACCTCCCCACCATCTATGTTTGCAGAGTGAAGGAACTTTTTGAGGAATACTTTCATTTTGTCGTAGTTATCGTTGCCCACGCTTGTAGACGAATCCAGAATGAAAACCAAATCCACTTTTGCGAAACATTGATCTAAAACACGGTTGAACAAAAATGCAATTTGCTTTGTGTTAGGGTGATTGTGTGTGTGTTTTATAACACCCATAACAAATGGAATTAGTGCTTTATTATATTATGAAGTGTTTGCTGATATTAACTTACGTTTAGAATGAAATTTCAGAGTTTGGAAAGGCTGAGGCATGAAGGAGAAAACAAGAATATAAGCAGGATATTTTGGTTGTTTTTGGTATTAAACATTAGCACTCAATTTGCTTTTATAAAATTTTGAATAGGTATCCAAATGTAATTGTAAGGCAAATTTCAAAATTCAAAGTGAACACTCTTGAGATAGATAAATATCGTCAAGTCAAGTAATCGCCGAGATCAATGTTTATATTTAGGCAAGTACGGCAAGTTGGTCGCTACTACATATTTCAAAGCCCATAAGACGTGTGATTTCAAAATACTGGATTTACCACTAGAAATTATGATGAGTTTGGAAGAAGTATACAGGTATAGTATTAAAGCTTTGTCATACGTTCTACGAATTATTTAAATTACAGACATAAGAATGAAAAATATTGTTATAAAAAGCAGGTAAAATTTTTAATCTTTCGTCTCGAGATGATTTTGAGGACACATATTTTCATTCAGTCTATAAGAATATATTTGACAATTTTTAAATCTGATTTAATGTAGTGGTTATCAATCTTACTTATTGTTGTAGTTGGCATCATGGTGGTAGTTGTGGTGGTGGTAGTTGTAGGTTTTGGTCTCGGTCTTGGTGGTTCTACATCTTCATCAACTACGTTAGAAAAAAATGGACATAAATATGACTTTTTCAATTTTCAAAAATACAAAATTAACGAGAGAAAAGAATTAAATAGTTTAAACTCTTTTGGCTGTAAATTTTGCATCGTCACAGGAAGACTTTATGTATTCCCATGTATATTTAGGAATAAATGTTTCTGAATACAATAGTTATAAATTTCCACAAAATACATACTCAAACCGAGAATATCACCAGTGGACTTGTCTATAGCATCATCACCCTCCTTTGTATTAATGAGATGACGATAAATGGAGAGAGGGTGGGTTGAAGTCTCGTTAATTTCTGTTGTATCGTCTAAGTCAAAACCTACAGTGTATAAGTTAATATTTTCTTTTTCAGCTTGTTCTGCTTCATTCCATGTGGCATAAATATCATCACTCCTCTCATTTGCTGTCATAAGGAAAATGAGATTTCTTGCGAAGTCTCGATCGCCATTTCTTTCATTGAACATTCTACGTCGTACCATACGAATGGCACTTGCCGCATCAGATGATCTTCCTATTTTATGACCCACGCGATCAACAGCAGAAACAATGTCCTTTTTCGAAGTATAGTCATTCAGATCCCATTGCTTATCGTTTGATTCTCCATATCTCATAAAGCCCACCGTGTATTCTTTGTCATCGATGTTGAATCGATTGACCAGAGATTTGGCATATTTTTTCATGGAGTTAAAGATTTTCTGTGGAACTGAAGAATCCATCATGATGACAACATCATATCCAGAGTCGCGTGGTGGGGTTGTAGTTGTTGTTGCTATAAATAGTAAAATATAATTTTTTCCTGTAAATCTTAGCAAGAAAATGGTTGGACGGACATTAAATCTGTCCTTACAATAAAAGACGTGGATTACCTTTAGCTTTAAAATTTGGTTAAAAATCAAAACATATATTATGAAGTTCGAAATGAATACTGCCTGTTCAAAAAATATTTTTAATCTAAAACTCTCAAAAATGGCGCATTACCCACTATTTTTGTAAGGAAAAATATTGATTAAAATGTTTTAAAAAGTAATCGTCAAAATGTTTTAATTTTGTAATATTATTTCTCTTGACATTATAAAACTGTAAAATATTCGTATTTGAGTGATTTTTTTCAAAGTTATATTGATTAGTTTATGACATGATATTTTCCTCAAGACTAATCTACATGTCTTTGCTCTTTTGAAATATATTTTAACAACTGATAATTGTTGAATGTTTGAAATATAGGAGATATGTTCAATTTAAAAAAACCTTCTTTTACAAATACTTACTCGTAGTTGTAGTCGTAGGTAAAAGTCTGTCTCTTCTCGGGCGAAGTATATTATCAACTGGAAACATAATTCCAAAAATATTTATGAATTTAAGATAAAAAACATAAATAATTTTTGTACCACAATAAATTTTCATATCTTTTGCAGCACTGTGTAGGCTACAAAAAGGAGGTAGAGCCTAATTTATAGGGGATTTATTAACTATGGCATAGAGTTCTTAAAAATATAATGATATGAAAGTTAATAAAATGATGTGCGATTTTTAACTGTAGGAGAACCTTAAACTACATCAAAACGTATTATTACCTGCTGGTTTGTCGTTAACTTACATTTTCTAGCAAGATCGCAGTGACCTGTCGATGTAACGTCATTCCGTAAAATAAACGTAGTTTGTTTGCAGTTTGATACGGATCAAGTTATATTGTCACAACGAGCTAGTTAACTGATTCTGCTGTATATTTGTGTGCAGGTACATTCGGGGGTAATGTAAGTGTCTTAAAAAATCGATCTAATGCAAGGGCATACACGTAATACATCATAGTAAGCTTTTATACAATTATATAATCTAGGGGTATTGAATTACAGAAAAGTGCTGCGATCCTGGTGAAATTTTGAATATGAATTATTTCTATATTGAATGAAGCTGACAAGAAAAATTTCAGCATGTGGTCTTACAAATATAATCTTAATGAAACAGAAGAATCTATATAGCTTTTCACAAACTACAATCAGTGTTAAAAATATTTCTATACTAAACTTTGAATTTTAAGATTGGTTATGTCTTTGCACTGTTGAAATTTATAGGAGATCTACATACTGCAAGTATATTTGCTAAAATCACATGACTGCCACATAACGTAACAAGTCAAAAAAAATTCTAATCCTCTTCAATATGTATCCGATATTGTAGAGTACTAAAACGAATCGCCATCCTGATTTAGAATGTATTTCTATCACAAAAAAATGGTCGATATTTCCATTGAGCACCTCAACAATACTGCGCTAAAAGAAGTTAGAATTATAAAAATTCACTACTTTTCAATTAAAATAATCCTCTCAGCTAAAGATAAATGGTTATATCATTAAGCTATTTAAAAAAAAATAGGATCAAACGTTTTTAAAACGCGTGGATTGAATACTGTTCATTATCTCCATATATTTCATACCCGAATAAGCTAGCCTTCTTGGAACTGCTTTGATGTCCTCTTTTCTTGTAATCAAATATCTATATGTACTGAGTGGATGTGTGGGAACCTCATCGACCTCAAATGTGTCGTTTATGTAAAATCCTACGGTATAAATGTTTATCCCCTCATCTTCAGCACGTTCTGCTGCCCGGAACGCCTCATAAGGATCCGTACTCTGATCTACACCAGTCAGTAAAACAATTAAGTTTCGTGCAAAGTCTCTGTCTCCATTGTCCTCCTGGAAGTTCTCGAAGTTCACAATGTCTAGAGCATCTTGTAGGTTACTTTCGCCGGGTTTGTATGAAATGTCTTTAATTTTTTCCACTACTTTTTGTTTGGTATCGAGGTCCTTTAAATGAACAAATGTATCTGAATCCCCGCTGTAACGTACGAGACCAATGCGATACTCTTCATCATCAATACTGAGATTATCCACAAGATTTGTGGCAAAGTCTTTCATTTGATTAAATATTCTTCTATCATCTACGGAAGAATCTAGCAAGACTACAACATCATATCCAGTGTCCCGAGGTTTTGTTGTGGTAGGCATGACTGTAGTTGTTACTGAAATAATGCACAAGAGAAATGTTGAATCATACTTATTACCATAAAGTCATTAGAAATAGAGAAAATACGATTGAAAAGTGAAATATAATAGGTACCTGGACAGACAGATTCAAAGATCTTCTCATCTAAACCTTCTAGTTCATCAAAGGAATCAACTGCAAACGCATTCACACTTGCAGGCTGGCTAGCAATTCCATTTACTTCCTTCAAATCCTTAAGTGCAATACCAATGGCATAAATATGTATGCCCTTTTCTCTGGCTTTTTCTGCCTCAGGAATCGTTCTTTGATAATTGATATTGGATACACCATCAGTCATGATGATGCATATGTTGGGAACACCTGGTCTGTCACCATTGGCTTCCGAGAACATTTCTTCGTGCATTGTTTTCAGTCCATCGGCGGTGTTTGTGCTTCCATATCTCCAAGGAACATTATCAACGGCCTCAAACAACTCTGCTTTTGTATTATAAGTGTTGAGCTGGAATTCTACAGTAACTTGGGTACTGTAAGACACAAGACCGACTCTCACCTCCCCACCATCTATGTTTGCAGAGTGAAGGAACTTTTTGAGGAATACTTTCATTTTGTCGTAGTTATCGTTGCCCACGCTAGTAGACGAATCCAGAATGAAAACCAAATCCACTTTTGCGAAACATTGATCTAAAACAAGATTGAACAAAATTACAATCGCTTTGTGTGTGTGTGTGTTTCAAATGACCATAACAAATGCAATTAGTGCTTTATTAAATTATGAAGCGTTTGTTGATATCAATTGACCTATTTTAAAAGGAAAATTTGAAGTTTGGAAAGGCCTAGGAATTAAGGAGAAAATAAGATAAGCAGCATACTCTATTGTTTTTTTGGTAATAAACATTAGCATTCAGTTTGCATTAATAAAAAAATTAATATATATCTACACGTAATTGTCACAGCAAGCAAAAACAAGTCAAATTTAGGAATTGAAGGTGATCATTTTTTAGCTGGATATCTACACCGCGAAGCGGTTTATAAAAAAGCATAAACTGCCCAAGTTATGTTATATCGTATAACACAGGTTAAAATAAGCTTCATTCCTTATAATTTAATTTCAGTGTAGACAATAAGACAATTATTTTCCAAAAATGGCTTCAAATTGAGCATATTTTCAAAGTAACGTCAAACGGAGTAATACGTTTTTGACGTAACTCATTGTGAAGTAGGCAACTTATGTTATATATACGATATAAACGAAAGCTTTTATCCAATCAAATGACGTGTTACAACTGAAATTAAATTTTATATATATATATATATATATATATATATATATATATATATATATATATATATATATATATAAGCACCGCAGGTTGGACTTTTTTTAAGCCCTTGGGAAGTCTCGGGAATTCAAAATATTGAAACTATTTCTAGAAATAACTAAGAGTTTGAAAGAAATATAGAGTTACATCATTAAAACTTTTACTGCAGTTTTTTGTTTCAAAATTAGGATGAAACATAATTGTTATAATAGACACAGTAAATTCTCTTTTTCTTCACCTCAAACTGAATTTTGAAGACACATATTCTAATGCAGCCTATAATATGATTCTTCATATTTAAATCTGATTTGCTTAATGTAAATCAAACATACTTATTGTCGTTGGCATCATTGTAGTAGTAGTTGTGGTGGTGGTAGTAGTAGTTGTAGGTTTTGGTCTCGGTCTTGGTGGTTCTACATCTTCGTCAACTACGTTAGATGAAAAAGGAAATATATTGAGTTCTTAATTTGTTTAAGAATGCAAAATTAACGAGAACAGAATTATATAATTTAACTCGTTTCCAATGCCAGATTTTGCGACGTCAAAGGAACACTTTATAGATGTCCCCATCCAGAGATGGAAGTACATCTTTCTGATAACGAAGTTGCATAGATAAAAAGCAAGATATACTTACTTAACCCGAGAATATCACCAGTGGACTTGTCTATAGCATCATCACCTTCCTTTGTATTAATGAGATGACGATAAATGGAGAGAGGGTGGGTTGAAGTCTCGTTAATTTCCGTTGTATCGTCTAAGTCAAAACCAACAGTATACAAGTTAATATTTTCTTTTTCTGCTTGTTCTGCTTCATTCCATGTGGCATAAATATCATCACTCCTCTCATTTGCTGTCATAAGGAAAATGAGATTTCTTGCGAAGTCTCGATCGCCATTTCTTTCATTGAACATTCTACGTCGTACCATACGGATGGCACTTGCTGCATCAGATGATGTTCCCATTTTATGACCCACGCGATCAACAGCAGAAACAATGTCCTTTTTCGAAGTATAGTCATTCAGATCCCATTGCTTATCGTTTGATTCTCCATATCTCATAAAGCCCACCGTGTATTCTTTATCATCAATGTTAAATCGATTGACCAGAGATTTGGCATATTTTTTCATGGAGTCGAAAATTCTCTGTGGAACTGAAGAATCCATCATGATGACAACATCATATCCAGAGTCGCGTGGTGGAGTTGTGGTGGTTGTAGTTGCTACAATATGTAATTTATATTTTGAAGCTCTTGTTCTATTCAATTGTAGCTGCATTGTCCCTTTAATTTGTAAAGTGACAAATTATTCTGATTTTCATGTGGTATTTTCCAGTTATGAAATTAATTTTAATGAGAGATGGGAATGTTCATTATCTTTGAATTAAATAGATAGAGAATTGGTTTTGAGCGCTGTTATGCATGTTCTTTAACATAACTTTTTCAATACTTTTATATAGATACATATAATAATGTTTATTCAGTTGATGTTGACTCATATTTGTTGAAATGAGTAAATATTTAACCAATTTTTTCATAAATCACTTACTAGTAGTCGTTGTCGTTGGATACGGCCTTCCTCTTCGTGGTTGTATGTTCTTATCAACTAGTTAAATATAATAATTTAAAGTGTCAAGTTTTACAATGTTCATTGATCATTATGTAAATAAAAAAGATATATTATAAATGTGAAAATTTCTGCACGGGTTTTCATTTACACCAATCTATCAGATAAACTTTACAAGTCGCGAATATTTAAGGGGACATTAACATTTTTCAAGGAAATGTATCTAAAAAAGAATTGCAAGATTTGTGTATATTTTATTAGAAAGTTCTTTTTTCGCATAGGCAATGTCAATTACGAATACTAGTAAGCATATATTTCTACTGTTAGAACATTGCTTATATTCTTACTAGATCTGGATAAAGAATTCATAGTGCTTTGGAGGTCTCTTCTATTTTTTATTAAGTATCGGTATTTGGAAAGAGGATGTGTTGATACTTCATTAATTTCAAACGTATCATTCAGGTAAAACCCTACAGTATACAGGTTTATTCCTAGAGCTTCAGCTCTTTCTGCAGCCCGGAAAGCGTCATATGGATTCGAACTTTGGTCCACACCCGTTAGTAAAACAATTAAGTTTCTAGCAAAATTTCGGTCTCCATTGTCGTCTCTGAACATGTTGAGAGTGACTGTGTCGAGTGCATTTTGTAGATTACTTTCGCCAGGTCTGTAGTTCATTGCTAACATGCTACGAATTAAATCGTCTGTTTTCTTATACTTGTTCAGCTGTGTGAGGGCTTCTGCGTCTGTACTATATCTCATGAAGCCGATTCGATATTCCTGATCATCGATATTCAGTTTGCTTGTCAATTGAATCGCCCAATTTTTCATTTCTTCAAACAGTGCTTGACTGGATACTGATGAATCAAACATGAATATAACGTCATATCCTGATTCAACTTTTGTTGTAGTTGGGATGATTGTGGTAACTGAAATGAAATGAAATGAAATATTCTTTTTATTTTGTTCTTTATTTAAAAGCTTTAATAAAGTATGTAAATTAGGAAACAATCATATTCAATGATGAACATTTCCTGTTGAAACTATAAAATTGATTTTGATCAATATTTATTTCTAAATTATTCTTCTTTCTCACAACAAAGAAAGTAAAAACTAAAGTACGATTGTATATTGATATATTTAAATCAAAATTCTATGATAAATATCAATATTTTTGTATATATAACAGAAAATGAGTAGTTGACTCAAGTATCAGAAGTTTAATGATAACATCCATTGAACCTAGAATTATATTTTTATCATAGCTATAATAATAAAATAATGAAATGCACAAAATTTAATGTAATTCAAGTGATCCCTGTAAAAATATATCATTTCTAAACCAATTATCTAGCCTTGTCCCCAGTTGACATATCATCGAATCAAAATAGCTCTAATTTCTTAATGTGTCGATTAAATAGACTGGTACGAAATTAAAAAATCTTCAATTTTTGATTTAAACATATTCATATTTCCCCGCTCCATGCAATATTATTACAGAATAAAATTGAAAATAAACAGAGAATAATACATGGCATAATCTGTATCACACCTCGTATCAACCCGAGACTCCATTATCAGCCCGAGGGCAGAAGGCCAGAGGGCTGATATTGGTCGAAGGTTGATATGGGGTGTGATACAGATTTTGTCATGTATTGTTGTTTTTATTATATATTTGAAAATAGTGTCTAAAAATCATATATAAACTTGAAAATTAATTACCAAATGTTTAATAATCGAATTTGTTCTGTTTTTGTTGAATTTCCGTTTCTCATTATTTTTCCAAAGGCAACGCATTCAGCGATAAGAAATGAATTAATTATGATTTAAACAAATAATTATTTTGATTAGCATAAAATATCTGATGAAGTAAAATTCAATTTAAATAAATTTCATAAACAAGTATAAAAAAAAATCCGAGGTACTCAGAATGGAAAATACAGAGATCTTTCGGAAAGGTGCAATAAAGGCTGTGATAAAGGGTGAAAAAAGGGTGCTGATACAGGTTGTGTAATACAGGGCGCGTGCCTGTGTTCATATCAGGGATGCAAAAATCCTGTATTATATAACAAATATATAATAATTGTTTTTATCACCTCTTGGAAGAAGATAGATGCGCTATTGTTACCGTTCAGTAAGTTGCCTAAGGGATGTGCGTGTGTGTGTGTTTTAGTGTATGGTTGTGTTCTCGTGAGAGCTTGTGTGCTAGATTAAAAGAGAACACTAGTACTTCACCAATCTTTCCCATTCTCTAGCATTGTTATATAAATTATAAAGATTATTGGTGAATTGTTTCTGAAGATTTCGGTGATTAAAAAAATAAAAGTTATTGTGCGCTTACAATGAAATATGGAGATAACGAACAATATTCAAGGTCATAGTCCTTTACACAATAAAAATCGGGAGCAGAGCAAACATGGACCTCCAGGTGCCCTGGAGGAGTAAGCATTCCCTATCGACAAGTCACATCCGCCGTGTGCTCCTTGTCATAATCGGATAAACGGAAAATCCGTAGTAAATACAGTGTGTAAATTATGGCCTAACAATTAGTATGAAAAACTTCTGTCAGCATTTTACCTAATGATAAATTGTATTGGCCGACAACTTCATTGTATCGACCATTGAACTTGAGAAATGATGACTTCAAACAGACTGTTCATATGCTTTGTTTCATCAACTTGCTGGTAAATAGCTTGCCCCGTTTTAAAAACTGATCGTACTTACAGCATGTTCTTCCGTATCGAATCAACTTGGAGACATAAATCCCATATGCAGGAGATAAGGGTTTATTGTTACATAAGTAAGGGAAGTTGATAGAAAAGTAGAAGTCATCATGTTTATCATAAAGTTTTGTTGTTAGGTTACCATTAATGATTTTTTTCTAGTAAAATATCAAAATATAAAACATGTACCAGACTCTGTAGTGTCTTATTTCAAATTCACTGGGATATATCGAAGCGACATATATGAATAGAAGTAACTATTGATAATTGATACCGGTAATATGTCGTCAATATATCTAAATGTTAAGTTGAAGGCTACAGCAAGCGTTTTCTTCTTCTCATAAAGAGGTTTTTGAATAAATTCTAAATCAGTATCAATATTGTGTTCACATGTGAATATTCTGTTTATGTTTATTATCTTATTGTTTTAGATAAAATAAAGGCATTAATATGTAATTTTTGAAACCGTTAGGTCTTTCCGAGCTTTGAGCATTCAAAGCTTTTTGATGAAATCTCTCAGAACATTCTTGTAGTACACATAAATTTTCAAAGCAAAAATATAAAAAAAAAATTATAAAGAATATATCATTTCCAAATATAAATATTTGCAAATGTTTCCCAAATAAAACATTGTTTAAACAATCCGTATTTAAACCTGTTTAAATTTTGGCTTATTGCATGACCACCAATTCATTGTTAAGGTCATAAACGATTGACGTAATGTCACAAAGATGAGTGGTTGACGTGTTTAACAAATTCAATTTAAACGGTTGAAGTTTGAAAAAAAAAAATCATTTCATGGGTTTTAAACAATAATACGCAAATATTTGTTATAATTTATTTACAAATGTAAATATAAGAAATAATGTGTCATTTTATCCATTCATAAACCCCAAAGCATTAGTTAATGTGACCAACCCGTAAGTAGTAATATTCTAAAACTATTTGTTGTCGCGATAGGATAATCCTCTATGCGGTGCTCTTGTTAAATTTTAATTTAAATTAAAAATTAGATTTGATTGAACAAGTGTACAAGACTTGTTTTACATCTTGTAAACTATTATTTAAAAATGACTGAATTTTTTTGTATGGAATTTTTATCTAGAAATGTTCATAAAATTGTTCCTGAAATGTTTGTGCAATTGCTAGGCTGAGTATTGTTTTTGTTGTTCGATCATTAGGGCCCATTTTGAGCATATATTAGATCCTTGCATGATTTCGATTTTTGTCTTGGTTTGAAATGGAAACTCTGGTAAGATAATATATTTTCTGTAAACTATATTACACAGGTAGACTCGATAGTTAAATAGCAATTTTTGAATCCTTTGGAAAGACATAATTCATAGATTGTATTCGTACCCTTTTTCCGCCGAAATATGGCTGAAATATTGCCGACTCGGCGTTAAACAATAATAATCATTCAATCAATCGTACCCCTCTTATTGTGTCAAAAATTATGGCATTTCTTAAAATCGTTCATTTAGTATAGTGTTTAAATATATTCTCTATTTCAGGGAAAAGGTGTAAAATTTTGAAGAAAAAAAAGATAACAGGGATTAAAAGAAAATGGGGATTCAAAGATAAATTTAGACAAAACATATACTCATTAGCTGATTTTATAATTGCATGAAAAGATAAAATTTCGTATGAAATCTCCAACTACACTTATTATAGTAACACATATATATAAACATGATAGACAATATTCTGTTGATGACAAACCTGGGCACACGGATTCAAAAATTTTCTCGTCTAAGCCCTCTAATTCATCAAATGTGTTCACAGCAAATGCATTGACGCTGGCTGGTTGACTGGCTATTCCATTCAGTTCTACCACATCTTTCAAGTTAATACCAATAGCATAGATATGAATACCCTTCTGGCGTGCAGCCTCAGCTTCGGGGATGGTTCTTTGGTAATTGATGTTAGAGACGCCGTCAGTCATTATCACACATATATTTGGAACATCGGGCCTATCACCATTGCGTGCTGTGAACATTTCATTGTGCATGATCTGAAGACCGTCTGCCGTGTTTGTGCTTCCATATCGCCACGGAATTTTGTCTACAGCCTCAAATACGGCAACTTTGGTGTTGTAAGTGTTGAGTTGGAATTCCACTGTTGTTGTAGTGCTATAGGAGACTACACCGACACGTACTTCACCCCCGTCAATGTTGGCGGTGTGCAAAAACTTCTTAATAAATAGTTTCATCTTATCATAATTGTCTTGTCCAACGCTTGTGGAAGAGTCCAAAATAAATATCAAATCCACTTTTGCAAAGCATGAGCTCCCTGTAAAGAGTATATATATATATATATATATATATATATATATATATATATATATATATATATATATATATATATATATATATATATATATATATATATATATATATATAAGAATTTTAAGGTTTCTTAAAATACCTTATGTATATTGATAATTTATTTGGTCACATTTGCTGGAGTTATCGCGCTTGCAATTTACGCCGGCATCTTCTTATATGGTCAGTTAAGGCAGTGTCGCAAGGCAGAACCAATAGAATCGTTTCGCGGGAAAACTGTGGGTGTGTCTTTTTAGATGTAGCGTGGGTTCTCACTTTCTTACAGGACGCCGGCGATTTTATACACGGAAAATTTTTAAGCGATTTTAAGCGGTAAGATCATTTTGTCGTTATATTCATTCATGGATTCTAACAAAGTACTCATATTGGGTCATTCTATTGTTCGCCGCTTCCATCAATTTCTTCAAAGTGAAGCGGATGATAGATATAACGAAGATCTTGGCCTCCAAGCCACACACCAAATAATTTTTAGAGGTGTTGGAGGTCGCACTGTATCTGGCATTCTCCGTGAGGATGCCCATTTCATTGAACGGGTTAAACCCGATAAAATAATCATGATGGTTGGGGGTAATGACGTTCGACGCGTCAGTTCTCCTGAAGAATTAGCTGGGAACTTAGAATCTATTGTCTCGGTACTCCATCGTAGATATGGAGTTTCCCAAATTCATGTGTGCAAACTATTGCCACGTTTCAACCAAAGTTTTCATTACAATGATATTGTAGACGAAGTGAATGCTCTGCTTAAGACTTCTCTTCAAGACATCAAATTCGCTTCTTTTTGGGAGCATAATGACCTTTTCCCATCGTCGAATTGCAAGGCGTGTAGCCATAAATTCCTTCCAGACGGCGTCCATCTGAATAAACAGGGTAATGTCCATCTCTATCGGAGTTTGCGTGGTCTTATTTTATCTAGAATGCGATGAATGTGCTGACGATTAAGATTTCATTCGGTTAACAAACAGTTAAAATCTTAAAAAAAAAAAAAAAAAAAAAAAAAAAAGGTGTAATAAGGAAAAGAAAATAAGAAATTTATTCATAAAATATATATATATATACATATTATAGATCTAAAAACGTTATATGTATAAATTAATATGAAATGATATGGATTAAAAAATAATGATAATAAAAACAGTCCCTAAACACACGGCTATTTCTTTTATTTCGGCTTTAGGGCTTAATTGACGGGAGTGACACAATTTATTAAATGGTTCATGAGAATTTAATTATTTATTTAGCCTCCCTATCACTCATGTCATTGCACTGAATCATCGGAGTTGAATTAATACAATTTGTGTGTTTTTAATTCTTTCCTCATTTAGGCAAATGCTATTTAACTAGAATCACAATAATTTACTTGTATTTGCCTGAGAGAATTTTAATTATTTATTTATTTAGTTATCTTTCACGCCTCCTGCAGGCTCACCTCATTGCACCGGAATTAACACAATTTACTTGTGTGTTTCCTGACATGGTTTTATTTATGTATGCCTCCCTGAGGCTCATCTCATTGCACTGGAATTAACACAATTTACTTGTGTTTTTCCTGAGATGGTTTTAGTTATGTATGCCTCCCTGAGGCTCATCTCGTTGCAATGGAATTAACACAATTTACCTGTGTGTTTCCTGAGATGGTTTTATTTTTGTATGCCTCCCTGAGGCTCATCTCATTGCACTGGAATTGACACAATTTACTTGAGTGTTTCCTGAGATGGTTTTATTTTTGTATGCCTCCCCGAGGCTCATCTCATTGCACTGGAATTAACACAATTTACTTGTGTGTTTCCTGAGATGGTGTTATTTTTGTATGCCTCCCCGAGGCTCATCTCATTGCACTGGAATTAACACAATTTACTTGTGTGTATCCGGAGATTGTTTTATTTTTGTATGCCTCCCTGAGGCTCATCTCATTGCACTGGAATTAACACAATTTACTTGTTTTTTCCTGAGATGTCATTTATTTTGTATGCCTCCCCGAGGCTTAACCTACTCTATTTTCGTTAACGCATTTTACCGAATATTCAGAATATAATAAGTAAATAAATTAATTTTAAAAAAAAAGGATAAAATTAAAAAAAAAAAAAATCCTCGCTTATGGTTCGCTGAGGATCATTTTACTGCACCCAATCAGTAATCAAATAAATTACTGGCTTGTTCCTGTGAATCTCTCTGTTATGCCATCGGAGGCTCGTAATCAATTCAGTGTACAGTAGTGAGTTAAAGATCAGTATTCCGGAATTTCAACGGTTGATAATATCCCATTTTTCTGTTTATAGCGACCGGATGTTGATATACTATGCATTCTATTTATAGTGATCAATAGAAGAGAACAATTTCTATGAATATGTACACTAACCAAATGCAGTTTATTGAACTTTCAGTTACCTATTCAACAAATATAATCATGCCACCAAAGAGAATATCTAGCAAATCTCGGAGAGTGCCAACTCCTGCCTATCAACAAAACAAGAGACGACGGGTATCAACAAATATGGAAGCGGTCGCGACATCTACGCCCCTATCCCCTGATGTCCTGGAAACCATTACCAGAGAAGTAACCGAGCGGGTCACTGCTACAATCAGAGAGGAGTTGACAACGCTAATAAGTAATGTGACCAGCAGCACCACAGCCACTAGTCAGGGGAGTATTAGTAATAATACTTCGGGGGTTTCTGTCAATAATGATCAAGGCTTAACTAATTCTGTTATTTGTGGGTCAGAATCGACTGCCCCAAGTACATCCAATGACCAAGCTATTCAACAATCTGTTGAAGCCTTGGTAATTAACCATACTGAAAAAATAGCAGGTAAGAGTCCCAGTGGTTTTGTTAGTACAGCAATCCCAATAGATGCTAGGGTGTCAGACCAACTCAAGTCCAAAATAAGGTCAAACCAGTATGTTGACTTCATAAAACTTCTTTCAAAAGATAAGCAGAAGAAAGGTAAGTTTTCTTTACAAGTTGAGGATGGCGACAGTCCTGGTAAGTTGACAATCCACCAGGTGGAGAATGATTCATCAAATGACGCATCTGTCTCCTCCATGCATGACTGGCTTACTGCATGGAACAGATTTTCTGCAATTTATTGCATGAAATACACTGATCAACAGGCAAAACTAGCAAAGCATTTAGAAGCAGTCAGGGAGATAGCAGATGCAAAGGGCAATTGGAAAGGGTATGATACAGACTTTAGAATGCTCGTGGCTCAGGGACAAGTTGCCTGGGGGGGATGTCCACATGGAGTTGTATGTCAATGCCAGACTGACAACAACCCAGACAATGAAACCAAGCAAAGGTAGTAAAGACCTACAGTATAGATCAATTCCCAAGGGTGCCTGCTTCCAATATCATTCAGGTAAACACTGTCAGGCAGGAATGTCCTGTCGTTTTCAGCATAGATGCTATAACTGTGCAGGGGTTCACCCATTTATTCACTGTACAAAACCAACTAAGCACCCCTTTCGTGTCATGCAAAAATATCAAAACCAAACAGGCAACACAAGTAAACAGTCTACCCAAACAAAAACAAACTCTACTGCCAAGCAAGGGCCCAACTCCAATCAAAGTAAATAGACTTGCTCACTGGTTATCTGGTTATGATAAAGATGAAACTAAATATTTAATTGATGGTTTTTCGAATGGGTTCTGCTTAGGATTCGAAGGAGAATGTCCGGGAATAGAGTCTAAGAATTTGAATTCTGCTCTTGCAAAACCTGAAATTATTGATCAAAAAATACAAAAAGAAATTTTGGCTGGTAGAATCCAGGGCCCTTTTGAAAGTAAGCCAATCCCTAATTTACAATGTTCACCATTAGGTTTAGTTGAAAAGAAAGAGCCGGGTGAATATAGAATGATTCATCACTTATCATACCCAGAAAACCAATCTGTCAATGATGGCATACCACCAGATGAGTCATTTGTTCAATACTCATCAATTTTAGATGCGATTCATTTTATAAAACAATGTGGGAAAGGTGCATTCTGTTGTAAAATAGACATTAAGTCGGCATTTAGAATAATTATTCTACACCACACACAGTTTAAGTTTGTCGGGTTTAAATGGGAAAGCAAATACTATTTTGATACCTGTCTGCAGTTTGGTCTAAGTTCATCTTGTAAAATATTCGAACGATTCTCAACAGCTTTGCAATGGATTGCACAAAATAAATTGGGTATATCTTGCATTTCACATGTGCTGGATGACTTTATTATTGTAGACAAATCACCGACACAATGTGTTTACAAGCTCAAAATTTTTTTGGCTATGTGTACAGAAATTGGGGTACCTATTTCACTTGAAAAAACGTGTGGTCCCAAACAGGTGATAACCTATCTGGGTTATGAATTGGATTCAATTAAAATGGAATGTAGACTTCCAAAAGACAAAATTTTAAAGTGTGTCAAGAAAATTCAATTTGCCTTGGAACAAACTAAGTTAACTTTAAAAGAACTGCAGTCAATTATAGGTTTACTGAATTTTGCTTGTAATGTAGTATTGCCAGGCAGAGCCTTTTTAAGAAGACTAATCGATTTGACCATTGGAATCAAAAAGCACTTTTACAGAATTAGGATGACAAAGGAAGTTAAGGAGGATTTGAATGTTTGGTTGGATTTTCTTTGCCATTTCAATGGTTCTTCAATGTTTCTCCCTGATAAATGGATAAGTTCAAATGAATTAAAGTTATATACTGATGCCTCAGGTGTCATTGGATATGCTGCAGTTTTTGGTAGTCAGTGGTTTAAAGGAGAATGAAATATTAGTTGGCAGTACCAAAACATAGCAGTCTTAGAATTGTATCCCATTGTCCTGGCAGTACAAGTCTGGTCTAAATTTATGACAAATAAGTGCATTTTGTTTAACACTGACAATCAAGCATTGGTTCATGTCATTAATAAGCAAACGTCTAAAGATAAACATATCATGTTTCTTTTGCGAAAACTAGTATTGACATGCTTACAATATAACATTTATTTCAGAGCAAAGCATTTGACTTCAAAAGAAAATTTACTATGTGATTGTCTTTCTCGTTCTAAGGTAAATCAGTTCTTACAACTGGCGCCATGGGCAGACAGAAACCCAGTCAACGTGCCTCCACTTCCAAAATTTCCGAATTAACAAGTGACATCCAGAGACTCCTGGATTCCAGTCTCACAAGTTCCTCAACAGCTTCGTACTCCCATGCATGGACAGTTTTTCAAAACTTTGCAAAGAAATATGGGTTTTTGGTTGAACTTCCAGTTAAACAACATATATTAGTATATTATGTTGCATACCTCTTTTCGAGGGACTATGCTGCATCGACCATTACATCTTACCTCTCAGCTATTAGTTACATTCATAAGATTAACAATTTTGGGGATCCATGCTCATCCTTTTTAATACAAAAATTACTGTTATCAACCCGCAAACTGAAACCTTCACAAGATGTTAGGATACCTATTACCAAAAATATTTTACATCAAATATGCGACGTTTTACCATTTACAGTTTCTAATGCATTTGAATCGGCCATGGTCAAAGCAATGTTTTTGTTGGCATTCTACGGGTTTTTAAGGGTTGGAGAAATAACATCTTACCAGAAAGTAATCAATAAGAATTTACTTCACATCAATCAGATTTGTGTGGAACAAGACAAAATTATTATCAAATTTATTACATATAAACATCACATGGGTAAACCATTTTTTCTTACGATACATTCAGCAAGTAGCAAAAACCAATGTCCAGTTCAATGCCTCAAAAGTTACTTAAGTTTAAGAGGGATACAAAATGGGCCACTCTTTTGCTATGTGCCAAATATTCCAGTTACTAGGTGTAAATTTTCCACAATACTTAAAAACTGTCTCTCATTTGCAAACATGGACATGAGTAGAATAACAAGTCATTCTTTCCGGATAGGCATGGCATCTCATTGCGCGGATATTGGCATGAGCGACAGCAAAATAAGACTCTTAGGTCGATGGAAATCGGATGCATTCAAAAGTTATATTAGGCCAATTAACCCTTCCTAAGAACAATGTCCATAGGCTATTTGTTAATGTCTAGTTGGACATGCTCTATCGAGTGAGCAAGCGAATGGAGAACTTAATAGTGCCCGTGACATTGGTGATTGGTATGTGGACTCTAAAAGTGCGAGCTCAGGAACATATGTATATTTCCTGATAACGTTGAAACTAGGTGGGACATATGTTTATTCCTACTTATTTTACCTATAGTTAGGGTTACTATATTTTGATTTCATTTGTGTGATTAATACAAAATCGAATTCATCAGGAACATATGTATATTTCCTGATAACATTGCATCAAGGTGGGACATATGTTTATTCCTACCATACATGTTCTACCTATAAAGTTAAGATGACATTTTATGTTAAACTGGTGAAGTATACATAGCATGTATGTTTTGGGTGGGGCATATGTGTATCCTCACCTACCATGAATAGTAGTTGCATTTGTTGAGATAAGGCTAAGGTTTGCAGAGCATATGTCTTTCTCTGCAAAGGTTGGTCTTATTGGGTGTATCTGCACTTTGCCACTTTCATTTTTTTTTATGGTGCTGTTTTTCTTCTCTCCTTGGGGTCTGAACTTGATTAATTGGATTTAATCAAGTACATGGCGGTTTCAGACCACAAGGAATAGATGTTTTGGAAATTATGTAATCACATCATTAATTAGATAATTAATGGGAATTATTGATTAATATTGATTTAAAATATTAATTGGGTAGATAATCAAATATTTATAATTGTATATCAATTTTTAATAAGGTTATTATTACATAACCATTTAATGTGATCTACGTAATTATATGTAATCTAAATTTGGGATAATTAATAAAGTCACAGTGGTGGCAAAGTGCAACATAACCTTTTCTTTCTGTGTTATGTATTAATATGTATAAGATGGAGGGCTCAGGTGGTTTAAGGACATTAAGTTACGCGAGTGGAGGAAAATCATACTATTCGAATATGCATCGAATTATGCTTTACTGAGAGTCTGGGGAATTCGAACATTATCAATTATGGATAAATATATATATATATATATATATATATATTCATAGAACAAATGAAGTAAGCAAAATGCTCTTTATTTACACTAACCGCAAATTTTCATCCTTCGTACTCTAGAATTACGTCTAGATTATTTCAGATTAGAAAAAAGTTAGTACATTGGTGTTTTTATGTTTACTTGAAACATCGCAAATTCTTACCAGTTAAAGCTGCAGTTGATGTGGCAGCTGAAAAAGTGTAATAAATCATACAATTAGAAGAAGTTTTCTACAATATCACTATTTCCACTTCTCAGCAAAATAGTATAGTATGCTTAATTTTTAACATAGTATAAGGTTTACTCACCACAATTCCCCTAGGGTATTTCGAATCATTGCACATAAAAATCATTGATCGATTTATACACGGAGACATTAATATTACATTATATAACATTATATATATATTTATTACATATATAAGCATTTTATAAACTTGTATATTCGTAAAGTATCTATGTTTGACAAAAAATTTTAAGTAATTGTAAATAGATTTGCAAGATATTGCAATATGCTAGAATGATAGGAAGAAAAGTAATATAATAACTCGTACGTGGTAAAGGTCTCTGCCGACGAGGTTCACTTTGTTCTTGAACTGTAGATAAAAAAATTAGAAAAATAATAGGAAGAATATAATTAAGACTTTGTAATCCTCTTTTGGAACCAGTGATGACCAACTCCTTCATTTATTCTTTTCAAATCAACAGTAGAATGAAAACACCGTTTTCTAAGAAAGCACATGAACCATTGATTGTTATTGATTATACAAACCCACTTGATTAGTATCCACACGGTCATAGTTTAAAATTATTTTAAAACAACGTTATTTTCGTTCATTGTAAATGATTCTAAACTCAGTTTGTTACGTTTGTATTCAATTATATTAATTAATTAAACAATATATATGAAGTGAAAATATCCTTAAATCCTTGTGAAATTACGGAAAACATTAAGATTATGCATGTAGCTATCTATTGGTTCAATAAAACTTGACAAACAGACCATCTACGAAGAGTATTTTGAGCCATTGTGTTTCTATTCCAGATTTTACTGGATCTTACTTTACAACAGTAATGTGCCAAGACTTACTTGAATTGAATAAGCTTGCTGGAGAGGTAGCAATATCTCTCGCAGAATTCACCATATAGTTATATGTTTGCAGGGGCCACGTACTAATTTGTTTTAATTCCTGTGTTTCACCAACATAAAATCCAACGGTATACAAATTTATTCCAGCATCTTCAGCGCGCTCAGCTGCCCGATAAGATTCATATACGTTATCACTTTTATTTGCACCGGTGAGCAATATAATAAGGTTTCTGCCAATGACTCTGTCTCCATTTTGCTCTGTGAACATATTCTGTCTGACATAATCTATTCCATTTCCAATCTGTCGCTCTCCGGATCCTTGAACAAATGGAATACTGAAGGCGGCAGAAAGAATATCACTTTTTGTATTGTATCTGTTCAGATGCCATTTGGTTGAAAAGTTGTTTCTTTGTATGTATTGAGCAAGACCAGTTCTGTATTCTCCATCATTGATGCTGAACATGTCAATTATTTGATAAAGATAAGTTTTCATGTCTTCAAAAATCTTCCTTGATACTCCGAAAGAATCCACAAGGAAAACAATATCATAGCCCACTTCAAAAGTGGGCTCTGTAAAAAAAAAAGACGAGAAAGTAATACCATGTATGTCTGTAATAAAACAAAAAGAATTGAATGATGTGTAAAATATTCCTTTTGAAAAGATAAATAAATTAAGCAATGTACTGGTCAAAACAAATTTTCTCAAACACATTGAAGCTTGCATGCACATATAGCTATCAAATTAGTAAAATAAGGTATAAGTTAAAATCAAAATCACTACCACATGCGCCAAACGATACCTGGACATGTAGAGGACGCAACTATTTCATCGTCCAGTCCATCTAATTGAGAAAATGAAGAAACGAAAAATGCATTCTTCCCAAAAGGTTCAGACGCTATAGTATTAAGCTCTGCATAAATATCATCTGAACCTAAACCGACTGCATAAATATGTATTCCTTTTGACTTGGCAATCATTGCCTCTTGACTTGTACTCTTTGGGTTGATAGATGGGCCGTATGTTATAACGATGGCTATATTCGGGACATTAGGTCTATCCCCTTTTGCAGGAGTAAACATATCTTGATGCATAGTGCGGATTCCTGCAGCTGTATTTATCGGTCCATAACGCCAAGGTATATTATCAATAGCTTGCTCCAGTTCTTCTTTTGTACGATAATCGTTAAGGTGAAATTCTACCCAAGATTTTGAGCTGAATGTTAATAATCCAACGTGTACATCACCACTGTTAATATTCAGTTGATTTAAAAGTTTTTTGCAGAAGTAAAGCACCTTTTCAAAATCTTCCGGCTTCACACTCTCTGAAGAATCCAGGACAAACACAACATCCGCCATGTCAAAGCACACTAAAAGAGTAATTCATCTGAACTAAACATTTACAAACAGCTAAAGGAGAGATGCACGCTACAAGGAGCAGTAACTAACACCACAGACATTGGGAAATTAATTGCACATTCATAAAATTGTATGAACTTGACAAACCTGGAATAGTCGTTGTTGGAGCAGGTGTTGTTTGTGGCCGTGTAACTACACCTGAAGAAAAGTCTCAATATAAAAAACTGGCGTACTCTACCCTGATCTATATTTTAATTGACTTATGCATTATAGACATTTAAATTTTAAAATATATATATATATATATATATATATATATATATATATATATATATATATATATATATATATATATATGCATTTTTCATTTCATCTACTTTTTTTTTCAATTCAGGAATTCGTTTTAGTTTAAAACAGAGGAGGGAAAACTCATTACTTACTTTCGCAAATAGACTGGAAAATAGTCTCGTCAAGTCCTTCAAGTTCGTCGAAGTTTTTCACAGCAAAAGCGTTAGAAGCAGGTGGAAATGATGCTATTCCGTTAACCTCCTGCATATCTGTTAGCCCAATTCCAATGGCGTAGATATGAATGTTTTTCTCTTTGGCATCCTTTGCTTCTGACAGAGTTCTTCGACTGTTGATATTCGAAACTCCATCTGTGATCACGATAGCGACATTTGTAACACCTATTCTATCTCCATGCAAAGCAGTGAACATTGTTTCGTGCATTGTCTGCAAAGCATCAGCAGTATTGGTGCTTCCATATCTCCATGGAATCTCATCAATAGCATCAAGCACGCTCTGCTTGGTTTTGTATTCATCTAAATGGAATTCAATGGTGACAACAGTGCTATACGACAATATCCCAATTCGAACATCTCCTGCATCTATTTCCGCTGAATGCAAAAATGTCTTGACAAATGTTTTCATCTTGTCGAAGTTGTCCTGTCCAACACTGGTTGAAGAGTCGAGAACGAAAATAAGATCCACCTTTTCACTGCAAACTGAAAATATAGATAATAAAACGCATAATTAATCTTAAAGTCTTAATATCGCTTTCTGATTTGATGCTTTTCTTCCCATTTAAAATTAATTATTCGGAAAAGATATGATTAAATTAGGGATGTTGAATTTTATTTTTTCTATTACTCTCATTTTATGAAGATTTGTAACGAATGAGTTAAGAGTAAAATCGTTAGTTTTAGATATACGAAACAGATAAGAAAAGTTTAAGATAATTATAAACTCAGTTATCATTTCTTGACTAAAATTTTACTCACAGTGCATATTTACACTATGTATGTTTTTGCAAGAATAATTACAGTTAATGTGAGAATGCTGGTTTTTTTCTGAAGAAGAAATTAATATTTGAAATATTTCCTTTTCCGAGGTCTTTATGTCAAATAGGAATGCATTGACAAAACGTAATTTGAAGACCTTGATCCAGTACTGAAACTCTTGGTAACAGTTACTAAACAGGCAATCCTGTCAATCCTATAGTAAAATTTCATATTTTGAGTAGCTGCAGTGAAACGTCAGGAATTGATTACCACAACGATGAATTTACAATGGTGAGTTTTCACAAAAAAGGAGTTGCTACCGCTCTTGGTGTATACCAAAGAACAAATCACCTTGATCTTTAATACATGAGGCACATACAAGAAGCCAAGAAGTTCGTGAAGCCTCTGTTAACAGATTTAACATTTCATAAAAAGCAAATATGCAGTCAACCTTAAAAGCAAACTTAGAATACATTTGGTATCTGAGTATTTGAATTTTGGGCAAAATATTCTTTATTTAAAAATTTGCATATAACTTTTTAAGAGTGTAGAAACAGTTCTTAAAGGATTTCTTTTTATGAGCGAGGTTTTCTATTCTTTTGTACAGAGCAGATGGTCAGACAAGCGTTTTTATTGGTTTGCAGATTGTTGCTATATTGAGTTCAATGGTTTGAGGCAGAAGTACCACGATAAAGAGCGGGTTCTGCCTTCATCTGTAATGCTGCGTAATCTTAATTCTTTTAAATATTCAAAGTGAATTCATCCTCTCTTGCACATTATGCATTGAAGTAGTCACATTTAGCAATAATAAGCAAACGCCACTCAGAGGGGAAATAGTGTCAAGTATCTGCTTTTGTCAGCATATTTCATTTAAATCTGAGAGATTAACGCATACGATGTTTGATATTTTAGACAGACAGGTTGGGCAGCACCACAATTCGCCAGTATCCTTACCGGAACTTTATCAACCCATAAACACGATAATTTTTTTTCCATATGTAGATAGCTCTCTCCGAGTTTTAGCTGATCAAGGGGGAAACTTGATATTTGAAGTATCTATTGCAATAATTAGCAAAACAGTATATTTGGGTATTTCCATCGTGTAATGGTATGTTATTGCTATTGGTTGGTTGGTTGTTTATTGTTTTACGTCTTTCAAGAGAATTTTTCACTCATATGGAGACGCCACCACTTACCGATGGAGAACTGCAAATTTTGACCTATACTCGGCACTCAGGGCCACTGAGCAGTCAGGAATCTTTTTCGTGGCAGCACCTATTGCGACACGGGACCTCGGTTTATACGGTCTCATCCGATGGACCGGTCTCCAAGTCCCACAGTGGGATTCGAACCCGCGACGTAAGGATCAACTCATTACTCCGAACGCTCTAATCACTGCGCCACGCGGGCGACTATTGCTATTGCTATTTGTAAGCAAGGAGATCTTTTTTATCAATCCAACACTAAAGTGATATATATCACTTATTGTCACACTTCATTTTGATAAGAAAATATTTGCCATAGATAATATTGTGGGAGGGGTTATATCAGAGATGTCTTATTTTTGTAGAACTTCTCACTGCAGTCAAAAACAAAATATTCCATTCTAATAATTTTAGCATTAAAAATTGTGAAGAAACTTTAAATAAAAAAATATTTAAGGCTCGAAATGGATTACTAAAATTACCTGTTATATGTTATGTGATAAATTACTTTTTAATGTGTATTGGCATTGTTAGATACCACTTTTATATTTCGTCCCAGGAGGATCACAAATCGTTCATTAGATCTTTTAACAATAAATGGAAGTACACAACAGAAATAAATCACTTGTTGAAAACATTTTCATGATCATTAAATTCATAGATTAAAAACGTTTTCGTATTACCTTTCTGTTTTGAAGGTCCAGTAGGTGCAGAAATTTCTAAAAGGAAAAAAAATCATGATCAGAATTATATTATACAGTTCTTTATATAACGATTCAAGTTGCTTGCTTCATTCATTTTTTTTTCAAATAAAAAGATTGAATACTTATTTCGATACCATTAAAAAGGCATTTCCTTATAAATTTAAAATTCTTAGAGAATATATACAGGAAACAAAATTATTGGTTAAGTTACGTAGTAAAATGTGTTCTTAAATGTCTTAAGAAATAATCACAAAACGCATAATAAATAGTGAAAATGTAATATTTATACAGGACTACAGGTTTTAAAATATTGCACTTTGTGCTTTCTTAAAGCTTTTTTCTTCACATAATAAAATTTCATAACAATATATAAAATCACAGATATTTCACTAAATACTAAGACAGAAAATGTAAAAAAAAAAAAAACAAACTTCCTAAGTACTTTATTGTAGAAAACAGAAATGAATGGATTATGATTTTGTATTAGGATACGTAAATCTTTTAATATAAAATGTCAGTAAAATTGCGTGTTTATGTTAACATTTACTGAAAGAACTAACAAAACAGTAATACAGTCCTTAGGTATGAATACGTCTATTATGTCAATTATAGACGCTTTGATACGCTATATACTGTTACGTCATACTCCTGAGTACGTGGTAAATCATGAGGTATTTAAAAATTTTATAATTCATGACGGGCTCCAACTTCATCCAAATAAATATGTGCTCCATTAAAAATACATTTTTACCTTCATTAACCTTGAATGAGTCCATAGTAACTTTTGAAAATCTTTTTTTTATTAGGGGTCGTAGATAAATGTTTTGAAGTCAAGGTATAATTTGAGTGCGCATGCTTACTTGAAGATGTGAAGATTGTAGGAGGCGGAGGAGGTGGTGAGGTGATAACTGAAACAAATCAACCGTGAAAATAAGACACCATTGTGCTTTAGTGCCTGTCTGTGCTCGAAATCATTATTCTTTATATATATAACATTCATTATGAGAACACACATCTTAGCTAACATTACTGTTAAAAGTTTTTCTGTAAAAATAAGTGAATTCTGATTCAAAGAAAATTGTTTCGTAACATTATCGTTTTAAGCATTTAAATTTTAAGAGCTTTGAAAAATATTACTTACCATATTAAAGTAATGAGGTGATCAAACCAAGCTGATATTGTGTTAGTACAAAGTACAACAAAAATGTCATAGTAACAGAAAACATAAAAATTGATGCAAACCAATTCATTTTGCTTCGTCATACACGTATCTTAGTCTCATAGAACTTGTAATTTTTCTAGGAAATTTTTAGGTCGACTCCATTATAAAGCAACTCAGACCAAATAAATTTTAATGTATTTTTTCGTCCAGCATAGATCGAATTTGAAGTTTTTAAGGAAAATGCAAGATAACTTTATGGCTTGCAAAATGGTTGGTTTGTATTCATAGCAAAAACAAAAGACGGAATCATAATCAGAACTGTAGGTCATTCAGTGCTCACATCAATACAATACAACCTGAAATATTGTCAAAATTTTAGAAGTACATGTACAAAAGTGAAGAAACAAGATCACAATATCACTAGGCTACTACAAACAGTTAAACACATATAGAGAATTGTTGATATTTAGATAGTTTATACGCGATAATATTTACAAATTAGAACATAGAGAGGTGGCAAGTTTGTAAATCTGTTATTCTTAATTATAAAATGAAGTGTAGAAATTTAAATTATTTTCTAAAAACTATGTACTAAGCAAAGTGCCCGATTAGTGTAGCCATTTGTTATCAACACAGGGTATTTGACAGTGCAAAAAATGAAAGAAAAAAAATCACACCCTATACATACCATACTCTTGTTGTGGTGGTGTTGTAGATATCATCTGATCTAAAGAACAATTAGAATATGACGACTATGCATGCTATTTGAACTATTTTTAATTTTAATTAAATCAAAAAGCAAATATGTACCTTTTAAATCAGGAGTCACATCAGACAAAGCCCGGACTAAAATTGAAGAAAAAGATAATTTTAAGTAAATGAAGTTAACACCAGAAACTTGTAATAGATGATGAGATATAGATAATTAAACAAAGAGATTGTAGTGTTTGAATCGTCATTGGTATCATATCAAATGTATTTTTTACCAAGTCATCACAATCACTCACATATTCTGAGTCTTCGAACTATGTCCTCACTAACTCGTGGTAAGCGTGAGTATTCGGAAACACTCAAAACATTATCGGCAGTTGAAGCCAGGGCGGCTGGTTCATCCTTAGAGTAAGTCCCAACAGCAACACTGAAAATCTCCATTAGATTAACATCTTCTAGTTTTCTTTTCATTCGATTTTCCATCAGGTTATCAGCATTAACAGTTGACTGTTGGTCTGTTATGAAAAACAATGCTTTGGGAGTTTCGTCTTGTGGAAGAATTCTAGATACTGCGTCAAATACCGAAGCAGCATTAACTGTCCTTCCCGCAAAAGCCCTCTCTCTGTCGACTGCATAATCAATGGAAGATAACAAATCGCTTTTTGACATCGATCTGCATAATAATAATAAAAACAGTATTTTTTAAATTATAGTTACAGCTGAACACTGGCTCTATAAAAATATCCCCTGTAAAAAAAAAGATGTGAACTTCAATTTGATAAAAAAAAAAAAAAAAAAAAAAAAAAAAAAAAAAAAAAAATTGTTGCTATTGCAACAATTAGGTTTCCCGCTCTTATATGAAATTGCATGAATTGGTTTTTTTGGTATGTACAGAAACATGTACAGTATTTACTATTAGTAGTAGAAGTAGTGATTATCTAGAAAATGTCCAGTCAGTACTTACGGTAATTTGATTTTTACTGCAAAAATGAGAGGAGCTTTCGTAACTTAGATATTATATATATTCATTATTGTGTCTAGGAAAAAAAATGCATGTATAGACTAGTTAAGAAAAAGTGGAAGTATCAAGAAAAATGTTGTTTCAGTACTTATTGTACTTTAATTTTATTGGAATCGAAGGTAGCCTCCGTCTTTATATATGATATTGTATGCATATTGTAATTTTTTCTAGTAGTTAAACATGTATATACTAACTAAATGCAAGTAAATGCAGGGAATATCTGGAAAATGACCTTTCAGGCAAAACAACGAGTAGGTTTTCCGTCCGATTTTCAGTATCACTGCTGGTAAAATTGATAAAGGTTAAGTATTGGTTCCAGACCAAAAATGATGTTGATCTGTATTTCGTATACTTTATGAATAAAATCTAAAACAAATTGACATGATTCATTGACAGTCTCGGTGTAGTATCGACAGAATTCATGAGAATTCCTCACGTATTACTTTTGCTTAACACCTTAAATAAAATGTACCGAGCATATCTGCAGGGATCAGTATATTTTTGTGTTGAAAATGTGAAGGATATTCTTCCTATTTGTGGTGTTATATCTGAAATCTCAGAAATACCAGAGGCCAAACGTCTGTTCCCTGACCGATATGAATGATAGAATGATAGTAATGCGTATTGTAGAGTGTTTATGTTTACTGGCTACGTAGATCACTTGCAAACTGATTGAACTGTAGGTTATGCTACTGATCTTACCTATGATTGATTGATTGTATGTTGTTTTACGTCCTATCCGAGAATTTTTCACTCAAAAAAAGACATCATCATATACCAGTGAAGGGCTTCAAATATTTACACTTGACTCCGCACTCATAGCCATTGAGCAATGAGGGATTTTTAGCGGTCCAACGCCTACAGTGACCTATCAGTTTCTTATGTCTCATCCGAAGGACTTGCAATTATCAATTCAAAGTACCGACCGCTTGGCGAAGGAACAGTTGCTATTTATTGCAGCCCGGAGGACCGGGCTGCTCTATACATATAAGTTTAAGTGTTGGTATATGGGGATTGAGGTGGGAGAAGTTATTCAGAATTAAAGGTTTTCTAAACATTAAAAAGATTGTTAATCAGAATGTTCTTTCCCTTTATACATTGTAAATTACGAGATACACAATATATTTACTTCCATAAAGTGAATCTGTAAAAATATATATGTTTTTCATATTTAATATATAAAGTTGCTTATCATTTACTATCGAAAAAACGACAGGTCCCTTTTTTTAGAACATCGAATTTCACTTATCGCATAAAAAATTAAAAAGGTACTTGACACAGCTCGTGTTTTATAGTCTTAAGGTGAAAGACATTTTTGAAAATAAGTGATGCGTGTGTCTGGTTTCAAATTATATTTTATGCAGCCAGAATTTACTTGAGGAATTGATAAAGTTTAAAAGGGTATCGTTTTTGTTCGATTTTCATCCGACTATAAGTTTTCAAAATATTCTCGACTATCGTCTCCATCATTTAGACGCATGCCTTTTTCACACATATCAAAGCGGTTTGATGATCAAGACTCATTTCCATTGTTTACTTTATTTATTTCCCGGGCGACAATTGATGGTTACATCAATGTTTTCTTGTTTTTTATCGACTTAGGTCTGGCCTGAACCCACTGTCTTCCGATCAGGGAGCGAGACCTCTAACGACTGAGCTAGGGTGACGGTTGGTCTAATGTTGGAATTTTTCCGATTTTGATGCTATATCATTAAAAGATATTGGTCCATTGACTGTTTCTTTTTGAGTATTCGCTTTTTAGCATTTGCATTTGAAAATTTCCAGAATCTTCAAAAATTACCTTGAAAAGTTGACATAAGTTGTCGCTTGATCGCTGTATCCTATAATAGCAACCTTTAGTTTTCCGCTTTCAATATCCGCCCTGCGCAGTACATCATTGAAAAACTGTTTCAGTAAATTTGCCTCGTCCGTCTGTATTGTTGATGACACATGGAAGGCAAAAACAATCTGTGCCTCATCACCATCTAAAATGAAAATCATATTTTTGGAAGAATCATACAAAATATTATCGTGTTGCACTGCATCCGAAATTATTGAAAGAGAAAGGAACCATTCTCCTTACGCTAATAGACCATCAGCGGCTCCTAAGTTCAAAATCTCTGACCAAAACATAAAAAGAGTTTAAAAAATTCTACGAAATTATCATATTTTATGGATTTAGTTTTTGTGAAAACCCCTCTGCAAGGAATATACATATAATTATATAATTATAAATATAATTCAGTACAAGGCTTGCGCCCACGTAATTTTGTCCCCAAGGAACCTGCAATATTTTTGGAATGCAAGAAAATTGTTCATAAGTGAAAAGGTGAAAATAAAGAACAGTAATCGATCTAAAAAAAAAAAAAAAAAAAAAAAAACATCTCCCATCGACCGATCAGACCCGCCGCGAGCCCTATGTATTGATCAGGTAGATAAAATATTTCGTAGTCGTTTAGTATGAAACACGTCAGCCAAAATATGACCCAATGATATGTAATATGTACTAACTAGGTCATTATCACTACCATAGAATTTACGAAATGATGACATTAAATGAGGTTGTTGAAATCCCTGTAACATCAACTAATCTCTCAGTAGTCCGCCTTGATTTAAAAATTGATCGTACTCAGAGCTTGAGTAACGAATACTGGTATGTTTGAGAGACATTAATCCAATATGCAGGTGATAGCAGAATAATACTACATAAATAAGGAAAATTAACGAAGGAAAAGCTGTTCATCTCGTTTGTCATATAAAAAAAAACTCAGTCGCCAGTTTGTCCCCATCGGCTATAGCCAGCAAAACATCCAAATATGAAACAGATGTGGCAGACTCCGTGGTATCTTTTATTCTGAGTTCACCTGGATATATCGAGTCGACAAATGAGTGGAAGTAACTATTATTAATTGATAAAACGTCGTTGATATAATAGTATCTGAATGTGGAGTCGAAGGCCACAGCAAGTATTCCCCCTCCTCCCATGTAGAAGCCCCTGAACAAACTCTGCTTCATAGGAATATAAGAACAGGTCGGTTAATAAAAGAGCACATTTATTGCCAATCTGAATTCCAACAGTTTGTTGGAAGACCTGGTCTCCGATACTACATAGATGTTGTCAATTATGAACTCCAGTATCCTCTTTCTATCAACTTCACAGTCCTTGTGTATAGAATCAGAGTTGTTTTTTTTTTTTTTAAAAAAAAATCATTAATTTTGTTGATGACCAATCACCTTATTATTGAAGAACCTGTTGTCTATGTTATCAAAAAGCCTTGTTTTTAATACAAGTTCTTCTCAATGAAAAAAATGACCCAAAGATTGCATAGTGTATAGAAACAAATACTATAAAACATAGATGTAAATACCAATTAATTACCGTAGAACACTTAGAAAAAATGCCTTACTTCTTAAAAGGTTTCGTTTCTGGGCTTTTTGCTGTTCTAAATCTGAAAAAAAGATAATTATAGACAAAGAAATAGTCAACGGTTGATGTTACTTTGAAAAATTAGTACTTCACAAGCGGTGAAACAATGTGAGTAGTATTAGTACACAAAATGTGCGAACCTTTGCAACGAAATGGAAAGAAAAGTACCGATGGCTTGCTGATGTTGTACAATGAATGATTATTGCTAAGTATAGGACGATATATTTGTTGAAAGCGCTTGTGAAGATGATTCGTGGTATCACTATTCATGACGGGCCCCGTCATTTTAAAAGAAAAACGTCCGCTCCTTATCAGCTTTCGACTGTCTGTCCCATTGATATTGTTTACGAACTTCGCGTCCATTTTAGCGGTATAATTGAACATATTCGATTGAATATTGCATAGAGTACGCACAATGTTTATCAATATTCCTGACGCATCATCTTTCATAGGATCTAATAAACCAAATTTAAGTTTTGATGTCGAGCTGTTGGAAAACGTTTCCAAAGTATTATTAACTGTTTTTAGTAATTCACAAATATTTCCATCCTCAACAGTTTGCTCTATTGATGCGACTAGTTTTTCGGTAAGGTTATGAAATGTAATTTTCGCATTTTGACGGTCAGTGCCAGAAGGGAGAGAAAATTCAGTCCCAAAGATAAAACAAGCTGAAAATTAGGAGAACATTGTAAAGAAACCGATTGAAAGTGCGTCCTGATATGAAGAAGTAAATACGAGTTGTTGATATACTTACCAGTACGTTCTAGTGCACTACCACCTGTTCTTGTGTGTATCTCCCTTTCTAATTGCGGAGAAACTGCTCTTTCTAACAAAGGATCAAACCTGTTTTCTGTGGTATTATCATATTCACTACTTTTTGTTGTTATAATATTAAATATAGTATCAGTAGTAGTGGTGAAAGTAGTAGTTTTAAAAGAAGGAGAATGTATAGGGGTTTTAGTTGAAGTCTCCCTGGAGGGGGTTTGTTTTGTATTGTCACGTATCTTGTTATCCAATATTTCGTTAGTATAATTCACTGTCTTTTCTTTCGAGACTTCATCACTACCACTGATGACATTCCATTTCGCTGACGTTTTATTTCTTTCTTTTTGAAATTCAGTCGTGGCGTGGTCTTCTGGAAAAGCTGATGTAGTTGTGTCATCCATATCTGGTGAAACTGTAGTCAAAGCATGTGAAACATCGGTTGATGAGGATAGACGCTGCAGTGTTCTTTGAGAGGTGTACTCAAAGTTTTCTCTTCTTTCGCTTTCAGGACTTTCAGTTGTCACAGAAATAGTTTCATTGCCAGAAACTTGCAAAGTTGATGTTTGAGCTTGAATACGTTTACTAGATAGAATTGTTATTGCCGTTGGCCATGGGGTAGCAACTGTTGTTGTAATTATGGAGTTTCTCTTTCCTTTTTTCTTTTTTTGAACTAAAAAACACAAGCAGAAAAAACCCATGAAAACAAATCACACATTTCATCAATCAAATTTTTAAACATAGATGATGAAAGTAAAAAAATATTTCTTTTTTACGAGTATAATCAATTTTACTACATTCTCAACAGTTAAATACTGTAATTTATTATTCAATAAAAGTGATATTTTGTCACAGTTTTGAAGAGCATCAAAGTATATTTTGTCACAGTGTGAAAGAAAATCAAAATATATTTTGTCACAGTGTGAAAGAAAATCAAAATATAATTTGTCACAGTGTGAAAGAATTTAATTGCAGCAAAAATCTCGATTTTCCTTCCCTCCATCAGGAGTGTTGTAAAACATAACTGGAACTTCTTCGTCTGTTATAAGATAAAGAGAGAAAATAAACCATCCTGAAAGAGACTAAAACTTCCAAAGTTTTTCCAAGTATGTTGTTGAAAATCCTTGTTTACAGTGTTTTCATTCTTACATTCGCTTAGATATGACGTCTGAATTGTTCATCTAAGACGTCACAGCCTATGACACAGTGTTAAGAAAAGGCGGTGGGGAAGGGAAAATAAAAAAAAATCTAATAAACAAAAAAATCAATATTTTGCAGTTGAATATGGAATTTATTTCACTTGTCACTCTGAAAATATCGAAAAATCCTGTCTCACTCGTGAAATAAACTTCAATAAACTACTATATATTGAATATCCTTTATATATATACTTACAGAATCGAATATTTTGCACGACAGGTTTTCCGCTTTTTTTGTAGACCTGTAAATCTTTATATGATTTCACATGGTAAAAATGCTTTTCAAGCGGTCTACTTGCAATGCTTTCAAGTACTGTCTTATTAGTGAGAGCAACTGGAATAATGTTGACTTTGATTCCTTCATGTTTCGCCTGACTTATCTCCGATTGAAGGACAAAATGATCACCTGTGGGATTCATGTCTGTTAATATAATCAGGATCTTTTCGCCTACCCTTGCTTTTTCCTGAAGGAAAAGTTCCCTTGCTTTTGCAACAGCATTTCCTAAGTTGGCAGAGTCAAACCTCAGTCTTTTTGGAGTTCTTTTGATTCCCTTTATGAGACTTTTCTTACCAAGGTGGTCCTTGAAGTTAAATACTACTGTCGGTGTCTCTCCGTAGACAATTAAAGCCACTCGCACGCCGCTCGGACTAATTTTTGCTCTTTTAACAAGTTTGATAACGTATTTCAAAAACTGCCTTTTAAAATTCCGTTTGCTAACTCTGGTTGATGCATGCAAAACGAATGCAATATCTGCCAAGGAGTCATCTAGAGGATAATAAAATAAAAATTTAATTCAAATCAAGATTTAAATTATAGATAAATCAAAAATATAAAAATGAACAAAGTGATAATTACCTTTCTTTTGACCGATTTTATTCAAAGCTTTTAATCGATGCTCTTTAGAGTCCGCGTCTAAAATTTAAAAAAATAGTAATTGACGCCTTTATATCAATTCCTTGTACAGAATAAAACAAATAAACTCGATAACCTGTTGGTTTTTGACATGACAAAGAGTTGTTAAGAGGAACTTTTTTCCAAATCTTCAAACTAATCCCTAAAATGACTAACGTATGGAAAATTCTAATGAAGATCTCTACGGTGTTTCCCTTACATCATCTTACATTAAATTAGAATTCAAAATCATTTTCTATAACGTCCACCACAGCCATTATTTTCTGTTGTATTTTGAAAAAAATATACTCACTATGTATGATGTTCTGTGCAACAACATCCAAAATATGAGATTTTGAAAGCAAATCTTGATACGATCCAACTTTGAGAAGGGATCCACTTTCCCTTTGTTCTGTAAGAGACTTTATCTGGCCGTCATTAGAAACTCCTACTGTGACTGCCTGAACGTCCACCTCAGAGCTCTGTAACTTATCTTTTACTGATGTACAGTTGTCTGATGCCATAGTGTCTGTAATTATTAGAATCTGATTACTAGCTGTTTTAACATTTTCTAAATTTTGAATCGACTTCAGCGCTTCTTCCATGGCTTGGCACAAAACAGCAGATTTGCTTCGCAGTGTCTTTGATAATCCAATGATTGTGTTTCTTGTTTCATTCAAACTAATGCTTCCTTTAAACTGCTTAATGATGTTGACGCTTTTTCCATAGTTGATAACAGCAACGTCAGTTCTGTGTTTGGGCAGGTCTGGGTATTGTACAATGCTTGCCATGAAAGGTAACAGGTGTTTATAAAAGTCCTTTGGCTTGGTGGTCCCATACGATTGGAACAAAATTGCTAAATTTATGTTCGGTGATGGCCATGGCTCTAAAAAGCAATTGTTGTATTTGAAACTTTATTCAAGCACATCAGTTCAAAATAATCGACTCAATGTCCTTTTCACATAAGAAATCTGTAAAATTTTCTTTTAATTTTTCTGACTTACCATAACAATGCTAGAGCAATATAGTAAGAAGGACTGGAAGGATTCCGATACTAGGGGCAGGCGCAGACACCTAGTTCATTCTCTCCATTCGCCTATTCATATTCTATTTGCATCGTTCCTACTATCCTTTGTTACGAAAAGCATACTTTAAGCAAAGGCTATTTACGGAAGTACTTATATTTCTATGAAAGTATCGTTCGCAAAGGTTCTATTCCTTAAAATATATAGTGCAATTTTCCATGCAAATATTATAGATTGTATATATATATATTTAATTTGAGTGTGCACACACAGCTATGAAATTAAATTCATTAAAAATATAATTTAGATAATTTCAATGCCATGATTGGTTAAATTTGTGCATTTCATTGTTAGGTAACGTATACATGTTAAACAGAACTAGGAACTATATGATCTTTTGTGGTAAAGCAATGGACAATACGAACATGCCACAAACCATGCCCTTGTGCACACGAGCTTTCAAAACGAAGCAATTGGAGAACTCTTCATTCATACGTACTAATCTTATTTGACATGTGCTTATAACTTTATACAACGAAATCTTCAATAGCTCTAAATTCCTTTAACAATTTAGCAGTAAGTTGGGCCACATAAAATTAATAGTTTGATTCTCATTGCAAGCTGGTCTTCTATTTAACTTTAAACTGCTCATAGACTGAGGATAACGTTATAGATGCAGTAAAAGGTGCAAAAACTTTAAATTTCAATGAATTTTACTTGCATTTCTTCATCCACATTCCAATAAAAAATTTAATTTCCAGCTCCCCTGTCCATTTTTTATGGGAGGAATATGAGAATCTGATAATTAATTTTATGTGGACTTACAAATTCACGTACAAACCTGTGTTTAGTCCTGGTGCAGAAGTTGCATGAGTTGTCTTCTTGGACTTACGACCTTGAACTGTATTTAAGTAATTTCATCAAATTACGCTGATTAAATTGACAGACATATCTGTTTTAAGAAATTTTGATTGCCTTTTCCTTTCCTTTGATTTATATTTAGATTTTAATTTAAACTTACGTGCCCTAATTCCGTTTACTACATTTGTCAAAATATCTCTATTTGAAATGAGGTCTTTATACTGTGTCACTGACTGGAAATGATTTCCTGTTGGAGTACTCGAAATTTTCTGCAGTTCTTTCAAGTCTGCTTTTTCCACCCCAATCGTGAAAATCGGGGTTTTGAAATCTGTTTTTAATCTACTAACTTCATCTTGGACAGAATATGCTGATCTTGATGACGGCCAATCAGTTATTAATATAATGGCAGAGGGAACCCCTTCTTCGGTTCTCGCTCCCTCTTGCTTGGTAAACAGTTGTGTTCTTACCAAGTGTATGGCATCACCTAAGTTAGCGTTACTGTTTCTAACTTTTGGACTGCTTTTTCTAATGGCTTTGCGCAAGTCTGACTTTTTGGAGTATTTGTTAAAGTTAAATAGTATCTTTCCCGACGCACCATAATTAACTAAGGCCACTCGGACTTCTCCAGAATCTATTCGAGCTTTTGCAAAGAGGCTTGATATAAAGTTAAGCAAGTTGTTTTTAAAATCCTTTGCTTTCGTCTTATGACTCGCGTGAAATACCACAGCTATATCTGCTTTCACATTACCTGAAAGAGAGAAAAAATCAAACATTACAATTCGCAATAAAATTCAACAACAAATATTTATTAAGAATTAAACCTGCGTACCAGTATGAATTTCACAAACACTATCATATATGGTATATGTTGCTTTTATATTTGTATTTATTTAAGAGAAACGACTCATACAAATGAATTCATGTATTTACTTGTTACGGTTTCTATCCTATGGCTGAATAATAATTTGAAAAATTGAAATGCTTTACAGGTGTAGAATTAAAGAATATGTTTTAATGATCTCAAGAATGAATACTCATCATATTTCTTTTCAATGTGAATTTTAAGGAATTTGGAATGGACAGCGTATTTTAAAGCAGGAAAAAAATTAAAACGTTTAAATTTGAACGCATCAAAAGAAAATAGGAATATTATCAAAGAAATACCTTATAATTGCCTTCCTTGTCCGTGACGTCTCCGCTTTCTAACTACTGATTCTCAAACACTCCATGCCGTGATAAAGAATACTTCATAGAAATATGGAAGGTGATAGTCATCATTACAGAAAGAAGTTATGAGTGGCAAATAGGTTAAATCATTCATTGTTTTAATTAAAGGTGTATACGACTCATGATCATAATCATTTAATAAAGTTAAAACTGAGTACAACTCATGATCATAATCAATTAATGATTTGAACATTAATTGATGGTATTATTTTTATTTTGCTGGTGCTACAAGTATTTCTAGTATTCTGCTAGTATTCTTTTCCTCTTTTTTCGGATTGAGATTTCTAGACATCATTTGCCACTCATGAAAGAAATGGTATAAATCTAGGAATCAACACCATAACCATGCAATATCTATGTTTCAGTCTAATATGTTTTTCACTTTATGTAAAAAAGATAGGAATTCAGCAATATATTTGAACTATTATTGTACTAGATACTTGACAAAAATAAAATATAAAAAAAATTCGTTGTAAGATATTGTGAATTTCTCATGAAAGATTTAGTTACTGAACAATGAAGGCAAAGTTATTACATTGCTTATTTATTATCTTACTTCGCAAATTAATGAATAAGCAAACGATTTGTTATTTAATTAACTTCGCAAAGCTTTATCTTTTTTTAAAGCAAGACGAGTTTTAATTTTGTTCACAATTGTAACGAAGCACATTAAAAGACGAACCACTTTCACAATTAACATAGATGGTTCATTAGATCATGTTAAATTTATACATAGTGTAGGTATACATTGACTTTTATTTTTCATCAAATTAAACCAACGACATGAACCATAGAAGCTGAGAAGTTGATAGAAGTACAGATCATGCATGGATGCAATTCAGAGAAACATGCAATACAGTTTAAGAATTCAGTACAAATCATGAATGAAGATTTGACATATGATATTATACTATTTTTTTCTATAGACTGTCAACAATAATCAGGTTTAACTGAAAGACAGGCAACGGAGATGAAACTAGAACAGCTCAGAAAGTTAATTTTTAACCACTGTTGTATCAACGTCTCAAACATATTAGAAGTTAAAACACGCAAACCTCATTATCACCAACATCAATCTACCAAAGTCGTTGTGAATGTCTAGTCGTCTAGACGCATTAGACAGTTTTTGCAGTATTATACTAGTATGCCTTATAATCATGTCAAATCTGACAACTATGATACAGAATAATAGAAATTCTCAGGAGAGATTTTATAAAGAGGAAATGACAGGAGGACAGGTTTCTTCTCCGTTACATTGTTTTTTAATATTCATATCTAACATCTACAAGCAAATTTCTCATAACCTGTTCTTTTATACTTACTATCAATACCGTTTGTGAAATCTGTAGTGTCTAGAGTTGATTCTGAAAGATCAGAATAAAACACACGATAATTACAAAAAAATCTTTCTGGCGTGTACATATTAACAATATTAAATTTATAATCTGCATTTTGCTTACCTTCGAAAACAATGCTTGGTGTCGTGCTTAAAATTTTATTCACTAAAAAAGAAACAGTTCTGATGAAATGATACAATTATCGAAGACAAAAGTATTCAAATCAAATAACAAATTAAAAAGCGAGTCAATCTTATCAAGATTGTCTATGAAGATGGCAAAACAGGAATGAAAAAGCTGAAAAAATATTACAAAAAAGCACGCACGTGAAGGAAGTCTATTTTGGATATCTTGCAAGACAACAGAGAGCTGAGAAGCATCGTTCAAAATGAAACTAAATGTATGAGAATCAGAAAGCGCATTCACTTCATCCTTATTGTAGAGATTCAAGCCCACTCCTATCATCGTCACTCCAGTATTCTTCATCTCCGCTACACTTTTGGGAAATGCAGGAACATATTTGCTATCAGAGTTATCGTTTGTGATTACCAAAAGCGTATTTGGAACATCCAAGCGATCACCGGAAGCTTCCACAAAAATTGACGTGCGAACTACATCTAAAGCACCAGCTAAATTCGCTTCTTCAGAACCCCAGCTGCTAAAATCTATATTCAGTGCATTCAAAAGCTTTTTCTTGTTTTGTTTGTAATCATTGAAATCAAATATGGTGGTTGTTCCCATGCCGTAAACGAGGAAAGCTACTCTGACGTCATCATTATCAACGTCTGCATTAGCTATCAGACTTTGCAAGAACTGTACCATTAAATTGAAATCACGTTCAGCTGTTGTGTCAGAGTAATGGAGAAGTAGAGTTAAATCCGTTTTATTACTTCCTAAAATGGGATATAAGTTAAATTTGAGTAACCTTTTTCTAATATAAATGCAAGTGAAATTACACCTTCGTCTTAAATACTTAAAGGAAGAAAACAATTAAATTCATGTAATGATAATTTTAAAAGTTTACAAATTGATTAGCGTCTAAACCAAAAGAATGCGATATTATCAATCCGATAATGTACCACTAAGCGTTATATACATAGATATAGACATCAGCTTTGTAAGTAAACTAACTATTAGATTTGTTTTTATTCTTTAGAAAAACATGTATTAATATATATATTAATGGTTATCGAAGTTTGTTTATTTTTTCCAGAGTTTTTTTTAACATTCTAAACACATGCTAATACAGTTTTTATGTTTTTCTAAGTTTATATTAGATCTTAGATGAGAAGAATTTCTTGGTCTTTCAAAAATAGGTTATTTTGGGAATCGTTAATTATCACACGTTTCAACTCAATGTGCGGATACATGTAAGTACTTCACTGGAGGCGGAATAAAAGTCAAAATAAGTTATATAAAAATTATGATTATAACGGTTAGGAACTAACCTTCTATAGGAGATACAAACGCCAAATGGGTTCCTGAAAATCATCCAAAACATGCAAATTAGATTTCTCTAAGGGCAAATATCAGTTGAGAAAAATAGGGAAATGGTAAAACAACCATGAGAAAGCACAAGGAAGAATAGGAATAATCTACAAAGGGAATCTAGCTAAAATCCAGCACTCGGTCACATGCCAAAAATTTGCTTTTTTCAAAATATACCTGTGGCAGTTACTGCAGAGCCTTCTATTTCCTCATTATCATAAATATAAGTAGTAGTTACTATAAAATAGAAACACGCTCATTGTCAAATAATCACGCTCATTGTCAACTTATCATTTTCAGAATGCGTTTGGAAAATAAAATATTTCTTGGGACATATTTGACATCCACAGTAAGAACAGTATGCTTAGAAACTTTGAAATGTAAAAAAAAAATAACTGACGATATATACAAAACTCACTTGAGCAAATTCCAACATAAGCCAGATCTTTGATTAAACTAATATTTTCCGATGGTGCAAGTTCGTATGTATTCTCCAGATATGGGTCGCTGGCAAAAGAATGTATTTCTGTCATGTCTTTTACGCCTTTCGATATCACCAGTATGCTGACTTGGTCTTTCAGGAACTGTACTTGTTGTGATGCTTCATATTTTTTTCTCTCAGAGTTTCCTGTTGTTATTAAAAGGATTACATTTGGTGCATCCGGCCTATCCCCATAAGGCTCGAAGAATACCTGCCTTCGAAGCAAATCGAATGCATCTGCAAAGTTTCTCTCTCCTGGAGTAAAAATTGCAGATTCTATGGCCGACTTGATGTCCGATTTTGAGGAGTATTTATCCAGTCTAAAATGGAGTACTGGGCTGGAACTAAATGTCACAAAGGCTACCCTGGCAATCCCAGAGTCAATTTGGAAATCTTCAACTAAGTCTAATAGAAACTTCTTGAACTCGTCATTTTGTGTTGAATTGTTTATAGTGGTGTCAAGTAAAATCACAATATCCATAGATTCACTACAACCTAAGTCAAAAGGAAGTCCTTCTGTTGAGAGAAAAAAAAGTTTAGTCATTTTTCTTATTAATACATCCATCTTCTATACGTATTAAGATATTTGCTTTTGATATTCAAACAAATAATAAAAGGATTTATAAAACTTCACTAAATTTAAAATTAAGAATGAAGGAGTTTCGGGAAACTTCACTTAATAACGTTAAGCTGACATTAAAAAGTCAAAACGTAAAAGAAGCTCAATTTCACAAGGACTTACCTTCATAATCAGCTGAAAAAGGAAAATGAAACAATATTAATTTACTATACAAACTTTCGATGTTTATCAGACAGTCTACGAATAAGTTATAAATCATCTTTTTTCGTTGAAGAATTAGACTTTCTTTTATTTGCCACATCATTAAGTGATTAATCATAATGTACGTTTTTCCTAATTAATTCCTCTTTGCATAAAATCTATTTTGGCACTAAAATTGTAAAATGTTTGTTAAAGAGTTATTTCCCTTGGTTCGTAACTTACTTGTAATTCTAATAGACTTAGTAACAATCTGGTATCTGTGACCAAAACTCTTTTACAAACTGAAGGTTGGTTCTTTTATTAAACCTTGATAAGGTGTTACTTAACAGAAGTAGTTACCATTTCCACAACTCGTAAATATTCAGTAAAATTTATTTCTTTGGTAAAGTTTGCAACTCATTCTATTCCGACGACAGAGATTAGTCATCTAGATTAGATTTTTAAAGATGAAAATTATCTTTTTAACCAATCCTCATATTTTATAGATAAATTTTACAAACATTAACTGTACTGTTAGGTTCTGATTGGTCTTAAGTATGTTCAAATGCTGTATTCTTTTGAAAAGTTTAATTTTGTAATAATGATTCTTTGAAGTTGATACGTGAATTGCAAAGATATACACTTTAACTAATTTTTGAGAGAAGATATGAATGTTTATAAAACTTAATCTTGCGCCACCCAGCAAAATCTTATAATGAGATATTTTGATGTAGATTTATATTCTTTTATCGACGCGATGTTGTAATCATACGCTTTACTTATCTCTTGGCTACTCGCAGGTTTGTAAATATTTCTAATCAGCTGTTACCGACTTTAACCATATCTTTATAGCCAAGATGAAGCAATTACAAACACAAAAATAAATAAATTGTCAGGAATACGAAAAGAAAATATCGAGTAAAAAACAGTTGCTGCTAAAATGATAAATGGAATTTTTCACCGAGATCAGGGTCACTCGATCCCAAACGTGTCTCGAAAACGGTGTACTAACTAACTATGAATCCTTTCTGAGATTGACTGAGATTGACGATTTAATTAATTTGCAATGAGATTAGGAACTGTAATATTTAATTTTATAAATAATGAAGTAAGCCATCTTTGACAGTGTATTGTTTTTCCTGTGTTGAACAATTTAGATGATGTGATTACTTGTAAATTCTACGGTAATCGAACATTTTTTTTTTTTTTTTTTTTTTTGTAAAACTGAAAAAAGTATTTGCAAGCGATGTCTTTATGAAGATTGATCACGTAATTTCTATCTTACCAGGAGATAAAAAAAGTGCACATGCCAACATTTGAAATACATTTATGTACACAACTGCGCAAATCAAAAGACTGTAAAATGCTTTGCCTAAACAGTTTTCTTGAAAAATGTTTAGATTTAGAAATCTTTTCGTAGCATGAATAACATCATTTCTAGACGCTTATGTAAAAGAACAAAAAATGAATATATATATCAAATATCTTTGAAATGTATGAAGTTAAGTAGAAGTCTGTAAGATATTAAATTATTGTAGATTAAATGCGGTTGAAATAAATGTTTAGATTATGCAACAAGCTTGAGATTCAAGATATGCCATTGAAGTGTTATGAAATGTAAAAGAAAAGATAAGCCCAGAAAACCGAGATTAGCAGGACATGAATAGTTTCATGGTTAAAAAAGACCTTAAGTATTCAGTTTGATAGAGAAGAGTCTGCTGTCAGGTGTGGTTGTGTAAAACAAATAACGATTCTGGGGAAAAATAGGTTTCACATTGTCTATATGCTTCTCTGCAACACCATTTATCATGTCACAGTTGGATTAAAAAAAACAATACTTACAAATGGAATGTGAAGACTTGAGTAATACACAAGTAGCAATTAACGTCAACCAAAGCGAACTCTCCATCGCTGAAAGAGAGAGAAAATAAATAAAGCATTACAAATCAAAGTTTTATGATACAGATGAGTTGACGTGATTCAAGTGCTTGCAATTAAACCGCATTCCGAATTATAAAACACTACTAAGTCAATATGTTTCAAAGACATTAAATTACTCTATTAAGCCAAGAAATTTAGACATTTCCATTAGGGAGTATTTTTGACGCCGTGGGAATATGTTGAAAGATTCAAAAAGTCTACATTTTTTGTATTGCAAAGTTTTAAGTTATCGACACAAATTTTTTTATTGGACATCTAGATTATATGACGAGGCTGAATTATGACATTACAAAAACTATTTTATATGTACGTAGACATAATGCCTCTCTTCGACAAAGAAAATTTTCCAGTCAAGTTTTCCAGTCAGCGAGCAGAGTCTTGACGTTGTTTACGGAGATAAACGAAAATAAGACAAGCATGCCATATATGGTTGTGTAGATAAATCATCGCAGAAGACAATGGTAATAAACAGATTGAAAGTGCATTTTCATGAAATATAACATCAGACATTATTATTGAGGGTACACAAGCATATGGAAGATATGTCACCTATGTTTTCTATAGTATTCTATATATCAGGAAAATTAGTGGGGGAGGAGGGGGGTGTGTGCCCCCTGTTCCTATGGCCATGCACTAGTGTGCTGTTCTTGAAAAGATTTTAAATATTGTTCCTATAGATTTCTATGTAAAAAATTAATCGCATATTGTGACTCCTTAATTCTCAATTTTCTCCCCCTTGAAAAAAGGACGTGGCCTTCATTGATTAAACTTAAATTCCCTTTATCCAAGGATGCTTTGCGGCAAGTTTGGTTGCAATTGGCCCTGTAGTTCTTGTGAAGAAGTCGAAAATGTGAAAAGTATACAGATGATACACGACAAGCAAAAGACGGACGCCAGACACTCTTCGATCAGAAAAGTTCACTTGAGCCTTCTGGTCAGGTGAGCTAAACATTGTATTAGCCTTATATTTTCTTTAAAGAAGTTTGTTCCATTCCATATCTATTTCTAAGGTGTTAAAATATAATAAAAAGTTGCAGAGTAGTTAATAACTTCCTGGCTAATATTTCTCTAGTTAAGAAAAATTACCCTATCTTTTCATATATTGTATACCATAATGAACCATATGTTATCGTATGAAAATCCTAGTTAGCTTAAAAAGTTAATTATTCTTGAAAGGTCTTAAATTATAATATCCACTAATATATCAATATAACTGATATATCAAATAAAAATATACTCTCCACTGGCTAATGTTGTAATTGGGGTATTTTTTCTGTTGCCAATACTGACAAGCATTATCAGTCAACTTGCATCCTATAATACACATTATAATGAGGCACAGTGACCCTCAAAAAAGAGAATTATTGCATGATTCATGCAATCATGCGATTTTTTTAATACTTGAAAGTATTATTATTATTTTTAAGGATGCTCTAAACACTGCACACTAAAGAGTTCTACTTGTAGGGTAGTTTTATGCAGTTAGAGTGATCTGCCCTTAGAAGTAAGATAGAAAAAATGGTTATTTACTGTTAATTACACAATTTATAATAGATTGAAATATTCTTAGCATTATATTAGAACAAGAATAAGTAATTAAATTCATTATTTCCATTGATTTTCCCACTGTAAGTAAACAACAGTGATTTCTGTCCATTGTCTTTGAACATTTTTCCTGCGGAAATAAGGCAGGTACCCTATGTTGAAAATGAACTAAATAGTCTCAATATGCACACCTTTATATGATATATTTATCTCCAAGCCCAAAAAGCACTTTTTGTTAGTGTTTAGAGCTTCCTTAAGGTTACAGAGAAATAAACTTTTATGGAGAGAAAGTTATGCCATGGGTCTCAAGTTCCAAGAACTGGAAGGGTCGGTAGACACAGGATTTTCAAACAATATTCGAAAAATATAACACAAACGAATTTTCTACATTTCCATGCTTCTATTAATGAATTTTACGCTATTTAATCTAGAAACGAAAGAGAATTACCCGTTGAAAACCAACCCTTTACATCAATCACCTCTTTTAAACTTTGTTTTACTCTGTTTGGGATGGGGTCATTTTTCAACGGGGGCCAATTTCTTATAAGTTGCACGGGTAGAAAACTGCCCCTAGGATTCTTTTTATACAAAAACTAACATTTTTTCTACGGCTGAGGGGTCATTTGTCAACGTCGAAAAATGGTCCCCGGTCATTTTTCTATGGGTTCATTATTCGTCTTTACACCGGCACTTATATTTCGCACTCTTTGATCGCTTAAGAGTGCAGTTTATCAAAACATTGCTAAACTGACATTTTTGATAAGTATTACGATTGATAAAACATAAATCAAAAAGAAAATATCGAATATGACTCAATATGTCTCTTTAAATTTAATGAATATCCGATGCACCGATTAGCTCAAAATTCAATATTTTATTACAGTATTTTTTAAAATCGATATTTTTGACATCGAAGATCTTATCATATGCCTTACAGTTAATAGTTACTAAATCTTCAGTTTGGATTCAAATAAAAAAGATTTGAAGTCATTACTTTTACTGAAGAATCATCATTGTTCTTGGGGAACAATGTTCGTGGATTTCGTTAATCATCCGAAGTTACGACCTTACATCCTTGTCGATATGGTCGATACAATGAACTTGTCAGCAAATACAATCTATCATTAAGTCAAATGCTGACTGACTTTTTCATACTAATTGTTTGGCCATTATTTACACTGAATTGTCGACGAATTTTTCCGCTATTTCCCGATCATGACAAGGAGCACACGGCGGACGTGACCGGTCAGCAGGGGATGCTCACTCCTCCATGGCACCTGATCCCACCTCTGATGTCTTAAAGGTCCGTGTTTGCTCTGTTCCTATTTTGTAACGTTTTATGGACTTTTGAGCTCGAATACTGTTCGTTATCTCCACATATTTCATCCTCACGATTAATGTATCAATTCATTGAATCTTTTTTATGTACTTGTACGATTTCCCACGAAATTACGTCCCCATGAACTACTGTGGAATCATCATTGTTTGTGGGGGATCAATGTTCGTGGATTTCGTGGGTCACCCTTACCCACGAATTTACATCCCCACGAACAATTTTTTTGTCAACGCATGGATTAATTAAATATACCAAATAAACGAGCTGCCCACGAAATTACATCCCAACGAACCAATAAAATTTTGCTTGCCCAAGAACATTGACCCCCACGAATTTAAATGATTCCACAGTAGTTAAGTTTTGGTTGCCAACGAACATTAACCCCCACAAATTTAAAAAAAAAATATTCCACAGTATTTATACTTTGTATTGATGTACACATGGTTCCTGATCCCACTTTAGATGTTTGTGTTTGCTCTGCTTTCAGTTTGAATTGTTTAATGGACTTTTGAGCCTGATAACTACTAATATTCGTTATTTTCACATATCATGCATTAGGAATGAATGTTTAAAATGGTCAGAGCTCCATTTGAATTTTGAGATTTTATACACTTTCATGCACTTCATTAATTTGGTTTAAGTTTGATAGGAATGAAAAAATTAGATCAGGAAAATTCGATAATTTAAAACATTAATTAATTAATTTTTTCCAAAAAGAAAGAACGTCGTTTAAAGTCAACACCTTTAGTTTTTCCCGTCATACACTACATTAAATATATAAAAAGAAATTTAACTGATGGAAAGTCATAATATATAACGGACATTAACAGATATCACATCGCCATCATTAATTGTAAGGATGTATAGACGTTGTATGAGACTCATTTTTTAGTCATTAGAAACGGTTTTTTCTCTGCAGTTATAAAAAAGCGGCTCGGGGATAGTTTCGCTGATGGTTATTTTTGTGGGCTGTAAATTTCCAATGGTTTGTCTTTTTTTCATATTCGCCTAGGTCAAGTCCTATTTGGGTATATTTACTATCGGGTAGGTAGAGTTTACATGTACTTAAGTTCGAGATTCAGTTCATCAAGACAATGATTGGTGTAGACGGGTTTAGTCTCATTGTATATTTTGTAACCTCGTACAGATATGTCTTACATAATATTCTATGTTATTTTTGGAATAAGCCAAGTAACGCGAAGTTATTCCTGATGTCTGTCACAAAATCGTGCCATAACTGTCGAAAACCCTGTTAAATAGACTCACACTTGAGTATATTATTGACCTTGACCTAAACGTGTGCCGTTTTCTTGAATGCCATCTTGCTAAGGAGGTCAATCAACGAGAAAGTAATTTGGTCGCTGAAATTTAACTCTTTTACAATTAAGAGAATAAATTACAGTTTATATTGTTACTGATTGGCTAAAGGTGTGTCATTACTTCATTCAACGTTCAACGTGTGACCTTGAGTGAGGACCACGAAACACCTTAAGTACATGGTCAACAAAATTTCTAAAATTCTAAATTTGATTTCGATCAATAATTTTATGGTTAAAGAGCCTTTTCGGTATCTCATTGTCCAATGACTAAATCAAAGTATCAAGGTATCTATTATTTTGACTAAATCAAAGTATCAAAGTATTTATTTTCTTTCGGAAATCAAAGTATTTTTACTATGAAATTTTCAATTCTTCCATTCTCAAATGAAAGTTTTTTTTTTATCTAAAGGAAATATTTCGTCTAAATTCAAAAGTGATTTCTAAACGTAAGTGTCATTGATATGACATTTGAGAGATATAATGCTCAGAATCTCATGAAAAAGATTCATTTATAATCAAAGTTTCATAGTAAATTTTCAAAGTATTAAAGAAAATCAACGTAACATTAAGTATTAAAGTAAGTACATGTACAGAGTAATGAAATATGAAAATAACAATGATCATGCTAAAAAATCTAATGAAACAATACAAAGTATGAATGAGGAGAGCAAATACAAATCTCTGAGGTGGGATCAGGTGCCATTGAGGAGTAAGCATCCCCTGTTGACTGGTCACACCAACTGAGTGTCCTTTGTCATGATCGGATAAAC